CTTTGTCCTGCCCTGCAGCTGTGATTCCACAGGCCACTGTGCCCCTTCCATGGGCTCCCACAGAACCCTCGGTTGCCTGAGCTTCAGGGTCACCCATTCTGGAAAGCCAGAGACTCCCCTGATACTAATAAGTCCACTGACCTTGACTATATCCCTTTTCTTCCGCATCTCACCTTCCTCTAATGTGACTCTGGCATTTCCACTCTCTTGGTCATTACTTTCCTTCTGCCAACATGTTTGATGCTTTGGCTAAGGAGTGACATGCTCTTGCTACTTCCATAGATCTTGGATCCCTCCTGTCAACCAACTTGGTCTCTTGATGAGATCAGAGTGAGCTGCTGGTGCTAAAGTCTTCACCTCTCCTGACATTTCAATGTCTCTCACATGCTTCTACAATTTTTGTTTAAAATAATTTCTAGACTGACTGCTTGTCATCATTTTTGTTTTAGTCTACTAGATTGTAGACTCTTCAGCTGCCCCCGCAACTTTTTATTGCTGCAGAATTTTCAAATGAAACTCAGAAAGCACATACTTTATTTTTATGTTTGCTTTTCAGTTAAAAATTATTTGATGAAAATTTATTGCTTAACAGTGATTTTTAAAAGTCAGGTTTAGAGAATTACATTGACATCTGTTTCTGCTATTTTATGATTGCCACAAAAAACATCGTTTCCATGTCTCCCATCTAGTTAACCTGCTCCCCAGCTCCCCAGCCCCCTCCAGCTTCCCCTCTAAGACAGCATAGAATTTTATTTCTAGGGTCTTTGTTCTGTTTCTTGGACAAATTTAAAAATAATAATAACTTTTAGAAATTATTAAAGCTTCAAATCCATCTTAACACCCAACAAAGTTAGCAATAATTCTCTAGTATCATTTAATACCAACTCACTATAATTGAAACCCAAGCACAAAATTTGTAAGTCTACAACTGTACCTCATGGTGTCTCACTAATAAAAAATTTTTAAAAAGCACATATTTCTTGATTCATCTTAGAATTCAAACAAATATACAAATTATATTCAGTTGATATTTTAAAAGTATACATATAAACAGCCGCATTGTGATACAGCCTTTATACTACACACATAGAGCATTCAAGTGCAGTTGTTTGTTGTTTAATAGAGTCACAATTATGCAACCATCACCACAATCTAATTTTAGGACATTTTTCTCCCTCCTAAAATAGTTCCTGTGTCTTTATAGTCACACGTTCATTTCCTATTCCCATACAGTCTTTGCCACAACTAATCCCTTCTGTCTCTATAGAACTATTGTGGACACTTCATATAAATACAGAATATTTGGCCTTTGTCATTGACTTCTTTCACTTAGTATAGTGTTTCCATACTGTAGCACGAATAATTCTTAATTCTCTTCCATTGACCAATAATGTTCCATTTTATGGGTAAACCACATTTTATTTATCAATCAATCACTTCAGTTGTTTTTGGCTATTATGAATTGTGAACATCTTGTGAACATTGTGGAAAAACTGTGCAGATGTTTGTGAGACATATTTTAATGTAAAATTTTTCTTGTATATCTACCTAAGAATGTAATTGCTGGTTAATATTTTGAGGACTATGTAATTGCCTTCCACAACAGCTGTTCCCATCAATATACTTTCCCACCACCCATGTAGAAGGGTTCTTCTTCATACCTTCCCCAACACTTGTTATTGTCCATCTTTTTATTATAGTTATCCTTGTGACTATTCCCTGTATTGTGCCATGGTTTTTCTTTTGCATTATTTTGATAGTACTGGAGCTAACATTTTTTCATGTGCTTTTGACCTTTGTAATCAGAGAGACATTATATATTAAGACTATTTCTCCAGTATACTTTCAAGAACTTCTGCCTATTTTTCATTGTTTCATCTTTTTATTATTTACTCATGATAGTTTTTGTGTATTCTGTATGTAAATTATTTTTAAAATACAGAGCAGCAGGAATTTTCTGTCATTCTGTTGAGGACCTTTTCACTTTCTTGATGGTGTAATTTGTAGTTCAAATGATAAAATTTTGAGGTATTCCAATTACTGTTTGGGTATTATTACTATTATTACTGGTTTTTGCTCACTCCTGGCAATACTCAGGAGTTACTCCCAGCTTTTTTTTTTGTTTTGTTTTTTGGGTCACACTCAGCGATGCTCAGGGGTTACTCCTGGCTCATGCACTCAGGAATTACTCCTGGCGGTGCTCGGGGGACCATATGGGATGCTGGGAATCGAACCTGCATCGGCCATGTTGGCTGCGTGTAAGGCAAACACCCTATCCGCTGTGCTGTTGCTCCAGCCCCACTCCCAGCTTTTTACTTAGGAATTTTTCCTGACTGTGTTCAGAGGGCATGCAGCATGCTGAGGATCAAACCCAGGTTGGCCATATGCAAGGCAAACACAGTACACCCTGTACTATCTCTCTGTCCATTATTATTATTATTGATGCATACACATTACCTAACCCATAGTCATAAAGGTTTGTCTTTAAAGTTTCTTCTGTTTTGATGGAGGTGAATACCCAACAGTGCTCAGAGGATCATGCTGTGTCAAAGATCAACCTAGGGTTCGCACATGCAAAGTATGCCTTGCAGACTCTTGAACCATCTATTGAGGCCCTTTCTCTATATTTTCATATATAAATTTTCTAGTTTTAATCTAATGGGTAGGAATAATTTGTTTTGAGGTTTAGTATAGTATGACAGAGGATTCAACTTCATGGTTTTGCATATGCATATCCAAATGTCCCAGCACCATCTCTGTAAAGAATACCGTCTGTAGTCTTTCATCATTAAGTTGACTTGATATCTTTGTTGAAAACCAATTGGTGACAAAGGTAAGAGTTTAATTCTAATCTTTCGATTCCATTCTACTGATCTATATTCTTATACTAGCACTGTTTTGTTACCATAGATTTGTAGCAGATACATATATATATATATATATATATATGTAAACTGTTATAGTTACTGTGTCCCCTTCCTGTGACCAGCCTTTTTTTTCTGACCACCAATCCCTTCATTTTAAAGAAATTTTTATTAGTGACGCACCATGAGGTACAGTTTTAGACTTCTAAACTTTCCTACTTGGGTTTCAGTTCTACAGTGATCGAGTACCCATCCCTCCACTAGTGCCCATTCTCTACCACCAATGAACCCAGTAGCCCTCCCATCCCCTGGCCCCATCCCCCCACCCCGCCCCACCTCTGTGGCAGGGAATTCCCTTTTGCTCTCTCTTTCCTTTAGGGTGTTGTGGTTTGCAATAGAGGTATTGAGTAGCCATCGTGTTTGGTCTACAGTCTACTTTCAGCACGCATCTCGCATCCCAAGCGAATCTTCCAAACACCCTTTACTTCGTGTTCCCTTCTCTATCTGCGCTGCCTTTTTCCCCGGCATGTGCTGCCAGCTTCCAAGCCATGGAGCAGACCTCCTGGTACTTTATCTCAACTATTCTTGGGTGTTCATCTCCCATTCTGTTACTTTATATTCCCCAGATGAGTGTAGTCTTTCTATGTCTGTCCCTATCTTTCTGACTCATTTCACTTAGCAAGATACTTTCCATGTAGAAACACTTGTATGCAGATTTCATGACTTCATCTTTTCTAACAGCTGCATAGTATTACATTGTGTAGATGTACCAAAGTTTTTTTAACCAGTCCTCTGTTTTCGGGCACTTGGTTTTTTTCCAGATTTTGGCTGTTGTGAATAGTGCAGCGATGAACATACAAGTGCAGATGTCATTTCAACTCTGCTCTTTTTGCCTCTCTGGGATATATTCCCAGGAGTGCTATTTTTTTTATAAAATTTCTTATGTTGGGATTTGTCTGATTGTGTCTTAGTAATATCACTCACTATGTTCTTCTATCTCTTTTTTTTTTTTTTGGCAAAATAGCATTTAGAGCTACAGCCTTAATTAATTTCTAGTGCAGTCATGTATTAATTTTTCTTTTTTCCAGGAATATTTCCAAAGTACAGAGGGAAAAGTGGTGCTGTATAATTCTGTTATATCAGTCAGGAGATGTACTTTGGTTATCCCATTTTCTCTAATATTAAAATTGACCACTGAATTTTAATGTGATTGTACTAATCCTTCTTAAAATTATCCATAAACTTTCCCCTTATTGGTTTTAGCTGCTACTGATGTCTGTTTTGACTTATTGCTTATATCATTGAGGATTGTAAAATGATTGTTTGGCCTTTTGCATTTACTTTTTATGGTTTTTTCTTATCAAAATATAAAACATTTTGGTAAATGTTTAACTTACTCTCTGCTAATTATATATAACATCCTCCAATTAAATATAAAATTCTAATGATGTATATGCTTAGAAGTTTGATTTTTAAATGATAGCAATATTTACAAATCTACTGTAATTCAGTTTACAATATATCCCAGTAGGGATGTTAAGTCAAAAGACTTTGTCAAAGTAACTGGAAGTAACTTTTCACCATAGTTTTTCTGTTATTTTTATATACTTTTAATTTCATTTGTTTTCTTGCTTCTGATTTTAAGGTATTGCTTCCCCATCCCTGCCCCTTTTGGGTACATATTGTTTCAGAGTGAAAAAGTCCTGACGCATGTTTAGAGAAATTTCCTTATCCTTGTTTTCCCTTCTTTCTTTAGAAACTAGTTATCATTCGTAACTCTAGTTTATCCTTATATTATCTTTATTATACATACTAACAACACTGATGTTCTTTTATAAATGAAAACATTTCTTCCCTTTCATGCCAAAGCTCTCTATTATTTTGCCCTTCACTTTACCACTTTGCAGAGTAGCCCAAAAGTCCTCTCTTCTTCAGTTATATTAACATGGCCCTCTTCATCAATCAGCTTTATATTTGTGTTATTTTACTGTGTTGTACAATATGTCCATCTATCCTTAATTGTGCCAGAATATTCCAGGACACTTAGTGAGTTCACCGTGAATTTTATTAATTCTCTTTACTTCTCATTAGAGGACGTGATAAATGCCTTACGTCTTTTTTATTTCTCTTTCTCAGTCTCAAAGAATTCCTGCCCAAAGAATACATTAAGCAGAGAGGTGCTGAAAAGAGAATATTTCAGGTATTGGAACTGCTTTATTTCCCCACTCCCTATTTTCTACTGCACCAATAGTTTATACCCCATGCCTGAATTCCCCTTGATAATAAGTTATTAGTGACTAAAAGTCAAGAAGTTGATGGTTCTGCTTCATACAGACTTGTTGTCTTAATTCATACATTTTAGTTAAAATTTACTTTGTCCTCCCTAGTACAGTTCCATGGACATTATTTTGGTAAGATTAAAACAAGGAGATTTTTCCATTAACTGTACTTTGTTGGGCTGGAGTGATAGCACAGTGGGTAGGGCGTTTGCCTTGTGCGCAGCCAGCCGGGTTCAATTCCTCCGCCCCTCTCAGAGAGCCCGGCAAGCTACCGAGTGTATCTCACCCGCACAGCAAAGCCTGGCAAGCTACCCATGACATAGTTAATATGTGAAACACAGTAGCAACAAATCTCACTATGGAGACGTTACTGGGCCCACTTGAGCAAATCGATGAACAACAGGAGGACCGTGACCATGACCGTACTTTGGAAGGAGCTCCAAGGAGTTTCTTTATCATGAGAGATTTCTTTTATTACATTTTAAGTGTAGAAACCTGGAAAATTCAGGTTTTAAATGTTTTTAAAATAAAGGTAAAAGGTAAAGGTAAAGGCCCTCCCGTTGATCGTCGATTTGCTCGAGCGGGCCCAGTAACGTCTCCATTGGAGACTTTGTTGTTACTGTGTCTGGCATATCGAATACTCTCGGTAGCTTGCCGGGCTCTCTGAGAGGGGCGGAGGAATCGAACTCGGGTCGGCCATGTTGGCCACTTGTAAGGCGAACGCCCTACCACTGTGCTATCGCTCCAGCCCTAAAAATAAAATAAAATAACTTAAAAGACAAAATTTCTTTGTAAAAAATTTTAGAATTTATTCTAAAATTCATGTTGCCTGGAAACCAGTGGGAAAATCACAGTTATTCTAGTGAATCCATAATACAGAAGTTATCTCTGGTAGTGTCATGAAAATAAAAATTTTCCATGTATAGGACATATTTTTATCCAGCTTTATATCTGAATACTGTGACATGTAGGCTTTTGTGCACTCTGCCTTGGGAACCAGTATTTTGGGTTCAGGGGGTATTGATTTTTGGTTTTGGGGACTACACTTAGTCATGCTTGGGGCTCATTCCTGGCTCTGCACTTAGGAATCACTTCAGGCACACTCAGAAGACCATAGAGGGTGCTGGGTATTGAACCAGGGTGAGCCGTGTGCAAAGCAGATACCCTACTCATTTTACTATCTCTGCAAAGAAAAAAACAGTATTTTGGGTAGTATTGGAAGGTTCCCAAAAAGAACCTTTTTCTAACTCACTTAAAGTGTTAGTTCTGACTTTTTTGTGTGCATAATTCCTTTGAAAATCAGATTGCAGTTACAAACCCTGCTCCTGCCATGGTGTGTGCTCATGAATCATTGCAGAGAGTTGTGAGAACCATAGGGAGTTTGGGCTCTGACTATTGCTAAGAAGTCTGTAGTAGACCATTCTCCACACTCAGACCTGTGGCCATATGTGGTCCATGTCATGGAATGGTCTTCAGTACACGCATCTTCCATGGCTTATTGGTGCGTCATCCTCTCTCCCTCTATGTGTACTCACTTCCTCCCTCAGTACTCACTGCCCTCCTGGGGGGCAGAGCTACAGTCACCAAACGGGCCCCTCTCACCATCATTTTTTCAGGAACACAAGAACTGTGGAGAGATGAATGAAATAGAAGCCAAGGTCAAGTATGTCAAACTGGCTCGCTCCCTCCGGACCTATGGAGTATCCTTCTTTCTGGTGAAGGTGAGCTGAGAGGGCTTAGTGGGCATTTGCCTCTGCCATCTCTTTCCCTTTCACTTGTTATTGCTCACCTTAGTTTGTCATTCCAACAGGTAGCATTTACAAATGCAGTGGTGGGTGAGGAGGACCCTCGTTTAAAACACTGGGACAGACAATAAGGATTTGGGCTGTCAGGCTGGCAGATGTGGCACCACATACACAGGCTTAGAGCCACTGTGTCTTGGCTAGGCTCAAGCTTCGCTGTGCATCAGTCTCAAAGGGGATGTGTTCACATTCACTCAGCATTACTTTGCCTGAAGAATATTTCCTGTAAGACTATCACAAACTTCCTGGACGAAGAAAAGGTTGTTGGCCAGGACAGAACAAATCAAGTCCATTTGGTGAATGTGGTACCTAACTTGTATACCTTTGGATTTTTGTGACCCTCATATATTTCTTCAGAATCACTTGTCTTTTGCATGGGAAGATACATTTTTTAAATTCACCCCGGGAATTTTGGAGACCTCCCTGGGTATTTTCTTCAGTTAACTGATTCCCCACTGATTCTTTAGCTTTATTTCTCTTGCTTTTCCCAACCTCCCATACATTCTTTTTGTTAGTAAATAGAATTTGAATATATATATATATATATTATTACTTGTTTTGCTGGAGCGATAGCACAGCGGTAGGGCGTTTGCCTTGCATGCAGCCAACATGGCCGACCGGAGTTCGATTCCTCTGCCCCTCTTGGAGAACCCGGCAAGCTACCGAGAGTATCTCGCTCACACGGCAGAGCCTGGCAAGCTACCTGTGATATATTCGATATGCCAAACACAGTAACAACAAAAGTCGCCAATGGAGACATTACTGGGCCCGCTCGAGCAAATTGATAAACAATGGAAGGAGCTTTACCTTACCTTTACCTTACTTGTTTTGCTGTGATGCTATGCATCCCTCTCCTACCTTTTGCTCTCTCCAAAAAGCCCTGCCATATGGTACAGGTTTTTTTGTGCTGTTTAAGACCAATGAGAAAATCACCAACTCTGTGGTAGCTGCATCCAGGAGACAAGTCAAAAGGCCAGTGACAGACTGGTTTTGGAGGTTTTAAAGTAAACTGCAGCTTAAGAGAACTGGAACAGAAGGCAGTTCTGTTGTCCTCGAGGATGTTCAGGGAGACAGATGCATAGATACTTCACTTTACCCCTCCATGACATGAGCTGCTTAAGATAGTCTGGTAAAGAGAGCAGCTTAGTGCCAATTAGTTGCCTCACCCAATATATTCAGAAAAGGCCAAAGCCTCTATAAATGATCATGAATGAATCACTTTGTTTTTATTTAGAATAACATTTAGATGAGACTAACACCCAAGGACAGTAGAGACAGGGCTAGGAAGATTGCTCCAACAGTTGGAAGCCTGCCTTCTGAGCTGGGGGAGAAGGCAGCTGAGATAGAGAAGAGATCACTAAGTCAATGATGGTTGGAGGGATCGCTTGGGATGGGAGATGTGTGCTGAAAGTAGATAAAGGACCAAACATGATGGCCTCTCATTATCTGTATTGCAAACCATAATGCCCATAAGTAGAGAGAGAGTAAGAGTGAAACTGTCTGCCATAGAGGCAGGGGCATGGGGTGAGTCTGGGGTAGGAGCAGTAGCGATACTGGAGACATTGATGGTGAAAAATGTACACTGGTGGAGGGATGGGTGTCCAATCACTGTAGACCGAAACTCAAACATTAAAGCTTTGTAAGTGTAGGTCATGGTGATCTAATTTGAAAAATTAGAAATTGAATCTGGAAATTGAAAATTGAATTTCGTAGCAATTTTAGACTATCAGTGGGGTTTTGAATGGTCCCTCGTCTTCTAGGTAATAAGGACTCCACTTCCCAGTATCAGTAAGATCAACCACAGCCTGCAATCAACTCTTGTTTCAGACACATCTTATTCACATCCATGGGCAACATGATGGAGGGACTGTCAGTGTATCTGTTTTTCATAAATGACAGAATAGAGACCCAGAGGATGAAATGCCTCAGCTGGAGGTATAAGGACTTGAATTCTTGTCTCTCTGTCTTCAAAGCTGTAGTTCACAACCACTGAGCAGTGCTGAGTAAAATATGTCAGCAGAGGCAAATGTATGATCTTCATAGATGGGGAATTCTAGAGCACTCAACTCAGACACAAGTGGTTACCAGTGGGGAATGATATGTTAGTTGCAAGTGTATAAGCTTATAGTCCTAAATGGAGTCAGTTCTAAGAATCCAATGCACTATTTGGTGACTAGTTAACAACACAGTACTACATGCTTGAAAATTTTTAAGAGAGTAGATGTCTAATATTTTCATTATAACAGCCAAACAGTGTTTCTGTGAAGTGACATGTCAGTAACATCATTGAAATCGCACTTTTGTGGTCTATCTATATAGAAACTCACATTGCATACCTGGATCTTAAATGTTATGTAAATTATATCTTAATAAAGCTGAAATAGGAAAGACAGCACTAAATGCTCATTTTACATAAAATCACAAGATATTTGATAAAATTTACCTACTTCTTATAAAATTCTCTTGTAAGTCAGTTAAAAAAAGACAAACATTGTATGATGTAATTTAATGTGGTATAGAGAAGAAAAAGAAAAACTAAATTACACAGAAATACTTTTATACTATTAAGAAGATGAGTGGCTAGGAGAGGGGGAAAGGGCGGTGAGAGTGAAAGAGTTCAGTTGTGTGTGGACAGACTTGAAGTGGTGGTCTTAAGTAATATGATAGTCTACTACCTTACACAATGTTGATTTTTAGTGGAACACACCTGAAACTTACATCATGCACTATTATTTCCAAAAGCCAGAAACTGAAATGTAATATCCTAGACATCACTGATATTGAACAGAACTATGCCAAAGGATTTTGAGATGACTTATAAGCAAAGAGCTCTTTTAATATCTGTTGAGCCTCTACCATATATTCTTCTATAGGAACAGCTTGTCCTAATAATCATATTGTTATACTTCATGTTGTCATAATAGAAAGTGCTCAGGTGTTGGTCAAGAAGATTGGTCCAGAATCCAGGATAGTAGAATATACCCTTGAGAAGTAAGTGGATACCTGTACAACCTTGAGAGCTCAACACCTTAATTTGTTCATCTGAAAAATGATATATATATTACAGAAGCAGTATATGAAGTTTTTTTTACTATCATGTTTATTCTAATTAGTTTTTAATCACTTGCTCTTAATTTTGAAGATTCTACTTAGCATAGTTTTAGATAATTCTTTATAGCTAAAGTTTCCTATTTATATTCCATATCAACCCTGTTTTGTCACTAAGTTGGCTACTGGAAACAATCATATATGGAACTCACCTTCTTAAAATAAAGAAATAATTTGCTGTTTTCTCATTTTGGTCTCTCCTTTCTTTTTTTTTTTTTTTTTGTTTTTGATCCTGGTTTTTATTTTCCTAACTCTAAACAGGGTTTCTGTAATGTGCCTTTCTGGATACTTCCAGTCTCTGAGGTCTTTGTAATTTAGTAAATTTGTTACCCTGTATTGAAACCCCACTTTTCCTGTAGCCCCATTTTGAAATGCTGCATATGGAGATTGACTACAGATGAGGCTCTGCAAACTCCCGTATTGCCTAGCAACACCAGCTACATGCAGAGGAAGAACATGAGCTCTTGGTGTCTCCCATTCTAGGAAAAGATGAAAGGCAAAAACAAGCTAGTGCCTCGCCTGCTGGGGATCACCAAGGACTCGGTGATGCGGGTGGATGAGAAGACCAAGGAGGTGCTACAGGAGTGGCCACTCACCACAGTCAAACGCTGGGCAGCCTCTCCCAAGAGCTTCACTCTGGTAGGGGTGGGCTGGGCAGGGCTGGGGGCATTGGGAGGGTGCATGAAGGACTGGAGAGGGGATATCACAGGGGCATGTGTGTTGCCAAATGGGTCAGAAGACTTGGGGGTTTGGGCGTCCTGGTCTTAGAGGGCAGCTAGGACAAGAGTAGATAGGGTGCTCTTGGAGAGGGGGCATTTGTCAAAAAAGGTAGGAGCCATATGGGTCCATTGGGTCTCCTTGGTTAAGACTCCAAGTTCCTCTGCAGAGTATAATAGACTTCAGATAATATTTGGAACCAGTTTATCATTTTCTAACTCTGTGACCTTGTTCATGTTACCTCTCTTTGTGCCTTCATCTACTCATCTGGGTATGGAGAAATTGACACTTCCTCTGAGCTGTGACGGTTCAACAGGATGATGATAAATGAGAAATGCAGCACGTGGGAAGTGGAGAGAGTCTCGGTGTGTCCTCACCTTCCAGCCTCTGAGTTCCTCCACTTAACTGCTGCTGTTATTCTCAACAGAGTGTAACTGGGTAATCTCAGCTACAGCCACACTGACCTGTGGGACTGATTTTTGCCATTTACTGTGTAGAGCAAGGGGAAAATTTTTAAAAAGTGGAAAAACACTGAGGTTTAGGCTGCAGAGATGGTTCTAGTGGTACAGTACATGCCTCACAAGAATAAGACTCCAAGTTTAGTCCCCAAAATTGCACCCCATAATCCCAGCATCACTGAGTATGAATCTCATGGCCCCAATACCACTGGCTTGAACTTTAGTATACCACAGATTCGAACCAGCTTGAGCTCCAGGGCCCCAACACTGTGTTTCCGTTAAAAAAAATACATTAACAATAATCATTTCTTTAAAATTCCTGAAGTTTACCATTCTGGTGTAGTGAACTCTTGAAATTCAGTTTACATTTAGGCAAGTCTTCCCCCAAGACATTAGGGAGAAAAAAGGGAATTATGAACTGTCATCACTGGTCGACACTTGCCATTCGAAGGACTTCCCAGAACACAAACCTTCCACTTATAGTCAGAGCACTGCCTACCTTACCCTTAACTAGGAAAATGCTCAGAAAACCAAGTCCTCGCTTTCCAATGTAGCTAACTGGATATATTTTTTTCTTTTTGCTTTTCGGGTCACAACTGGTGATGCACAGGGATTACTCCTGGCTCTGCACTCAGGAGTTACTCCTGGTGGTGCTCAGGGGACCATATGGGATGCTGGGAATCGAACCCAGGTCGGCTGCGTGCAAGGCAAACACCTACCCGCTGTGCTATCTCTCCAGCCCCTGGATATCATTTTTATGATGGAAATATCAATAAAAGTTATTTTGATCCATAATATTGGAAGACAGGCTAAAATACCCAGATTTCCTGATCCTCCTTTCCTACTGTTTACTGTTGGTGGATTTTTTTTTTCGGTGGCGGGGGAGGAGCGGTTTTTTGTCCCTTAAAACAAGACCTCAGGCTTTTTTCCACTCTGGAAATGCCCATGATCATTCAAACATATTTTTTATCCTCACATCTCTCTAAACTTTTCAATAAAAACTATTTTGCTTCACTAAAAATTTTAATTAAAAAACAGATATCAGTATTAACTCATTATTATATAAAGCTACTTTAAAAACAAATTAAAAATCATTAGAAATCTCAGAAATTACCTCAAGGAAAAGAAAAAAGGGAATACTGATATTTTTATTAAAGTATAAAGATGGATTGAAGCTTGTAGCATCTCAAAATTCTTTTCTTCTCTCCCTTTTTTATTTAATTTTCAAGTGTTTGAAAAAATTTTATTCCTTCCTCTCATTTTCTTCCTTCCTCTCTCTTTCTCTGTCTCTGTCTCTGTCTCTGTCTCTGTCTCTGTCTCTGTCTCTCTCTCTCTCTCTCTCTCTCTCTTTCTGTCTCCCACTCCCTCCCACTTTTTGTCTCCCCTCCCCCATCTCTGTTTTTGAGCTTTAGTTTAAATCTATTCTGGTCAAAGAAATTACCCTGTGTAATTCCAATTGTTTTCAAACTTTAAAAAAAGATTTATTTTATATCCCAGGACATACTCATTATTGGAGAATGTTCCATGAGTGATTAAAAAGAATGTCTATTCTGCTGCTGAGGGAAGTGTTCTAGAAATTTGAGGTAGATCCTGTTAGCTGTTGGTAACTGCTGTCTTCTATGTCTTTGTTGACTTTATCTTTGTCAATTTTATGTATGGCTCTTCTATCAGTTCCCAAGAGTTACAGTCCCCACAATAATCACAGGGTTTTCTCTTTCTCTCTCATTTTATCAGGTTTTGTATTTTGATACTCTGTAAATCGATATCTGTGCATTTAAGATTTATCTTTTTTTTTTTTTTTGCTTTTTGGGTCACACCCAGCAATGCATAGGGGTTACTCCTTGCTCTGCACTCAGGAATTACTCCTGGCGGTTCTCAGGGGACCATATAGGATGCTGGAGATCAAACCCGGGTCGGCCATGTGCAAGGCAAATGCCCTACCCGCTGTGCCATCGCTCTAGCCCCTCATTTATTTTCTTAAATGGAAAAATTGCTTTATCTTTTTTGGGTTTGTACTTAGTAATTTTTTTTCTGCTTTGATCTTATTTTTATACTGTTTGCCTATTATATATTATTCTATTCTTTCACTTTCATTGTAGCTGTATTGGGGTATTTAAAATGAGTTTAGTACAGAGTTTCAGCTGCCAGTCCACAGACAGGAGCTGGTCTCCGCAGGTTTTAAGCCATTGAAAATCCCTGATGTTGAGGGTCTAGGTGTGTGCTTTGAAAATTATCTCAACTTCCATCTTTTTTAAAAAAATTTTTTATTAGTGAATCACCATGAGGTACAGTTACAGACTTATAAACTTTCGTGCTTGCATTTCAGTCATACAATGGTTGAGTACCCATCCCTCCACCAGTGCCCATTTTCCACCACCAATGGTCCCAACATCCCTCCCACCACCCCCACCCCATCACCCCATCCCCTCCACCCCACCCACAGCTTAGAAGCCGGCCTCAAATGCGGGGGGGGGGGGGGGGGCGGAGGGGGAGGGGGGAAAGCAGCTCAGATAGAGAAGGGATCACCAAGTAAAGAGTGCTAGGAGGGCCCTCTCGGGATGGAAGATGTGGGCTGAAAGTAGACTATAGACTCAACCTCCATCTTTCAATCGGCTTATTTAGACCTTTTATTCTTGGAGCTAATTATTGGTATGTTAAAGCTCTTTCATAGTTACTCTTCTTATCCCCCTCTACTTCTTTTTTATCTGCCATCCTGCTTATTACATGCACGTTTTTAGAACTTCATTTTTATATTTATTTTATTTTATCTGTTCAATCTAATTTTTTTTGCCATACCAGGGATTTGGCCTCTAGCATCGCACATGCCTGACATGCACTCATCCATTGAGGCAAATCACTGCCATGTTTTCACTTACTTATTTATATTTTTTATTTATCTATTTTCCATTCCTCTCGGCATCTCAGACCAGCAGTAAGACAAGTCTCTGAATCATCATGAGGCTTAAACCTGCAACCAGTCCAGCTGGCATTATTTTCTTGGATCTCTTAAACCTCACACCCATGATGGTGGTGAGGAAGAAAGCTGTAAACAGTGACAGTTTGATGTCTCGCCTGTCGTTGGAGACACGGTAAGCTCCATAGCCGGCTAGAAACCCCACGCCAAGGCCAGCAATCAGAGACGGAACACCCCCTTTTCGTTTATATCCCAAGATGCTTCTAAACGTCAAAAGATCTGCATACCCGAAACCAATAACGTCCACTGGCCCTGATGCAACTCTGCAGCTCCAGGCGGTCAGGCGAAAAAGCAGGGGCCAGTTACAAGCAAATGCGGTCGCTGATGCCCGGAGATGGGGCCCCACACAGGCGCCTTCCGATTTGGCATCCTAAGAAGTCGAGAGGAATGGAAAACGAAAACATGCTCTTCTTATTTAGAAGCTATATTATAAAATACATTTTTAAGTATTTTTCAGAAACAGAAGAAACAATCATCTCTAAAATAAACTGCTTTAGGGTTTTTAAACAAAAACTTTAACCATTGTATTCTAATTGTCAGGCACTGTTTTTATTAAGCTATAACGAATTGTGATACCTTTGATTTGCTTTGTTCAGCTTTCTGTATATGACATTCTTTTTGAAAGGCAATTCCTGGTATCCATCTGAAATAAGTTTGAATTAAACTACATACAGCTTATCAGGGGCTGGAACGAGAGCATAGCAGGTAGGGCTTTTGCCTTGCACATAGCCAACCCGGTTCGATTCCTCCGCCCCTTTGGAGAGCCTGGCAAGCTTCCAAGAGTATCTCATCCGCACAGCAAAGCCTGGCAAGCTACCCATGACATATGCCAAACACAGTAACAACAAGCCTCACAATGGAGACGTTAGTGGGCCCGCTTGAGCAAAATCGATGAACAATGGGAGGACAGTACTGCATTTATCTATTTATTTTTATTTATATTTTCTGCTTAGTTCTTAGTACCTCCTAATGAAATTAATGGCCACCTATCGGTACAAGAATTTTACCACTCTAAGGGATGGATGTTTCAATATTGTATGTCTGAAACTTAATCATGAACAACTTTGAAACTTTGCATCTCAAGGAGATTCAATAATTTTTTTTAAAAAAAAGAATTTTGCCACTTCAAGTAAAATGAGAAAACCTTACTTCTACTTAGGTTTCTTTGCAAGTCACACTTTTTGAATGTAATTGTAATTTCTCTATACAACCAACACCACTAACGATGATGTTATAACTTCTTCAACTGTAAATTGTAATTATAGAAAATTCATGAGAAGAGATCCATCAAATTTACTTCTCTTTTTCTCTATCAAATTGTTCTTTCCTTTATAAATTTCCCAATTTCTCCTGGAAACTTGTTCTTTACATTTGAAGAACATTTTTAAAGTCATTCTTTAAAGACCTGGCTGCAGCAACACTTTCTGAGTTTTCTTTCGTTTGAGGATGTTCTTATTTCTCCTTTTCACATGAAGGATAATTTAGCCAGAGACAGGATTTGAGACTGACATTTATTCTCCTTTAACAGTTGACAAATGCCACTTATTTCTTGTCACCAAGGTTAGAAATTTGCTGTCATTCAAGTTGACATTAATTTATCAACAACAGCTTACTTTTATTTGATTTTTTTTCTTTTTGGGTCACACCAGCAGTGCTCAGGGGTTACTCCTGGCTATGCACTCAGAAATTACTTCTGGCAGGGCATGGGGAACCATATGGGATGCCAGGGATCGAACCCGGGTCAGCCGTATGCAAAGTAAATACCCTACCTGGCGTACTATCGCTCTGGCCCTTTTAAAAAATTTTTTTTTAACTCCTTGCTTTGTCAGTTGTTTTTGTGTGAATTTTCTTGATTTGTTCTAGTTGGCATTTGCACAATTTCTTAAATTCAAAGGCTCATGCCACCTTTCACTAATCTGGGGACATTTTCAGTCATTATTTCTTTAATTTTTTGCGTGTTTGTTCCCCACACCCTCCTGGTGAGAATGACATTTGATTACCATTTTTAAAAAAATCCCTGAAGCTTTGTTTCGCTTTGTCTGTCCTCTCTCCATTTTTATACATTTCAGGATTAATTCTCTACTATTTTCCATCCTGTCATCTCCACAATACTATTTAATCTACTCGGTGAATTTTTTTCCATTTTGTTATTGCACTTTTTAAATTCTATAATTTCAATTTGGTTCCTTTTAGTGACCTGTTTCTTTGTTGGAGTTTTATGTTTTTCATATGTTTCTGGAGAATTTGAACTTGATTATTGAGACCCTTTTTGATAACTACTTTAATACCCTCCTATAATTCCAACATCTAATTCATGGCTATATTGGCATCATTCTTTCATCTTTGCCTTTCTCTGGAGACTTCCAAGCTGTGCTTAGAGTCCCAGGGTTACTCCCAAGGATACTTGGCCAGCTGGGCCTGTGATTCAACATGAGGTCCCAGGGATGTGGAGCTGCTCATGCCCTGTGGTTGCCGAGTATCACCAGGATCACCCTGGTGATGCTTGTGGCTCCCAGATTACACCCAAGGGTGATTGGAGACCTCTAGGCCATACCCACTGATGCTTAGTGTTCTCCAAGCCATAGCCAGTCATGTCTGGGGAATTCCAAGCCTACACCCAATGATGTTAAGGAGGCCCTATGGTTCTAGGAATCAGTCCAGTCAAAAACAATTCAGCGTCCCCTGATTATTTTTTCTTGCTCGTATTGCCGCTTTCCTGACCCTTGATTTGAAGTGTGATTTTCAGTGCTGCTATAGACATGTTGATCATGATGCCAGAAGCCTTTAGATCTCCCCCAACACCCTGTCTAGCTGACCATGGAGAATTCAGTAGTTTGTGTAGTGTTGTGACCTACTTTCTGTGGACTTGAGTTGTATTCACATCTCATTCTGGAGCCGCTGCAATACTGCACTGGCATTCTTGCTCAATCCGTATTGGTGCTGTCTGTGAAGGGAGGAGTTTCCTTGGAACCTTGGCCTCTGATGTGTCACTTCTATTGAGACAGGCAGTAGTTGCTGGGTCGAGAGGAACATATGGTTTCCCTGGCCAGAGCACCTGCGCTCAGACTTTCACCCCCATGCCACACTGTCCCCAGGCTAGGAGAGGGGATTTGTGTCCCCATGGGTCTTGCTGGACATTCCCTCTCCCCATCTTTGGCTGGAGAGGGCAAGCATCTCAGGAAATACCTGCCAAAGTTATAGGTCTAGGGACCCACCATCTAGCCTGGAGTAGTATGTAAAAGAAGGTCCAAGAACTCACCAGCTATGATTCCTCCAGTCCTAAGGCTTTAGTCATTAGATGTTGATGGAACCAGCTAACTTTTCAGATTTTAGATCCTTTTCATCAGACTGGTTTCCTGAGTCAATTTGGGGGCGGGGAGAGAAGAGTAAATCTACACCCCTTTTTTTTCTTCCAGAATTTTGCCTTTAATTCTTTAGCCTTTAAAACTGCTAATGTAGCTCTATTTCTTTTAATGTGGGTTTTTTTTTCCTTCTAGGATTTTGGGGAGTATCAAGAAAGCTATTATTCAGTCCAAACCACTGAGGGAGAGCAGATATCCCAGCTGATTGCCGGCTACATTGATATCATCCTAAAAAAGGTATTTCATTTGTATGCAAATTATTCATAAAGACTCTGATTAGATGATACTGCCATGAACAAAACATAACAATCAACACCCTCATGTTGAAAGTATTTGATCCTCATAATTTAAAAAAGAAATAAAATCACCTGGAAAAATTAATTAATTAATTGATTAATTTGAAAAAAAGAAAGTATTTGATCCAGACATTTAGTCTTTGATGTTGAAACTATTTGACTGGTCAGTCTTTGACCTCAGTGCCTTACAAGAATTTCTGGTGTTGCTGTGGCTTGTATTTATTTCATTAATGAAGAAGAAGAAGAATGAAAAATAATGCATCGCTCAGCTAATAAATAATCCTAGCCAAACCCTCAGCACCTTCTTCCCTAGGTGTTTTATGTATTTTAAACAAATTTAAAGAGGTTACTGTTTCATAATAATATTTCCTAAAACTTTAAAGGAAAACCCACTTGAATCATCATTTTTTCTTAGAAGATTGAGATCTGCATTGTCACTGTAACTACACCAATTTAAGTCTCTCCAATAAAAAGTAAAGATTTATTTCTAGATATCAAATAAATTTTATTATAATTGCTTTCATTCGCCCAAAATTATATTATTGAGTACAATTCAAGAAAATTTAGGTAACTCTGAACATTTCAGTTCATGTGACTCCTTTAGAAAGTTTTGGCTTTCTTTTAAAAAAGAATTCTTGTATTCAGTCCTGCGGCCTTTCATTTTTATATTTTGGTTCATCTGTAGAAACAAAGCAAAGACAGATTTGGACTAGAAGGTGATGAGGAGTCGACTATGTTAGAGGAGTCAGTTTCCCCAAAAAAGTAAGTATTGCTCATAGTTCCTGGGCAACACCCATATTCCTCAACCAGCTCTGTGTCCTAAAATGCCTCATGGCAGGGCTGGAGAGATAGCACAGTGGGTAGTATGTTTGCCTTGCGCGTGGCCAACCCGGGTTCGATTCCCAGCATCCCATATGGTCCCCTGAGCACTGCCAGGAGTAACTTCTGAGTACAGAGCCAGGAGTAATCCCTGTGCATCACCAGGTGTGACCCAAAAAGCAAAAAAAAAAAAATGCCTCATGGCAAGGAGAGAGCAGTGGCTAAAGGAGACAAGTTTGCACCAAGTGTGGCCCCAGAACATCAGGCAAGCAGGAACGGTGTTATAAGGAGGGGAGGGGGAGCATGTCAGGGAGATGCTGAAGCAAATGATGTAAGCTCTTGTTAAAGTCCACTGAGCATTTATGGCATAGTCTTGCCCTTCATTTCAGCTTCAGATATCATAAGCTATCATTTTCACCCAAGGCTGGAGAAAGAGCTTCCATGTGTATCTTTGTGGGGAGGGTCTAGGTTATTTTTACATTTTTTTCCTTTTTGGTTTAAAACCAAAAAGCCACATTTAACAGTGCTCACATCACTGGTGCTCAGGGACCATCAGTAGGAATGGGGCGGGTGAGGGAGGTTGGGGTGGGGTGCCAAGCATTATCCTCTGGACTCTGCACAGGCCATATGTGTAATACTTATCTCTGGAAGGTTTTGCTAATTCCTGCACTCTTTTTTTTTAATGTGTGGTCATGGGAATATAAATACATTTTCTATCCTCGCCATCTCATGTATAAAATAGTTCTGATAACAATATGACCTTTTAAGTTTTATTTTGGTCATTCAGTTTTTAATGAAGCAGAGACTAATGACTGGCTCCTGGAATATGCAGTTATTCTCCTCATCACTGCCATTTTAGCTGCAGAACAATATCCCTTTCATACATGAAGAAAGCAGTCATTCCAGTTAGGCATGTTTTTTTCACACCCCACTTGTCCACTGTCTAGAAATTCACAGATTCTTCCTGAGCCCTCCCAACAAGCCATCTTACTTGGTAGTAGCAGCAGGTCAGATATCAGATCCCCGCTGGATGGATGAGGAAGCAGAATCCGATGGTCAATGAGAAACTCAGGTTCATGCTGTGAAACTAAGCCATCACCCTGGAATGGATCCCACTACATGTGCCTGTAACATTGCCACTCTTTCCTACTCCCTCACTGTTGGCATCACAGTCACCCGGAGAGGGGCTTTTTTCCCCTTTAATTTAAAATTTTATTTTTATAAAGTTGTTCACAGTAGGGGCTGGAGAGATAGCACAGCAGATAGGTCGTTTGCCTTACATGGGGCCGACCCAGGTTCGAATCCCAGCATCCCATATGGTCCCCTGAGCACTGCCAGGAGTAACTCCTGAGTGCAGAGCCAGGAGTAGTCCCTGTGCATCACCGGGACTACTGTGACCCAAAAAAACAAAAAAAAAATGTTCACAGTAATATTCACATCAGCTGGAGCATGTAGGGCGTTTACCTTGCATGTGGCCAACCCAGGTTCGATTCCTCCATCCCTCTCAGAGAGCCCAGAAAGCTACCAATAGTATCCTGCTTGCACAGCAGTACCTGCCAAGCTACCCGCGGTGTATTTGATATACCAAAAACAGTAACAAGTCTCATAATGAAGATGTTACTGGCACCCGATCGAGCAAATCGATAAACAACGGGATGACAGTGCTACAGTGCAATATATCACATTCAATATTACAACACCAATCCCACCACCATTACACGTTCCCAGAAACAATATTTCTAATTTTCCAAACCACCACCCAAGCTTGCCCCAATAACAGGCCCTAAATAATTTATTCTGTGTTCTTGTTATGAATACTCTGCTAAAAATGATCGAAAAACTTGCCTTAGAAGAAAGTGTGTGAAGATTGTTGTATCTTAGTCGGGTGCCATTAAGCCTTTGTGTAAGAGATTTTACGACCATGCTGTTACAGGCTCTACTTTACACCCCATCCAATGTGGTGTGCTACTCCTGGTGTTGAGTATGAGAGGTGGCCACATGCTGCAGGAATTCTGAAATTTTAAATAGGGTGATACAGCTGGAGTTAAGTTTTGAATTGCATGGTGAATGTGGGGTCCAGAGGCATCTCTATAGTTTATGACTCTCTTCTGAGATTTATTTGTGAGTCTCTGGATCATGGCCGTTAATGAGCTTATGTGGCGCCAGAGACAATTTGTGATGTGACTGCCAGGCTTCCAGAAACACAAGTAGATTAGGGAAGTTCGCCCCTTCTTGACTCTGTGAAAGCCTGAAGATTTCAGTCACACAACCCGCATACCTGAGTTTTTCAGCATATTATACTCATGAATGAGGCTTTTCCGAACCTGTGGAGATCAACCTTGAGCATGGTGGTAATTGAGTTCTGGAAGTTTTCAGCTGCAGGGCTCTATAGGGACTGGTGAGTCCGCTGAGCTGTCCCAGATATGGGTTCAGTCTGGGTGGGACAGGAGTCATCTCTCCAGGTGCTTTTTTGTTGTATCTGGTGGTGTACACAATGGAAATGTACTTGATGGGAATCTGGCTACCATCTGGGAACTCTGAAATTCCTTGATTTGAGACTGGCTTTAACTGTCAGGGATGAGCTAGAACCTCTGGTCTGGGGGGACACTTAGCCTTCAGGGACGCTGTGACATTTATTCTTTCCCCTGCCTCCCGGGTGACACTAAATGCCTGTGTGTCCAGCTAATCCAATAGAAGCTGCCTGGTAGTAGGTGTCTTTGAACCAGCCTACTACTTTTCCCTCAACAGAACTGAGTCTTGGATGCACAGGTGCAAGTGGGGTGTCATCAAGGCAACTGAGAGGAGTGGGTCCCACAGTTGGCAAACTTTCCACTTTCACCCAGGCTGACAGTGACAGCAATCTCAAGGTGCAGGTGACACTGTAGACATCTCCTTGTCCACCCTCCCCAGTGTCAGGCCCTCTGCAGACTTTGTTGTTCTCACCAGAAACCTGTGCTTGCTGACCTGCCTTGTCCTGGGCAGCAGGGCCTGGCCTATTCTGTGTGAAGGACCCTAACCAGAAGCCTTTGTCCTTTAATGCAGCCACTGCCCGAGCCCCACCCCAATGCATATGCGCACTGCCCAGATTGCTGAGACAGAAATGCTGCTGTCTGACATTTTCTCTTCAAAGTGTCAGACCTGGGTTTGTACTCACTTTGTACTCACTTTCATTTTAAGAAGCTACCATGCAACAATAAATGGATAATGTTTGAAAAAGAAATAGATCAAGTTCCTCCCAGACCTGAGTGGAGACCATCTGGGAGAAATGCCACAATGTTCCCTTCTCAGGGTACCTGAGTATTTACATGTCCTCTTTGGCCAGTGGCTTGTACACAGCCTAGGAGGTCTAAGCTGGGGAGCTGGTTTTCCTTTCTGCATTCTTTCCTGCACCTCTCTCTCCATGGTGACACTAAATGCCTGTGTGCCCAGCTAATCTAATAGAAGCTGCCCGGTAGTAGGTCTCTTTGAACCAATGCTATTTTCCTGGAGGATTTTCCAAATAATATATAAATATAGTTACATTATTGATATAACTATAATAGAGAGTAATAGTCTCTAAACCTTGAACTACATAGAACTTCACTATCACGGGAAGATCTGCTCAGGTTTGCTTTATTTTCTTTTGGGTTTCATTTTGTTTTCTTTTGATGCTCAGAGAGCCGGGGGTATATCCAGAGGCTCTAAGTCCCACAGGCTAATGGGTCAGCGTGACATTGCTCAGGCCTTGAGATCATAGAAATATCCAGACCCAGAGATGACACATGAAGGTCCTGATCCCCAATCTCTGACCCACCACCTATGTTTTGTTGTTTTAAGAACAATAAGTTGGATGAAGCTGTTGAACAGATAAATCGGGGTGGAAAGTTGGAGGGAACACCTTTTGCACCGTGGGTTGCACAAGGTTCATTCCCAAGTCTTCCCAACACTGGGCATTTCTGGAATATCTGCTTCCCAGCTCTGCCTGTTCACTGTCTACTTCTCTTTCCATACTGACCTCCACACCCTGCATTAGCAAGTCCTGCCAACCCTCTTGTTCTGTCACGTGAGGAGCAGATGCCTCATGGTGCCCGCCTACCTGTCCCCACAGATCCACCATCCTGCAGCAGCAATTCAACCGGACAGGAAAAGTGGAGCATGGCTCAGTGGCACTGCCTGCCGTTATGCGCTCAGGATCCAGCGGCCCTGAGACCTTCAATGTGGGCAGTATGCCCTCACCACAGCTGCAGGTCCTGGTGGGTCAGATGCACCATGGCCACATGCCCCCACTGGTGAGCTCATGCTTCTCCTGAGGATGGTGGCAGGGGGAGGGGAGCTGGGGTTGAGATCCAGTCGAGTTCCAGAGCCCCCTCCAAGGAAGCCTTACTCCTCCTGGGTGCCTTTGCAGACACCTTGTCTGGTCCTCACTGGCGGGAAAGCACCAGTACTTGGCTGGTGATCTTGGGGTAGAGGCTTCCTCCCAGCCTCCGTGGCAGAAAACAATGGCCCTGTGGAGTCTGAGTACTAGACTGAGGCTTCTACAATTTGTGGGGATGCCCTGCAGGGAATCTGCCTCACTCTGCCCCGGGATGCTGGCAGGAACTCTGGGAGTGTTGAAGCATCTGTGCCTCAGCCAAAAGGCAACTGGGAAGAGGCACACTGCCTAACGGTAGTACCTAGACATAAAGAAGATCTCAGCTCTAACCTGGCTGTTTGCCACCTGGAGCTCAGCTGTCCTTGGCACTCCAGATTTGGGTCCCTGTCAGTGACTTTGGGTCTCCCTCTGAGCCTTTCAGCTCTGCTGATGACAACCTCTACTTTGGGTTTCCAAATCCTCATCCAAGCACTCTCCCTCCAAGGCCTAGCTGAGCTAAGAGAAGGTGTGGACCAGGGCTGAGATGCAGCGGAGGTCTCTGTTCTGAGGCTGATTTTAATTTCTTTGGTTAGCATAGAGCTGGAATGGTGGCAGGGTAATAGTTTCCTTGGGTGCAGTTGCCAAAGAGAGGCACTTTCTGTCTCTGTTTCATGATGGTCATGAGATTTCCAGTGCAATGAGTAATGTTTTGTTGAGAAGGATCCATGGCAGGGGAACTGGGGAGTTGGTGTGAGTGAGCAGTGCATCAGCAGTTCTCTGACACTATGCTCTCCCCTGTAGACTTCAGCCCAGCAGGCCCTCATGGGCACCATCAACACAAGCATGCACGCTGTCCAGCAGGCCCATGAGGACCTCAGCGAGCTCGACGCCCTGCCACCTCTTGGCCAGGACATGGTAAATAGCATCACGGGTAGAAAATGGGGGGTCACTAGGGCTGGGCTCTGACAGATGAATCTCTATCTCTGGCTAGGTGAAGTATCTGTGTGTGTGAGATCACATTTGTAGGTTATGTCAGCAGGAAAGTCCAGGGTACTAGTAGCTGTCACAGTGCCTACTGAAAGCCAAGAATCTAGACCCTGGACTGGCATCATCTCTCCTCACCTATCCCTCCATTGCTCAGGTGCCAGGTGAATGTGAGCCACAACCGCTGTCTCTGTGTCCATGAAATGCTAGAGAGATAGTACAGTAGGGAAGGTGCTTGCCTTACACACTGCTGACCCAAGTTCCATCTCTCATGCCCCATATGGTCCCAAATCCATGTCAGGAGTGACCCCTGAACACAGTGCCAGGAGTAAGCTATTAGCATTACTGGGTGTGGCCCCAAAACCAAAACAGAAGGAAGGAAGGAAGGAAGGAAGGAAGGAAGGAAGGAAGGAAGGAAGGGAAGCAGGGAGGGATGGAGGGAGGGAGGGAGGGAGGTCTCACTTTATGGTGGAACTTCTTGTTTCCTGGGTAGTTCTGGGTAGTGATGGTGCTGTGCATTTGTCTGACTTTGCAGGCATCTAGGGTCTGGGTTCAGAATAAAGTGGATGAATCTAAACATGAAATTCATTCTCAAGTGGATGCCATCACAGCTGGAACTGCTTCCGTTGTTAATCTCACAGCTGGTAAGTCCCAGAGATGCCTGTGGCAGATTGTGGTTTCATTGAAAAAAAAAATAGTGCAAACTCTTACTCTTTGATTGAAACAAGCAGGATTCCACTTTAGGAGAGGATGGTCTAATTTTAGGAACTGGAATACTTGAGGCATTTTTTTCCCCACTGACCCTAGATGAGGGTAGGGAATATCTTATTCCCTTCACTCTGTCTTATGTTTCATCCTTAAAAAGCACTTTCTTGCTCTTCCTTCTTATGTGTTCATATGCTGGAAATACTTAAAAGTGCATTGAGGTTTCTTCTCTCTACCAAGGAGTTTGATCAAATGAACCCACCTTGTGTGCAATTTTTTAAAAAAACCTTATTAAAAACTTTGCTTTACAAAGTTATTAATAGTTGAATTTTAAGAATATAATTTTCCAAAAATAAAGTACATCATAATCAGCTTAACAAAGGAGGTAAAGGATCTGTATAAAGAAAACTACAAAATGCTACTTCAAGAAATAAATATCCCCTGCTCATGAATTGGAAGTAACATTGTCAAAATGGCAATACTTCCCAAACCATTATATAGATTTATTGTGGTCCCTATAAGGATACCCATGACATTTTTCAAAGAAATTGATCAGACTCTTGAAATTTATGTGGAACAACAAACCCCCACAAATAGCTAATGAAAGAAGATGAGAGGCATCATCTCAACTTCAAACTGTACTACAAAGTGGTAGCAATTGAAACATCACAGTGTGAGAATAAAGACACATCCACAGACCAGTGGAATACAGTTGAATGTCCTGACACACACCGTCAAATATATAATCATTTAATCTTTGATAAGAGAGCAAGAAATATGAAATGGAGCAAGGAAAGCTTCTTTAACAAGTGGTGGTGGCAAAAATGGACAGCTACATGCAAAAAAATAGACCGAGATCTCCATTCTAACACCATGTGCAAAAGTCAGATCAAAATGAATTATAAACCTAGCTCGGGATGTGAGATGCTTGCTGAATGTAGACACTATAGACCGAACACGATAGCCACTCAATACCTCTATTGAAAACTGCAACACCCTAAAGGAAAGAGTGAGCAAAAGGGAATGCCCTGCCACAGAGGCAGGGTGGGGTGGGGGGATGGGGTGTGGGGGTGGGAGGACTACTAGGATCATTGGTGGTGGAGAATGGGCACTGGTGGAGGGATGGGTACTCGATCATTGTATGACTGAAACCCAAGCACAAAAGTTTGTAAGTCTACGACTGCACCTCATGGTGTTTCATTAATAAAAAATTAATTAAATAAATAATTTTTTAAAAAAATTAATTAAGAACCTTAACATCAGACCCAACTCCATAAGGTACATGGAAGAAAATGTAGGCAAAACCCTCATGACATTGAAGCTAAAGGTATTTTCAAAGATGAAACACCACTGACCAAGCAAGTGGGAACAAAGATAAATAAATTGGACTACATTAAACTTAAAACTTTTACACCTCAAAGGAAAGAGTGATCAAGATACAAAGACAGCCTACAGAATGGGAAAAGTTATTCGCCCAATACCCTACTGATAAAGGGGTTAATATAAAAGTTATATATGGCACTGGTAGAACTTTACTAGAAAAAAATTCAACCCCATCAAACAATGGGACGAATAAATAAAACAGAAGCTTCCTTAAAAGTGAAGAAATACAAATGGCCAAAATTCACATGGAAAAAATGCTCTACCTCACTAATCTTCAGGGAGATTCAAATCAAAACAACAATGAGATATTATCTCACACCACAAAGACTGGCACACGTCCAAACAAGAGCAACCAGTGCTGATGTGAAGGGAGAAAGGGACTCTCCATTGGTGGTGTGTATGCCGACTGGTCCAGCCTTTTTGGAAAACAACACTCCTCATAAAACTAGAAATTGAGCTCCCATTTGACCCAGGAATACCACTTCTGTCTTATATTTCATCCTTAAAAAGCACTGGGGGCCTAAAAGCACATAGCAAAAACACCCACTGAACTCCTTTGTTCATTGCAGCACTATTCTCAATAGCCAGAATCTGGAAACAACCTGAGTGCTTTATAACAGATGAATATATAAAGAAACTATGGCATATCTGCACAATTGAATACTACACAGCTGTTAGGAAAAATGAAGTCATGAAATGTGCCTGTAAATGGATGGACATGGAGAGCATCATGCTGAGTGCAGTGAGTCAGAAGGAGAGGGACAGATACAGAATGGCTGCATTCATTTGTGGGATATACGAATATATATATATAGAATATCCATGACCAGGAAAAACAGGCTAGGAGGACTGGTCAGTGGTTGGAATCAACAACAAGTGTGTATGGGGTGGAGGGTAGGTAAGACCGAAAAGGCACCAGTATGACAATAAGAGTTGGAAATGATCACGCTGGACAAGAACTGAGTGTTAAAAGTAGGTAAAGGGATATACACAATAACCTATCGTATCTGTATTGCAAATCATAATTCCCAAAAGAAGAGAAAGATGAGTGTGTGTGGCGGGAGTGTCTGCCATATAGACAGGCTTGTGGGGGTGATAATGGGAGGGAAACTGGGGACACTGGTTCTGGGAAATGTACACTGGTGGAGGGATGGGTGTTGCAACACTATATGATTGAAGCCTAACCATGAACAGCTTTGCCAGGGTCTATCTCACTGTGATTCAATTTTTTAAAAATCTTAAAAATAAAGAAAAGAATAATTCAATACCAATCCTGCCACCAGTCAACTTCCCTCCACCAGGGTTCCTATATTCCCTCCCACCAGAACTCCCAGCCTATCCCCACCTGTCAACTTGATAGACACATTACAGAGTTTCAGTGATTGAAGCTTAGACCTCATGTTTTCAGTGTTGTTGAGTCTGCATTTTGGATATATTACTATACTGCTCACTGTGTCCCATTTTCTTTTCTTTTTTTAAAATTTTTTTATTAGTGAATCACCATGGGGTACAGTTGCAGACTTACAAACTTTCATGTTTTCATTTCAGTCATACAATGATCGAGAACCCATCCCTCCACCAGTGCCCATTCTCCACCACCAATGATCCCAATATCCCTCCAACCACCACCACCCCATCCCCTTACCCCACCCTACCCCGCCTCTATGGCGGGGCATTCCCTTTTGTTCTATCCTTTGTGTGTCATTTTCTGTGTGGTTCCACCCCTGAGTGTAGCTCAAGGCCTGGACCCCTGCACAGGCCAGCTAGAGCGAGGAAAGAGCTTGTGTCCATATCTCAGTAGCAGAGATGATCTCAGGAAGCAGCTGACAGTCGAGGACCCTGAGCTGCTGAGAGCCTCTGGGGGAATGTGCTCAAATGCCTGTGTAGGGTGCTTGCCTTGCACACAAGTGATCCAGATTCATTCCGCAGCATCCCATATGGTCCCCCAAACTTGCCAGGAATCAATCCTGAGTACCACCAGGTAGAATCCCAAAACAAGAACAAACAAACAAACAAAAATTCTCGTGTTTGAGGCCTGGGCATGAAGAGCTTTGGAGCCAGAAAGCCAGAGTGTCATGGTGTACACATGCTCTCCTACCTAGTGATGTTCTCTCTCTGTCCCAGGTGACCCTACAGACACTGACTACACAGCCGTGGGCTGTGCCATCACCACCATCTCCTCCAACCTGACTGAGATGTCCAAGGGCGTGAAGCTGCTGGCGGCCCTCATGGACGACGAGGTGGGCAGCGGGGAGGACTTGCTCCGTGCAGCCCGGACTCTGGCTGGAGCAGTGTCAGACCTGCTGAAGGCCGTGCAGCCCACTTCTGGGGAGGTGAGTGCCCTGGGCTGCAGATTCCGGCTCCTGGGACAGGTGGGCTCGGGAGTGGGGTGGTCTGCAAAGCTCCTTCCTCTGGGCACGTTGATGTCATAGTCATGGCACTGCCCACAGCACCACACTTCAAGTCTCTGAGCTCTCTGCCAAAGCCACCCTTCCCTTGTCACCATGGGCTGCTTGTCACCTCAGAAATGGACACACAAGAATGCCTGGAAAGAAGATTTTGCAGCCCCAAACACCCAGGAAGTATGCCTCACCTTCTTAGCAACCAAGTGAGGCTTCTTAGGAAATCTGTTTGACTCCCCCTCGCTGTGGATTGGGTGACTCTGGGCATATCCTTGCACCTGTCTATAGTTTTTTTCCTCCTGCCATCTTTGAGACCTATTTTCATGCCAGGGGAACCAGTACCAGTGGATTCTTCTTCTTCCCTCACTGCTGGATGGGATGAAACTATGGAGGAATTGAAGTTTTCCTTTCCTCCACCCATGTGTATATTTTGTCCACAGCCTCGACAGACAGTCCTGACCGCTGCTGGAAGTGTTGGCCAAGCCAGCGGGGATCTTCTGAGGCAGATCGGAGAGAATGAGACGGATGAGCGGTTCCAAGTAAGCCATGTACAGCCCACAGTCTTGGCAAGGCAGAGGGGATGGCACGGTCTGCATCCAAGCAGGGAGAGTGAAGAACCAGACAAACCTTGAGTTGTTGGGAATAGTATTGAAGTGGGTTCTCCTGGGAGAGATGTCTTTTGTGTTCACTTGAGTTTGTTTACATGAAAGACTCTCTTCTCTCTTGAAGAAGCATCTTTTAAAGAGGGAAGTCAGGGCTAGAGAGATCGTCCCGGGGGTAAGGCACTTACTTTGCATATCGCTGATCCCCATTCAGTCCCCAGAATCAGAGCAGGCTCCCCAAGTCCTGCCAGGAGTGATCTCTGAGCACAGAGCTAGGAAGGAGTAATCCCTGAGTTCCAGCCCAAAATCAGTGGCCCAAAACCAAATGATAGTAATAGTTGGAAATGATCACTCTATACAGGAACTGAGTGTTACAAATAGATAAGGGGAGATACATGATAAGCTCTCAGTATCTGTATTGCAAATCATAATGCCCAAAAGAGTGAGTGAGCAAGTGAGGGAGAGAAAAAGAGAGAAAGAGAGAGAGAAGTGGGGGAAGGAGTTGATTGGAAGAAAACTAGGGACATTGGTGCTGGGAAATGTATGCTGGTGGAGGAATGGGTGTTGGAACACTGTATGAATGAATGAAACCTAACCATAAACAGCTTTGTAAGAGTCTATCTCACAGTGATAAATTAAAAAATGTATTTAATTAAAAAAAAAAGCTGAGAGAGAAAGGCTGCATGGTAAAGAGGAAAGTCAGAGAAGACCCTTTGATGACCCTCTGTCTCTGTCCAGACCTCTGTGGTCTTGATTGATCAGGTTTCAGAGGCTTGGTTCTTGAGTCCATCACCAAGTCGGGAATAGTCTTGAAGTGATGGACTCAGATTCCACCAAGTGGAATATGAAACCTGTGCCATGACCGCTGAGCTCGCTTCACACAGGCTCCCCTGGGTATCAAAAGGGGTCTGTGGTCTTCCAGAGCCCCGTATCTAGCAGAGAAACTTCTGTCACCTTCTTTTCAGTGCTTGGTCCTCTCTCTGGCAAGCACCTGTTGCCACCATGATAGCAGGAGATGCTGTTTCAGCTACAGCTGCCAGATCACACCCCTCCCCTGCGTCCTCCATACTGAACCACCGCCTCTGAGCCAAGCTTCCAACTATGAGGAGTTTCTCTTCTCACGTCTGTCAGAGCACCTGTCCTCCACTCCCTTTTCTCATTTTCCTCAGTCTGATCTTTGCCAGCTATCCGTTGTAACTGAGCGGCACAGTGCAAGCTGTGAGTTTCCTTTCCTAACTACAATGTCAAAATCACAAGAAACTGCACAATGTAGAATAAAAGGACCAGACCAGGGGCTGGAGTGATAGCACAGCGGGTAAGGCATTTGCCTTGCATGCAGCCAACATGGCCGACACAGGTTCGATTCCCAGCATCCCCTATGATCCCCTGAGCATCTCCAGAAGCAATTTCTGAGTGCATGAGCCAGGAATAACCCCTGAGCATCGCGGGGTGTGACCCCTCAAAAAAAAGCGAAAAAAAAAAAACCAGACCATTTCCTCTAAACTTCTGGTTTCTTGTTTCACAGAAGGACAATTGTCTTGACCAAACTTTGTGGCCACAAGATGCTTCTAGGAACACTCCACACCCTGTTCTGTGTCTCGTGAGATATGATGTCTCTGTCCACTGAGGCTTCTGTTTGTGCTGTGCTCTCTACAGCCTTGCTAGCTGGGGTCATGGATCCCTTCACATCTGTCAGAGCAGTAAGACATTGGGTGCAGGAATAGTCATGGCACAATAGAGGCCACATAATTGTAGGAATGTTTTGGAAGGTGATTCTCTGTAGGGTGGTCAATAAGACCACCTATAGACAGCATAACTAAGGACTATAGAAGTGTATCATCCTAAATCCAAGCTCATTGTTCCCCAATCCTGGATTTCCCTTTGCCAAGTTCCAAATTGGCCTTGTGTATCATTCTCACTTTTCTTTCCATATCAAAGCAGCGCTGTCCTTTTGAGTTTTTCTTTAAGTTTTGTTTTTGGAATCACACCTGGCCATGCTCAGGGCTTATTCCTGGCTGTGTACTCACTGGGATTACTCCTGTTGGGGGTTGTGGGACCATATGGGGTGCCAGGGATCAAACTTGGATCAGCCATGTATGAGACAAGCTACCCTCTGTGTACTAGCTCTCCGGCCCTGCAATGTCTTTATAGGGAGACACCTGCCTAGGAGTTGGGTAAGTGAGAGGCTTGATTGTCTTGAAAGGGTCCCCTCACTTTCCTCAGAAGTATGCCCAGTGCCCCCAAATAATGGGGAGCTGAGGGAGTCTCCAATGAGCCCTCAGATATCTCAGATACCTTTGTGCCTTTGCAACTCCCCTTTTCCCCCTGACGGTTTTCTGTTTGTGGAATCACAGATTTTGCTCCCTACATTGCTCAGCCACTTGGTTTATCAGGGAGCAGCTCAGATTCAGTGGATTCAATCACTCCCAGAGTCTGCACCTGAGTCAGCTGCAGAGCAGGAGGGCAAGGCTGCACGTCCTGCCACTCCAGCCTTCCCACTTTGCTGGTCCTCCTTGTTCCTCCTCTGAGTCTTCCCATAGTCTCACGGAGCTTTCCTTGTTGTTTTTTTTAATCACATTTTTATCACATTCCCTGCTCCCAGAATTGACAGAGGGTTGTTTCTTTCTGGTGTCGGAAAGGCCAACAGCTCTTTGGGTAACTGCCAATGCAGGACCATGTGCTTTCTCCAACTCTACTTAGGAGAACAAAATTCATAGGAGGAACAGGATTTCTTAACATAGATATAATAAGTCCTTTATAATGATCATGACACTCCATGACCAAAGATTGGTCCCCATGTGAAAAGAGGAAATTATGTCGGGTAAAGGGATTGACTTAGAACTGTTTATTTAAAAACTCTCTTTAGGGCTAGAGTGATAGTACAGTGGGTAGGGTGCTTGCCTTGCATGTAGCCTACTTGACCAGGTCCAATCCCTGGCACTGCATGTGATTCCCCAAGTTCTACCAAGAGTGACACCTGGGTGCAGAGCCAGGAGTAATTCCTGGGCACCACTTGGTGTGGCCCAAAAACTAAAAAAGTTGTTTTTAGGGGCTCGGGAGATGCTCAAAAGGCTGAGCTCATGCTCTGCCTGCCAGAGCCCCAGGCTTGGTCACTTGCACTGCATGGTCCCCTGAAGGGGACCCCTAAAGGTTGGAAACACCCCCTTGGGCACATGCCAGAGTAGCCCCAAAGTGCAGCTGGTTGTACCCCCAAATTATTGCCCCCCAATAATATATGATGTTCAAGTTTGACTTTCACTGAACATTGAGGTGGGTGTCCATGAACTCAGTCTTGGAAGTGATTTCTACATGGTAGAAAAAAAAAGATAAGGCAGACCATGAAGGTATCTTCAGCATTGGGCTCCCTAGCCTTTGATTTGCCTGGAGTGTCTAATGCACATCCAAGACAGATTGACCTATTCCTGTAAGACAGTTTCATCTCTGTTCCTTTTACAGTTGGCTGATGGGGTGCACTTCGCATTTCTGATGTGCTTGGAGAGCATAATCTTTGCTCTGTGAAAAAAATTATCTCAACACTCTTTCCAATATATCTTCCCATAAAATATCTTGTTGTGAAAACTCTGCGGGGTGCCATTAGCATTCGGAATCAAGCATGCTTTTCATTATCTGATGAATTAATAAAGACTTCTGACCACATTTCTTCCAGGAGAAAGCCTTGACATGTTAGTTCTAAATCAAAATAGCTTCTATGTTTGGGAAGGCATTTGAAAAACAAATAAGCAACGGATGTATTTCAAAGCCAAGAAGAAAATGAAATGTGACAGTGATTATTTTTTGCATTCCATGGATGAGTGATGGGGCTAGATCAAAGCCTCTCCACCTTGCAAGCAGAGCACCTTTTTTTTGTTGAGTTGAAGCATAAGCTAATCTTTAAAGACTTAGAGATCCTTGCATCTTCCGTGAGGTTGTCTTGTAGCTTGTTTATTTATGTATTTCCATTTCTATCCTAACTTAATTCTGATCCAAGAGGTGACTGGTAATCAGAGCAATCTGTGGTGCTTGAGCTGTAGGTCTTGTCTGAGCCCGCCCAACACTGCCCTCTGCAGGCAGAAACGTGGCTACCTTTCCAATGTGCCAATCCCTGTACCTGGTAGAAATCCAAAAGATAAATTTCCAAGTTACTGTGAGGCACTATGACTTGGAGATCCTGAATTATGTCCTTTCTCCAGCACATTGCATTTTTGGCATCTAGGTATACTTTCTGCTTCTCTGCCTCCGCCACACCAACCATACTGGGGAGAGACATGGTCCAGACTCACCGTGTGGGAGAAATGCCTGGATGTGAGTCTGTGGTCAGGATAAAAACCCTGGCCTCGGATGAATTTAGCTTAGATTTCAGCCTGAGCTACATAATAAAGGTGCAGGACACTGCATTAGCATGAAGGCCTCCTGCTCTAATCGTCTCTAAGGATAAGCCACTTCAGAAACATAAGTGGAAAACTGTTCATTGAAAGCAGCCAGGGAAGAGGTCAAAAGGATTCTTGGAAAGGTTTCAGCAGGTGCCAGCTTTTGTTTCCTGGATGTGCAGGGTGATCATGACTAGTTTCTGGCTTCCTTTTTTCTCAGGATGTTCTGATGAGTTTGGCCAAAGCTGTAGCCAATGCTGCTGCCATGCTGGTGCTCAAGGCCAAGAACGTGGCACAGGCGGTGGAAGACACAGTCCTGCAGAACAGGGTCATTGCGGCAGCCACCCAGTGTGCCCTCTCTACCTCACAACTTGTGGCATGTGCCAAGGTGAGCCAACTGGAACCCCCTGTCCTTCCTACAGTGTTGTGCCTTCCTGCCATCTGGGGGACATGCTGAAGAGCTCAGAGATTTGGACCAGATTTCTGGGTCTCCCTTTGGCTTCATCACACTTAGCTGCCCATTTCTGCATCCAGTGTGTGTTCATTGCTCAGGCCCTTGGGCAAAGGGGTACTTCTGTGCACAGCTGTCATTTCTGCATACCTACACTTCCATGTAGGCCTGTCCCTTATGAGACTTCTCAATGGGTTTTATTTAGAGCTGAATCCCGGAAGCCTGACCTTGGGTGGCACACAGGGTATGTGAACCCAGAAATAAGTGGTGGCATCTGCCCTAGGGTCATTTCTGCCCTGTAAGGTGTTGATTGGAGGGAGCCAGGGATCCTTTCATTGTCCACACTTGCCCTCACGAAACGTCATTACCCTCAGTTTTCTGAAGAGGAAACTGAGATCTTCCATGTTAGTTTGGGGCAGAGCTGGGGCCCTGACACGCCTCCAATTCCCACTTCTCCCAAGCGTCTGCTACAGTGAATCTCTAGCATAGCACCCACATAGACCTGTGACATGGTTCAGCCTGCCCTTCCTGCCCCGGGGAGGCTTTGCAGCATCATTCAGTGTGGTTCTGTGGCCCCCGGTTTGTCTTGTGCCCTCTCCTAGTGCCCGTGGATAATTAGTAAATCCCTGTTCTTTGAAGAGACACATGACTCTGGAGCAGGAAATATAGTTCATCATGTTACCTTCTTTTAAAAAATGTACTAAGGCACTGTGATTTACAATTCATAATACATATTCAGGCACACATTGTTCCAGCACCAATCTACTAGTGTCCACTTCCCTCCAAGAGTGTCCCCAGGTTCCCTCCCACCCCACAGCCTTCCCTCTCAACAGGCACATTTTTTCAGTTCAACTGTTGTGGTTTGGATCTCCTGTTTCCAATCCTGATGGTTTTGTGGTTCAAATATGTAGATATGCCACAGTTCTACCCAACTCATGTGCCAGGGGTCTGCCCTCTGTCCCAGTACCTCCCCCTCCACCTCTTCTTATCCCCCACCCCCTAGATTTCTTTGCATCCCAATTTCTGTAATTCAGAGACCAGGGAAACCTAGGGCTCCCCCTTTGATGCCCTGTGATCTCTTGTCCTGTTTTTTTCCTCCACAGAAGAGTTAAGATCATTCAGTATTAGTCTTTCCTCTTCTAAGTCACTTCACTGAAACATGAGCTCCTCCAGTCCCATTCAAGTTGCAGCCACCCACTTCTTTTCCCAGGTCAGACGGTGCATTTCAGAGTTCCCAAAGGCAGGAAGTACAGTTGACGAAATCCCAAAATGTCTTTCAGTAGGCTAGATTGTCACACAGCACTTAAATGGATGGGCGTGCTATCCCAAAGCAGAGCTGAGGCCTTATGCTGGAGGCCTCTGCTGCTGTCTCCTCTTCACAATAGTCCTTTTCCTCCCAGTGTTAGACACCTCTGCAGTGTTCACCCACTGCCCGGCTGTTCAAAGAAAGACTGAAGCCTAGAGCAGAGTGGACCTCGGGGTGGAGTGGGGGGCATGCCCAAACCCCTGGAACTCGCACTTCCCAGGGCCCTCTCGTTCACTCTAGGTGGTGAGTCCCACCATCAGCTCCCCAGTGTGCCAGGAGCAGCTGGTGGAGGCGGGGAAGCTCGTGGACCGCTCAGTGGAGAGCTGCGTGCGGGCCTGCCAGGCGGCCACCGATGACCGGGAGCTGCTGCAGCAGGTCAGCGCAGCGGCCAGCGTGGTCAGCCAGGCCCTGCACGACCTCCTGCAGCACGTGCGCCAGTTCGCCAGCCGCGGGGAGCCCATCGGCCGCTACGACCAGGCCACGGACACCATCATGTGTGTCACCGAGAGCATCTTCAGCTCCATGGGCGACGCTGGTGAGAGGCTGCGCCGGGGGCAGTTCTGCTGCTCAAGGCTGATGGGTACCTGCCGCCAGGGCAGGCAGTCGGCTCCCATCAGAGCTCCCGAGGCTGGGACAGCAGGGAGATTCCTGGGATGGTGTCCACACATGGACAAGGCTTCATCACCAATGGGCAGTTGTCCCATCTAACCTGAGAGTAACCCCTATGTAGGCAGAGAAGAACTGATGCAACCGCCCGGGGATGAACAATGAGGAGAAACTGTTAGACTCACTGGTCCCAGAGAGGAGTCACTGCCTGGCTCGCGGGGCATACTTGGGAGCAGAAGACAGGGCTAAACGGAGGGCAGAGGTCATGAGCTTGATTGGGATCTCCCTGGGAAAGGCCAGGCAGGACAGAGTGAACATCTCCAGAGTGGTGACTCAGAATGATTTCTATAGGCACTGTGCTCTGGCTCTGAATCCTCAGTACTTGTGTGTGTTGGGCTGGAGCGATAGCACAATGGGTAGGGCGTTTGCCTTGCACACAGCCAACATGGCCGACCCAATTTTGATTCCTTTGCCCATCTCAGAGAGCCTGGAAAGCTATCGAGAGTATCTCGCCCGCACGGCAAAGCCTGGCAAGCTACCTGTGACGTATTCGATATGCCAAACACAGTAACGAGTCTCACAATGGAGATGTTACTGGGCCCGCTTGAGCAAATCGATGAACAATGGGAGGACAGTGACAGTGTGTGTGTTTGAGGTGATAAGATAGAAAAATATTGGCTTCTGGAGTGGTGGAACCAAACAGAGGAGGTGGGGCTCTGATCCACTCAACTCCTGACTGAAGGCTTGACTGTTTCTCAGAACCTGCTACTTTCAGCAGGGCAGCACTGCAACCAGAAGGTATTTTATGGGAGCAGAGTGAACATAAGACAGGTAGGGTTCTTGCCTTGCGTGCAGTCGACCCAGGTTTGATCCCTCGCACCCAATAGGATCCCCCAAGCTAGCCAAGAGTAAGCCCTGAACATCTCTGGGTGTGGTCCCAAAACCAAAACCCAAACCAAACAAGGTGTTTTAAGATGTCAGACATCATAATCTACAGGAAACACGCAGATAAAGAGCACTTTTTTGTCTACTCAGAATGGTCTTCCTCAGGTGGGGGAAGTGACTCAGAGGGAGGGCACATGCCCTGCATGTGTGAGGTGCTGGGGTCAACCCCCAGCTCTACAAATCACACTCATCACTAGTGTCTCTTAAGTCTCCATAACCAGCAACCTATTAATGTCCAAAAAATTTCCCCTCTTTTCACGGTCTTTTTCTTACTGTGGTTTAGGAAACATGGCTACAACATGTATATACAGCATAACACAACATGAACAGAATGAATGAAAATGGAAATATAACTTGTTAATTTACAAACCTTTTCCATCTCAAATACTCTAAATTATTTTTTTCTATCAACCTGCACACTAATCTTTTTAGTGGTCACCTACTACATGAGTCCAGAAAAAAAATAATTTAGTCAACCAATTTTTAGTGGACAGGGATGCAATTTCTGTGTTTTTTTCTTTGCTTATTTGTTTTGATTTTGTAGAAGTACTAGTATGGTGGGCCGGAGCGATAGCATAGCGGGTAGGGAGTTTGCCTTGCACATGGCTGACCTGTGTTCAATTCCTCCACCCCTCTCGGAGAGCCCGGCAAGCTACCGAGAGTATCTCGCCCACACAGCAAAGCCTGGCAAGCTACCCGTGATGTATTTGATATGCCTAAAACAGTAACAATAAATCTCACAATGGACACATTACTGGTGCCCACACGAGTGAATAGATGAACAACGGGAGGACAGTGCTACAGTGCTACTACTATGATGAATGTTTGTGAAAACAAAACAAAAACCTATTTCCTTTTGAGAGTAAAGTAGGTAAATTTACATCTGCTGATTTTTTGTACCACTTCCTATATACATTCCCTATATATATTTTTAAATTTTTATTAGTGAAACACCATGAGGTACAGTTGTAGACTTGCAAATTTTTGTGCTTGGGTTTCAGTTATACATTCCCTATTTTAAATGTGTCCATGAAAATTCTTTCCAGAAACTTTCAAAGTTGGCAACTCTGCAGCAGTGTGAGTCTCTTTTTTTCTACATCCCTGTTAGCACAAATCAGAACTTTCTGGCATGGATTTTTAAAGGAGAATTATCTGTGCTTTTTTATATATGTGATCAATTATGTAAGAAGGTAGGAGTGCTCCACACATTTGGAAATATTCTTGTTCTTTTTTCCCAATAAGCTATTTATTTTGGAAGATATTTATATTCACAGAGTTATATCACACAATTTTCAACATGCCCCATAGCCTGTGCACATCCATAGGAGCTAGGAGGTTGGCACCAGTAACAGTCCAGTTATGAACCTGCAGACTTTATTTGGATTTCACTATTTTTCACTAACACCCAACTATCCCAGATTCTACTTGGAGGTACCTTAAATTGAACTCTATCTTTTATGAGAGTTTATGCTACGGTGCTTTGGTGTTCTCAAGTGCCGTTGGGAAGGTGGGGGGAAATAGCATATTTTGAGCAGTTTGAATGCCGTTATCCCCTCCATTTTCCAAAGAACATGGGATAAATGTCAAGAAAATCACAGGTATAGGTTACTGAAAGACAAGATCAACACTGGGACTAGAAGGGTGAGCCTAGAGAAAATTGATAGGGAAAATGCTGTGCCAAGGCAAATCTTAGCTTGAGCGTGAGCCTGGTAGCTGTGCTTCATTTTGGGAAAGCCAAATAAAATAGTGAAGTTTCTGTCATCTGACTCAACTGGTGTTAGCTAACACACACATTTATCCAAAATTGAAAAGTCATGTTTTCTGTGCACATTACTCAAGTGTTTCTTAGTAAATCTTTTTGTGCTAGTGGTTCTTGAAGTGTGATAAATTGTATTTTCTAACTAAGCACTTATCCAGGTTCTGGCCTCAATTTTTTCTCCCTGTCTACTCTTTATGAAGACCCCTCTTTATTTGTGTTGCCCTGGCCCCTCATGATTCAAGATTGAATGAAGATGCAGTGCTGGCAGCCTTAGGAACTCTTTGGAGATCTGGGTTTAATTTGGCTGCTCTGCCTAGGAAAGGGTCGAAGAGATTCCCTACCCTTGGTCCCTCTAACACAAACCTAGAGTCAAGACTTTACTAGGCCCCTAGGTCTCGCTCAAGTTTTCAAGAGCAGATCAAGCATCTTTCACCCCCTCTCCAGGTGAGATGGTACGCCAGGCCCGCGTCCTGGCACAGGCCACCTCGGACCTCGTCAATGCCATGAGGTCAGATGCAGAAGCTGAAATCGACATGGAAAATTCCAAGAAGCTCTTGGCAGCTGCCAAACTCCTGGCCGACTCCACGGCACGCATGGTGGAAGCTGCAAAGGTATATGACAGCAGATGTGTCTGATTGAAAGGGTTTCACTATGCAAGGCACCTTGGAGGTGCAGAATGGGTGGCCAAGTGTGTGGGTTTTTTCAAACCTGTGTAGCTTTATAGAGTTTGATCTTGTTCCTGCGGTAGAGGAGAGAGGAATGTGGGTTCTGGGGAGCAGTGCTGATTTAGCCATAGACAGTGAGGCATTTAGCACAGACTCATCTTCAACTGCTTTCTCAAAAGAAGGGCTGAAGCTTGGAAACTCCCAGGGAACTCACTTGGCCTGGTTTTCTCCCAGAATCCTTCCCTTTGACTTCTCAGGGGAAGGCAGGTTCCTAGAGCATGCTTTCTGCTCCTTGGTTCTTCTAATTCAGTCGTAGTTTTAAATGTTCTATAAGCCTTGGAATATAGGTTAAGAGACAGCGGTGTTCTTGGGGAAAGCTAGATACCTTAATCCTTTCTTTTGTCTTTGGTCACCCTGGGACATATCTAGAGAAATCCTGGACTGGTGAGAGTCTGAAAGAAGCCCCTTCATGATACAGACCCCCATCTTATCGGCCCCACACAGTGGTCATCCAGACATACCTGGGTTCCACTTGTTCTGTCTGGTGTGAGAAATAGTCCCTGTCACTCTGAGAGCTGTGAACTCAAATTAGAGTGAGGAATTCTCTTTGCAGGAAAGAAAAGTCAGGCCTAAATCTTACCAAGGCTTTCCAGGTTTGTCACCTCCCCTCACAAAACAGAATTTCGGGAGGAGATAAATAAAAAGGGGCATGTTTATTTGGCAAATGAAGGAAGAGCAAGAGCGAGAGACAGAGAGCAAGAGTGAGAGAGAGAGAGAGAGAGAGAGAGAGAGAGAGGGGGAATACAGGCTTCTCCAGAGTGGAAGGGGCAAGTAAACATCCCATGTAGATCTGCAGTGAATTTCCAAGATGAAGAATATATCCCCTAAAGTAAAAAGAGTTCACATCTCATTGCCCCACAATAAAATTTAAATTAAAAAAAAAAGTTCACATCTTAATCAGTCAAGCGGGCCAGGAAAAGCTTTTCCTCTGTCAAGTAAGTTTATATATGGTTTTCCCAATGTGTACCCCAAAGTCCTGGGCTAGAGTGCTTGCCAAGGGGGTGAGCCTGGAGCAGTGGCTGTCCTTTGTATTCTAGCACAGCTTGTGTTCCAGGCTGGAGGCTCTCCTCCCAGGGGGTCCAGCCAGGCTCTGGAGCTGGGATTCTGCACCTCACTGGTTTTTCAGCTCCACAGAGGGCTTCTTCCTTCATGCCTTTGGGCTTGTTTAGGTTCCAGACAGCATTTTTTCCCAATATACATGATCAGACCTCCTATCTTTCTGCCTGCAATACTTTCACATATGAGAAGCAAAAATCAAGGTTTTCAGTTTCTAGAAACACAAACTTCAGACCACTTAGAGAGGTCCTAATTGGAAAGAACAGAACATTCTCTTCAAATATTGCCAAAATGATCCTATCTTAGGTGTTCTCACTGTCACATTCAGCTAAATTCCCTGAGCTTCTTCTAAATAGTTCGCATAAACAGATGCTCGTAAAAGTGTGAAGTTGGCAAGTTGGCCGTTAAAAAAACACAGACATACAGAAAATTTCTTTTTTTTTTAATGATGGATGTGTTTCTTTTTACTGTCTTCACTTGATCCAGGAGCAAATAGTGCTGCTTTAAAGTACTTGTAGAAGGGGGCAGAGCACTAGAACAGCAGCTAGGGTGTTTGCCTTGCACTCAACCAACCTGTGTTTGATTCGTGGCAACCCATATGGTTCTCTGAGCACTGCCAGGTGTAATTCCTGAGTGCAGAACCAGGACTAGCCCCTGAGCATCATCAATGAGTGAGACCCAAAAAAGCTGAAAATTTTAAAAAATGAAAATAAATAAAATGCTTGTAGAGGTTCAAAGGATCAAGCTCATGTTCCTCCAGCAGAAGCCCAAAGTTCGATCCCCACCAGTTTCCCTGGCACCTCTAGGAGTGGCCCCAGATTGTCACTGGGTGTGGCCCCCAAAATTAACCAAAAGTTGTTTGTAGAATGAAGCATGTTCATCTCTACATATGAATATCCAGAATCTGTGACCAAAAAATCAAAACCACTTTGATTACTGCTTTGTTGGCAAGTGGAATGGAGGTTAAGTCTTGGCTGAGTTGTTGTGATGAAAAATGCTTTCTTTTCTTGGCCCTTTCTGACCAAGAAACCCTTGTCTTCAATAAAGTCCTTGAGTGTTTGTAAGACACTAGCAGCTACAGAGGGAGTGGGTGACTGGGGGGACTGGGTGTTTTCCATTCACTCAGTCCAGCTGCCCGCCAGCTCTGCTCAATGTGCCTCCAACCTGGTCCTCTGGGAATGTGATTTTTGTCATTTCCTTCTTGCCCCTTTGCAAGGCTTCCTATTACCTTGACTCCCTCCACCTTTGTGCTGAAGTCAGAGCCTCACTCACTCACATCCACCAGCACTGTTAGAAACTCTCACCTCTGCCTTATATCTGTGGTGCTAATTAAAATAAAACTGTCCCTGTGAGATCTGGGGTAGATAAGCAGTGGGTCAGAATCCTTTAAACCATGGCTTCTGAGCCTCACTTATTGCGCATGGACAAGCAAGGCCATGGTCTCATGTATTTCATTGTGACCATTGGGTTCTGGTGCTTAAGGATGTACTTTCCAGACCCCCCTGGCAGATATAGGAAGCCCTGTTTTCATAAAGACGGTACTTAGAGAGTTTAGCTCTGTCTTCTAGATGTTTTCTGGCACTAGGAAAAAATAAAATCAAAGTCATGAATTTAGTGTTTGTGGCATGTTGCCCCTTGGACCTCTTGAAATCCTCCTTTTCTTCTTCTCAGGGTGCTGCAGCTAATCCAGAGAATGAGGCCCAGCAGCAGAGGCTGAGAGAAGCCGCAGAGGGTTTGCGGGTGGCCACCAATGCTGCTGCCCAGAATGCCATCAAGAAAAAAATCGTCAACCGCCTAGAGGTCAGCAAAACACTGGTTTCATGTGTCCCTTTCTTATCAGAAAGAGCTCTTTAAAAAAAATTGAATTAACAAGGCAGTACCCAGAGAAACAAAGCTAAATCAAGAAGGATGTCAGTTTAAAGGCTTAGGAACCATTTGAAAATTGGTTTAGGTTTATTGTACATTTGGGTACAATGCTTTAGGCATGTTGACATGGTTTGAAAAATTGCTTTGGTTCCTGGTGTCAGAGAACCAAAATTATTTTAGAGTTTGGCGTTATTGAATAGAATTTTTTTTAGGAAGAGCCAGTGTTATTTTTATTCTGGTACATCCAGAAGACTGTTAGCATATATATATATATATATATATATATATATATATATATATATATATCATGACTCTCTCAGAACTGTAGACTTAAAACATGCAGCTCCTGAAGGTGTAGAGTTGACTCAAACTTGGATGTAGAAGTATAGAAGGAAAAATTAAACATAGTCCTGTCATTTTTCTAATAATTTATTTTGAGACAAATCAAATGAATCGAGCTGTAGGCACGAGTGAGGTAAGAAAATAAGCGATACTCCCAGAAGCACCGGAAGATCTGTGCATCATCCTCGGCTTATTGCCCAGCCCTGTCTGCCCCAGGAGGAACCCCTCTCTGGACAGGCTGGATTTGGGGTAAAACCAGCTCTTTTGAAAAGGGGGAGGAGAGTGGACACAAGAAGTTTCCCACTGGAAAAGTCTGAACTTGTCTGGACCAGGGCTTCCTGTAGGTTGTGAGAAATTATAAGCCACCAGCCCCTGGGCACTGCCTCTTGAGGGAGAATCCCCAAATCTTGTTTACTCTTGCTACTTCATATCAGTCCCACCATGGTCTTGGAAATAGCCTTTGTTTTTTTCAGAACCTTCCAATGTGCCTGTCTTCACTACCCATCCACAGGGAAGGGGACAAAACACTCTTAGTTTGGGGTCATGTTGCTCTTTAATGGTGGTGTTTGGTGTACCTGGATATCCCACAGCTGTGGGTGCCCAGTGCTGCCCCTTTATTGTAGGAAAGTAACCAATACTGCGTTCAAGTGTGTGCACATGTGTGAGAGTTTGTATGAGTGTGCGAGCATGTGTGTGCATGCCTGTGTGCGTGCATATCTGTCTTTATGATGCTTGTGCATATGTGTATATGTCTGGTAGGAGAGGCCACAGCCAAACCTGCTTTCCCTCCTCTCTCTCCTCTGCAGGTGGCAGCTAAGCAGGCAGCAGCTGCTGCCACCCAGACCATCGCCGCCTCCCAGAATGCGGCTGTGTCCAACAAGAACCCTGCAGCTCAGCAGCAGCTGGTCCAGAGCTGCAAGGTGAGGTGAGGCTGGCAGAGAGCCAGCACGCTGAGATATTACCGGGAGAGAGTTAGATCCCCAAGCAGCCTGGAAATTCAGTTAAAACAGATCATCCGGTCCCCTAATCCAGTTTGTTCCGGCCCCCGCTTTCCAGGTGTGGACATCGCACACATTCACATATGTCTGGTTTTTGTCTATTGCACACAGCCTGTGTTTGAAAGGAGAGTATGTTTTCCAGCACTGTCTTCCCGTTGTCTAGATTCTTCTTTCTTCCTTTCTTTCTTCAAGGAAGAAAGGAAGCCAGCCTTCCTTCCTTCCTTCCTTCCTTCCTTCCTTCCTTCCTTCCTTCCTTCCTTCCTTCCCTTTCTTTCTTTCTTTCTTTCTTTCCTTCTTTCTTTCTCTCTCTTTCTTTCTTTCCTTTCTCCTTTTTTCTTTCCTTTCTCTTATTTCTTTTTCTCTTTCTTTCTTCCTTCCTTCCTTCCCTTTCTTTCTTTCTTTCTTTCTTTCCTTCTTTCTTTCTTTCTCTCTCTCTTTCTTTTCTCCTTTTTTCTTTCCTTTCTCTTATTTCTTTTTCTCTTTCTTTCTTGCTTTTTTCTTTCTCCTTTATTTCTTTCTCTCCCTTCTTCTGCCTATCTTCCTCCCTCCCTCCCTCCCTCCCTTCTTTCCTTCCATCCTTCCTTCCTTTGTCTTTCCTGCTTCCTTCCTAGGGATAGACTGAGAACAATGGTCATTGTAGGGCTCAGAGAGCAGTGAAGTATTGGAACCTCAGGTCTTTCTCTCTGTAAAAGTTAGGCCTTGGCATGAGATCTTTGCTTTATTTTGATTTTACCTGAGTCCTCCGTGAGAGCTGACTCAACCTCTTTGGCTCAGGGCTATGATCTGCTGCTTTCTTTGTGGCCTTTTCGTTCTTTGGAGACATGGGCCTGGCCATGTGTCAAAGATGACAGCTGAGAAGGGCTCAGTGAATATCGTTGGCAACTTGTCTGTAGGCCCAGGGCACACGCCCTCTCAGGAGATGTCTGCATGATGTTATTCACACTATAGTCCCGTGCACACACACACATACACACACAGAGACTTAAGTAACCTCTGCCCATGTGTTGGCATCATCTTGACTGAAGTCTCCAGAAGGTGTATATGGCTTGTCTGTGGCTCTGAAGAGATACTTGCTTGCACTTGGTCTGAGCAACTGTCTAACCTCTCTATTAATCACTCCTCAGAAGTGATTCTCACCTATGGGAACAGTGCACAAAATTATCCATACAGGTTCTACTTTCAGGAAAGTTAGAGTCCAGCAGCCTCCTGAAACAGTGAGTGTGTTCTAGTGGAAAAGCTTTTGGGGGGGTGTAGCTGGAACAGTGGAATAGATTGTATGCCGTCTCTGTCCCAGGCTCCAGGTCTTGGCCTCTGACCATGACAGAACCATATACTTCTGAGTCCTGCATGAGTGACAGAAAAACAAAAGCTCCAGGGCTGCAGTGCAGTGTTGGGAAGCTGTGTTTTCTGAACCCACACTCCTTTGAGGGGAGTTGTTTGCTTTTAGTGGTTTGCAGCAGTGATCAGCAAGGGCAGGGGGGATTGCACTTACCAGACTTCTCAGGGGGTACAGCTGTGCAGAAAAATGTACAGAATGAACCTCCATCTGCAACCCTCCATGCCAGCAGAGCCAGAGAATACTTGATTTCATGCCTCATTGTCCCATTTCACAGGGCTATCGTGTGCTGGAGTCTGACTTCTGTGGGAAGAAACAGCCTGCAGAGGTGCTGGGTTAGCATTTGGTGTGGGTAATGACATGTGTAAAGCCATGATGGAGGACAGGCACCCCAGAAGTCACCTACTTTGCCGGGTGTACTCAGCTGTCATTTCCTTCACTTTCTCTAGGCTGTGGCTGATCACATCCCTCAACTGGTTCAAGGAGTCCGGGGCAGCCAGACCCAAGCAGAAGACCTTAGTGCCCAGCTGGCTCTCATTGTTTCCAGTCAAAACTTCCTGCAGGTAACACAGAAGCACTCACCTGTATGCACTGAAACCCAACCTTTGCCCTTAGAGATAAAAGATGAGTCACAAATCCCACAACCCCCAGCTCTGAAGCAGGAACCCCTCAAGCCCTCCTGTTTATCTCACTGGTGTCAAGAGAGCTTGATGTAGTCTGGCAAGGCCAAATGCCATGGACTGAGCTATAGCTCTGGAGATAGCACCTCGTCTCTGTTCCCGGGGCATGTCCTCTGTCCTCTTCTTCCACACAAGAGAGCTGGAGTGAGCTACCCCTTTCAATGAACAGCCCAGCACTGGGCATGACTTTGGACTCTGCAGGTTTCGAGGTGCCCAGTATAGCCATTCACACAGACTGTGGATCCAAAAAGATGGCCATTTCTTCGACAAAGGTATAGAGAGTTCCAGTCACAATTGTTCAGATAATGAGTCTTGTCAATATCAGTGGGATGAGGGTAGATTCCACTTAAGAGAGGGTAAATAAAAATGAGACTTTTGAGTTGTGGGAGGAACTACCCCCCATTTGCCTACCTGTATCTAAATCTCTTCATACTTCTTGTTCACTTGGAGACCAGAGTTTCTCAAAGTGAGTGGTATGCCCCCTGGTACACATGGGGCATAGGAGCCTGAGGGGTGCGTTTTTGTTGTTGTTGTTCACTTAGAGATAGATTTCTCGGGGCAGGGGGCACTGAGATATTTTTTTCTGAAAAGGGGTGCTAGGCCAACTATGTATGAGAATCTCTATTGTTGACACACTTTCTTCCATTTATGTAATTAGATGATTATCTTGTCTGTTTCTAGTATAAACTGGAATTACAGGATCCTTGTGTTTCTTAGCTCTTTGGGTTTTTTTTTTTGAGTTGTTTTTTTAATTTTTATTAGTTGTACAGTTACAGACTTACAAACTTTTGTGCTCACATATCAGTCATACAATGATTGAGTACCCATCCCTCCACCAGTGCCCATTCTCCACCACCAATGTTCCCAGTATCCCTCCTACAACCTGCCCTACCCCCACCCCCGTGCCTCTGAGGCAAGTGCACTCCCTTTTACTCCCTCTCTCCTTTTGGGTGTTGTGGTTTGCAAGATAGGTATTAAGTGATCATCATGCTCGGTCTGTAGTCTACTTTCAGCTCACATCTCCTATCCCTAGCAGGCCCTCAAGCACCCTTTACTTGGTGGTCCCTTCTCTATCTGAGCTGCCTTTTCCCCCAGCATGTGAGGCTGGCTTCCAAGCTGTGAAGCAACCCTCCTGGTCCTTATCTCCACTATTCTTCGGTGTTCGATTTCCATTCTGTTACTTTATATTCCACAAATAAGTGCAGTCCTTCTATGACTGTCCCTCTCTTTCTGACTCATTTCATTTAGCATGATTCTCTCCATGTTGATCCACTTATATGAAAATTTCATGACTTCAGCTTTTCTAACAGCTGCATAGTACTCCATTGTGTAGATGTACCAAAGTTTCTTTAGCCAGTTATATAGTCTCGGGCACTTGGGTTTTTTCCAGATTCTGGCTTTTGCAAACAGTGCTGCAGTGAACATAAAAGTGCAGATGTCATTTCTACTATACTTTTTTGTATCTCCTGGAAATATTCCCAGAAGTGGTATTGCTGGATCAAATGGAAGCTTAATTTCTTATTTTTTGTAAAACGTCCATACTGTTTTACAAACGGCCTGAACCATTCAGCATTCCCACCAGCAGTGAGGAGAGTCCCTTTCTCTCCACATTCCGCCAATATCAGTTACATCCTTGTCTTGTCTCTGATCTAGAGGGAAAGCTCTTAGTTTTTTCCATTGAGGATAATGCTTGCCGGAGGCTTGTGGTAGATGTTTTTGACTATATTAAGGAAATTTCCTTCAACACCCATTTTGGTGAGAGTTTTCATCATAAACAGATGCTGGATTTTGTCAAATGCTTTCTCTGCATCTATTGATATATCATATGGTTTTTATCTTTTCTTTTGTTGATATGATGGATTATATTGATTTATTTCTGAATGTTAAACCATCCTTGCATCCCCAGAATGAATCCCACTTGGTCATGGTGTATGATCTTTCTGATGAGTTGTTGGATTCTATTTGCTAATATTTTGTTGAGGATCTTCATATCCATGTTCATCAGGGATATCAACCTGTAATTTTCCTTTATGTGGTGTCTCTGCTTACTTTTGGTATTAAGGTGATATGTGCTTCATAGAAACTGTTTGGGAGAGTTTTTGTTTCTTCAGTTTCCTGGAAAAGCTTGAGAAAAACTGGCAATAGGTCCTCTTTCAATGTTTGGAAGAATTCACTAGTGAATTAATCTGGACCTGGGCTTTTGTTTTGGGGAAGACTTTTGATTACAGTTTCAATATCCTTGATAGTGATAGGTCTATTCAAGTATTCCAAATCTTCTTGGTTCAGCCTTAGGACATTATAGGAATCCAGGAATTTATCCATTTCTCCTATGTTCTCTTGTTTCATGGCATACAGACTTTCAAAGTAGTCTCTGATGATCTTTTGAATTTCTTTGGTTTCTGTTGTGATATACCCCTTTTCATTTCTGATTCAGTTTATTAGGGTTCTCTCTCTTTCTTTGTGAATCTTGCTAATGGTTTATCTTGTTTATTTTATCAAAGAATCACATCTTGGTTTCATTGATCTTTCGGGTTGTTTTTTGGGTTTTCATATTGTTAATTTCTGCTCCAAGTTTTATTATTTCTTTCCTTCTGCCTGGTTGGGGCACCTTTTGTTGGTCCTTTTCTAAGATCTTGAGCTGTGAAGTAGAGTTATTTATGTGTTCCCTTTCTTCCTTCGTGAGAAATGCTTGCAGAGCTATAAATTTTCCCCTTAACATGGCTTTAGCTACATCCCACAAGTTCTGGTATCTTGTGTCTTCATTCTCATTTGTTTCCAGATATCTTTCAATTTCTTCCTTGATTTCCGTACTGACCCACTCGTTGTTCGACGTTGAGTTGTCTAACTTCCAGGTGTTTGATTTGGTTCTCCGCATCTGTATGTGATTAACTTCTATCTTCAGTGCATCGTGGTCCGAAAAGATAGTTGATACAATTTCTATCTTCCTGATTCTATTGAGGTATGTTCTGTGACCCAGCACGTGGTCTATTTTGGAAAATATTTCTTGTGCACTGGAACAGAATGAGTATTCTTTTGGGGAGATGTAAAGCCCTGTATAGATCTATTAGCCCTCTCTCTTCTATTTCTTTCTTCAATGCCAGTGTTTCCTGGCTGACTTTTAATTTTGTTGATATATCCAGAGGTGGTTAAGCCATGTTGAAATCTCCAACTATTATTATGTTACTAACAATATCTTCCTTAAAAATCTGTTAACAATTGTTTTAAGTGTTTAGCTGGTTCCTCATTGGGTGCATATGCATTTAGGAGTATGATTTCTTCCTGTAAGCTTTCTGCAGCTCATCTGAAGAGCTTGAAAGCTCACTGATTCTGTCTTTGACTGTAGCCATTCTACTGTTGAGGGCATCCACTGAGATTTTTATTTCATCTACCAAATCCTTTATTCGTGACACTTCTGTTTGTAGCTTTCTTATTTCTACTCTCATTTCTTCCTGTATTTTCTTGGCTGTCCATTCCACTGTTTCTTTCATGTCCTCCTTTAATTTACTGGATGTCTCTTCCACCGTTTCATTGAGTTCATTGAACATCTTCAACATTTCATCTCTGAATTCTTTATCGGAAAGATCATATTTGTGGGTAATCCCTGTTGAGGCTTCTGAATTCTTTTCTTTATCTCCTCCTCATGATGGGGATTTGTGCTATTTATTCATGTTGTGGTGGTAGTATCGAGGTAGCACCTTCCACTTCACTATCAGTATTCCCCTCTTGCTGCGAGAAAGGATTATGGATGAGCTCAGTCGATGGTGGTCGCCTTTATGCCCTTCTAGTATACCACCTTCCTCTCAAGTGCTCCTCTGCGACTTATGTGAGGTCTCTAGTGAAGCTTCGGAGGATGTGTTCTTTTATATTAGACTTGTACAGCTTCTTGTGTTCACTGGTATTTGGGTGAAATTGGGATAGACTAGTGGACTATTGGCCTATTGTGTTTGAGATAGCCAAGATGTTCTCCACAGAATTAGGTAATGAAGTGTGAGTCCAGAGTTCTGAGAAAGGGGGAAATAACTGCAGCTGCATGAGTGGCCACTGTTCTCCCTGCCATGGAAGCTACACCCCCTGACCCACTGTAGATGAGGCACCAGCTGGGGGTCACACACCTGAGAGAGAGAGCAAGCTAGTAGTGCTAGAGGGGTGAGGGTGGGCAGGATGGAGGCCCTGGGATGCTGGGAGGGTTTGGGTCTGGGTAGCAGGCTGGGGCGCAGGCATGGGAACGGGTCACCAGCAGTCACACACCTGAGAGAGAGCAAACTAGTGGCACTTTCTTTGGTTCTTTTCTTAAGTGCCTGTTACAAAATACATAACATTTTGATACATTGTTTTTTACATTTCAACAATACATCACACATACACACAGTTATACACACACACACTTATTCCCACATACACACGCACACACATACACATGCATGTGTATGCATACATCTTTCAAATTGCAGTTCATTGTGTGCAGTCCGTTTTTCATGAGCATTGTGCTCTGAGTATTAGTGTCTTAGCACATGGTTCTACTCTGTGTTTTGCTATTCTCCTATCACTGGACCTGTATGTGTTTTCAGTTACCTAAGTTCAAGTTTAAACTGTTATCTTAGTTCTGCCTCCTCCAGTACTCTGCCTTTGAGAATTAGGTTGGGGCCAAAAGTCTCAGGATGAATGTAGGTGGCTCTAATATTTAGAGCAAAGTGAGTTCAGACTGACTGTGGCATTGCTGAGGAGTCTCTGCTCTCTAGTGTCTGCCCTGAGCCTTACTATTTCCTGATCCTCTTCTTTACAGCCTGGAAGCAAGATGGTGGCATCTGCCAAGGCCGCGGTGCCCACAGTGAGTGACCAGGCTGCAGCCATGCAACTGAGCCAATGCGCCAAGAACCTGGCCACCAGCTTGGCAGAGCTGCGAACCGCCTCGCAGAAGGCAAGTCTTCATCCCTTCGGGTGACGGCTCAACATGGGCTAATTCCTCACAGCTGCTCTCCCAAGGCTTCACCCAGGGCCTTCACATGGCAGAGCAGGCATGGAGCTGTTCATTCCTCACCACTACCATGTCCTGAAGCCACTGAGGGCTTTACAAAGTGGCTTCTTGCTAGGGGTGACATCCCATTTGCAAGACCACAAAAGAGCCACAGATTGACTCCTGCCACTCTCAGTAACTATGTCCTTAGCTGTCACCTTCCTGGTACAGGTGGCTGCTTCTCATCCTCTCTTGCCTGCATCAAGCATCGAGAGACTTACATAGTGCAAAGAGGGTGTCAGTGTGATGCCACTAATAGACCACACCAAGTGGCCCCATCAGGAATTATCTTATCCCAAAGAGTAAATTATGTAGCAGCATATATATTATTATTTTCCCCTGGAAGGTTTTCATGTCTTACTTGGAAGCAGTCCCCTAAATTCAATATTTAATAACAGACTAATGAGCTTCTGTCTCTGCAATTATCCCCCATCTCAGGGTCTCTCTGTATTGTATGGTATTAACATGAATTTTAGCAGGCATTCATTGTTCCCCCTTAGAGTACAAATGTAGGCCCTTTATATGCAAGCAAAGAAAGATATTAGAAGCTGATTTGAATACTTTGTGTACTCACCAAATCAAAATGTCTGGAGGTTTAGATGATACCCAATTTTTAGAAAGTCCTTTCAGCTTTCTAAAGGTCCATGTCTCCGAAACCCAGATAACATTTCCAGGAGGTGAGGTTAGTCTGAGAGGAAAATGCCATTTAAATAAAAATAGCTTCCAGGAGGCTTTGCTGATCCAGTTGTGAAATGCATACAGTTGACCATTTAGGAAAAGTAGAAACAAGGTTCAGAGCATGAAGGAAGGATAAAGCATTGTAGGAAACACATTCTTTCCTTACTTCCTATTGCTATACTTGGAGAACCACTGGGGACACCCAGAAAGGCCTTTGGTACATTGTAAAGTACTTGGGAGCACTTTCTTGATCAGGCTGTATTCACATATTCCTAACTCTCTCGGCAGGCTCATGAAGCTTGTGGTCCCATGGAGATCGATTCTGCTTTGAGCACAGTGCAGACACTCAAGAGTGAGCTACAGGACGCCAAGATGGCCTCAGTGGAGAGTCAGCTGAAGCCACTACCAGGGGAAACAGTAAGAGGAAACAAATGCCTCTGCCTTTGTGACCTGGTGGAGGCATTTTGGAGGTTGGGTTTGGTGGTGGTGATAGGGGGAAGGGGAGTGGAGGGGAGGGAGGAGAAGTCAATGTTCGGCATTTCAAATATCTTCATGCAAAACCTTGCTTCTCTTTTCCTTGTGTGTGTGGCTTTTTCTAAAATAATAATAATGAATCCACAGCAGCTGCACACACTGGAATTGGAGCTAAGTTCTGGCTTCTAGAGCCACCAGTTATCACTGTGCTGTCATGAACTCCTTATCAGGTGCTCCTTATCCATGAGATGTGTGGCAGTGGGTTTATAAACACAGAATATCTGTGCAGTCATGGTTTTATGAAACATTTTATTAGTGCATGTCTTTGAGAACATTGGCCAGGCACTTTAGGTTGAATGAACTGAAACACTATAAAAAAAGCATCAGGAAGATAGTTTCTTTGAGTTTCCTCACGACTATGTTTGTTCAAGCATTTCTGCATTTTCACTGTATGTCTGGAAGTTCTCTTCCAAAATGTTGTACTTGCTTAGTAATCAAATAATTATCTGTATCTTAGGCCTTTATTGACTTTGTTCTGTAAATTATTTATTTTGTTTACAAAGCAGGATGACACATTGTTCATGACTTTTCTCATTTTCCTTATTGCATTTTCCATTCCAAACCTTTTTCACTATTGCATTTCCTTCTGGTTAGAATTCCTCAAAGGATAGTGATCAAATTGAATGATGTTAATGGTCCTCCATGCCAGGAAGGTGGTACAGCTGGATTGCTGCCCACTTCCTGCCAAGGCATAACTAATTCTCACTCAGGAACTTTTGCAGACTTTGTAAATTTGCTTCTGGAGATATAATACTAATCGCTACCATTTGTTGAGTACCTTCATCGATTGTTTGAAAACAATCAGAGCCAGAGATGATGATCTCCTCAGGAAACCAAGTATTGCGAGAGGTTTAGTAACTACCTAGTTTCTCATCACTAGTACTGAGGAAGGAACATAGAGCAAGAATGGACTCAGATTTGTTTATGCTGGAGCTTGGCTTCTTTCTCCTCTAACCCCAGTGGAGGCTGTCATCTAAACCCTTAGGAGCTGCCTTCTTTAAATGTGACAGCTTCTTCTTCTAGGCTGTAACCTGTGACTCTTCTTTCAGCTGGAGAAGTGTGCACAGGACCTGGGAAGCACGTCAAAAGCTGTGGGCTCCTCCATGGCGCAGCTGCTGACATGCGCTGCCCAAGGCAACGAGCACTACACAGGTGAGTAGGCAGTGCACTCCTTCCCCTGGCAGGTACATGTCACTCTGGGGTGTGGAGCTGGCAGTGGTGTGCTTTGATCTGATTTGTTTTTCCTAATAGTTTAATATGCATTTTAAAGGCATTTTCCACATACGCATTTTTAAGGTATTTATTACTAGCCTTGATAAAAAATATACAAAGACTTAGAAAGCACAGTCCCAAAGCTGTGCATCACCAACCGTGAGGAATCAGGGGTAAGACTTAGGGATTATTAGTATATGCGTTATGAAGTCCATTAAAGTGAAAGAATAAAATTAAACTAAGGGCCAGAGAGAAGGCACAGCAGGAAAGGCACTTGCCATGCATGTTGCTGGCCTGGCTTTCATCCTCCGGCTCTGCAGATGTTACACCCGATCACCTCCATGGGTGAGCCCTGAGTACGTCACCCAAAAGGTACAGAGAATGAGAGGAAATGACAGAAAATAAGATGCCATGAAGGTTTTGGAAGAGAGAGATGAATGGTTACTGGTAAGTTCCAATAAACCAGACTAAGGGGCCCCAGGGACAGGGAAGCCATCAAGAAGCAAACTGAATACAGTTGCAAAATTCTGGTTTTTTTTATTGTTGAGATAACGTATCTATGACATAGGCAACCCTTTAGTAGAGCTGTTTCCAATAGCTGTTTCCACAGAACCATTCCTATAACTACACCACACTACTGGGAGAGTGTGAGAGAATTACTCTGCTGGGAGAACATGGGAGGAAATTATTCTGCTGGGAGGGTATGGAACAACATTACTCTACTGGGAGAGTATGTGAGAGAGTTGCTCTGCTTGGAGAATATGAGACAGTGTTACTCTGTTGGGAGAATATATGAGGGTATCACTCTGCTGGGAAACTATGGTAGGACGTTACTCTTCTGGGAGAGTATGGGAGAGCATGACTCTGCTGGGAGAGTATGTGAGGATGTTACTCTGCTGGAAGAGTATTGAGGGTGCTGCACCCTGGGAGAGTATGTAAGGGGGTTACTCTGCTGGGAGAGTATGTGAGGGTGCCACATCCTGAGAGCATGTGTGAGAATGCTGTGCCCTGGGAGAGTGGTCTCTTGTCTTCTTGTTCCACTTGCCTTTGTCAGTAGTACTGGTGCAGAGCAGAGCTGTGCCTCCTTGAGAGTCTGCTAAGCATTCCCATTAGTTTTACTCTGGGAGTAGACACACACACAAAAAATAAAATAAAAAAATAAGACTATACAAAGCCTAAATTGTGTAAATTGTTAACTCGAGAAAAAAAAAACAAGTTAGATCACAAAGGAAACGGTATTGTAGGGGAGGCAGCTATAGCAGGACGCCTCCACCACCTAAAGTAAGCTGGAAAAATTTTCTCCTAAGCCTGTTTCTCTGAAGCATGAACTGCATCAAGAGAAGGCATGAAGAACATCACATGGAAGGAGCAGCTTTCAGATTGTTACTTCCGTTAGATGGCAGGACAGTATTTTATTTTTATTTATTTATTTTTTAGTTATTTTATTTTTTTCCTTAAATTTTTATTAGTGAAACACCATGAGGTACAGTTGTAGACTTACAAGTTTTTGTGCTTGGGTTTCAGTTATACAATGATCGAATACCCATCCCTCCACCTGTGCCCATTCTCTACCACCACTAATCCCCAGTATCCCTCCCACCCCCTTCCCCCCATCCCACCCTACCACTGTGGCAGGGCATTCCCTTTTGTTATCTCTCTCTTTTTGAGTGCTGTGGTTTACAAAAGAGACATTGAGTGACAATCTTGTTCAGACTATAGTCTACTCTCATCACGCGTGTCCTATCCTGAGAGGAACCTCCCAACACCCTTTATTTGGTGCTCCCTTCTCTATCTGAGCTGCCTTTTCCCCTAGCGTGTGCAGCTGTCCTCAAAGCCATGGAGTAATCCTCCTGGTACTTATCTCGGCTATTCTTGGGTGTTAGTCTCCTATTTTGTTATTTTATGTTGCCCAGATGAATGTAATCTTTCTATGTCTATCCCTCTCTTTCTGACTCATTTCACTTAGCATGATACTTTCCATGTAGTACCACTTGTATGCAGATTTCATGACTTCATCCTTTCTGACAGCTACATAGTATTCCATTGTGTAGATGTACCAAAGCTTCTTTAACCAGTTATCTGTTCTTGGGCAGATTTTTTCCAATTCTAGCTATTGTAGAGAGTGCTGCAATGAACAGATAACTGCAGATGTAGGACAGGATTTTAAAAGCATATGACATTACTTTTGTAGTAGGCCACACATCAGGAGAAGATCATGTCTTAAGTGTGTACCTTTTGAGTTAACACAGGTTGAATGCACCCACTATTGAGACAAGGAGTGGAAATCTTTCATCTCCCCACCCATCACTTGTACCCCATCTCCTCTCCTCCCCCATAGTCAACTCCCTGATTTTTAACATCAGACATTGCTTTGGTGCCATTTTTGACCTCTGAGTAAAGAGACTCAAGTAGTCTGTGTGTGTCTCAGCTACCATTGCCAGCCTGGTGGGTTTTCTCGCTGCACTTGTTTTTCCTGCTTCCTATATATAGAATCTCATGACTATACCTTTTGTTTTTTTCCTTGAACTATTGATGGGTATTGAGTTGTTTCCAAATGACACCACTATAAACAGTTCTCCAAAATGTATTGTTCAAACTTTGGTTCCATCCTAGGCACTGAGTATGGTCCCTGAGTGCCAAGAGTATCCCTTGAGCACCAGAGTGACCCCTGAGGACAGAGTCAAAGCAACCCCTGAGCACTGCCAGGTGTGCCTCCCAAACCCCTCCACACACACACATGAAAACATGTTGTTTAGTGAACACGAGTGACCATTATCTCAATTCACCCCCAGAAGTGGAGTGGAAAGTTGTCACACACACTTATCTGTTGTCTGTACAAGTCTCTGAAGTTCTGTACCCTCTGTGGCAGGGCATTCCCTTTTGTTCTCTCTCTCCTTTGCTCAGTGCTTTTAAACTGCAGTAATATTGATTCATATAGACCTATACCAACACCTATACATACTACATTCTTTTTACCCCCCTCAGAAGTCTGGTTTCTATCCTTTACCATGTAATTGACACTTTGACTCAATTTGCCCACTTTCCTTCATCCCATTTCTGCTGGTAACTTTTATCTTGTTCTTATTGTCTAAGAATTTGTTTTGTCTTGTTTGGTTAATTCATTTGTTTTCTTCCTTTATTTTCCACCCCCTGAGTAAAATCATATGGTGTTTGTCTTTCTCTGAAATATTTCACTTGGCCTAATTCCTTGGGGATCCATCCATGTTGCCACAAACGGCAGGATTTCATCTTTGTAATAGAGCCATGTTCCTGTATCCATAGGCTGTATTTCTAGCCATTCATTTATCAATAGACTTATATTGTTTCAATCTCTTGGCAATTGTAAGTAATACCTTGATGAACATGGGGGTTCATTTAATTTAAAAAACTTATTCTCCAAATATGTTTTTTAAATGTTCTTTGGCAAACCCAGAAGTGGCTTATTTCAGTCCGATGCAATTTTCTAATTTTTATTTTTGAAAAATTTCTATATTGGTTCCATGCCAATTTACATTCCAGTGCTTCTAATTGTTGCTCTGAAAAGGAGGGGGGGGGTTGATCTATAGTAAGTTCGTCTACTAATTACTACAAAAAAAAAGACACAAAATTCCTTGATTATTTTGAAAAGGTAAAAAGAGCACCATATGACCACACAAAAACAAGAGCTCTAACATAGAGTAATGTGATATCTACATTAATAAGAATGTACGGGGGGGGGGGGGGTTAGTGGGATGTTTGGGAAATTTGCAGAGTGGAATTGATACCTGATCAAGGTTTGCATTAGTTTAGAGCTCATGTAACATTCAGCAGAAAAACACACATGAATCCAATATTCCTACAGAACATGATATAGGTGGAATTTAAGTTTTAAGAAATTCTGCACATTTCTTAAATCTTGCCAGAAAATGTGTCGATGATGCAATGCCTCTCCAGCGTAGGTAGAAGACTGCTTTACAAGCTGCATCATCTGGTAATGATAACATCCAGGATGACAGACTGTCCTATTTGCCTCTGAAAACATCCTGGCAGTAGCACTGTTCAGATTTGGCAGGCACTGAAAACATGGTTGAAGAATGAGAGCGGCAGAGCCAAAGTCCCAAAGATGAGGAAGAAAAGAGCTGAGCACATAAACTGAGAAAGGGAAACTGAAAGGCAAAGAGGTGAAGGGTACAGGTAAACCTGAAAGGTGGGAGATAGTGTGGTGGGAAGAGTTCTTGCCTTGAATGTGGTTGATCAGGTTCAATTCCTGGCTCTGCATGTGGTCACCCTGATTACCACCAGAAATGACCTCTGAGCACAGAGTCAAGAGAAAATCCTGAGCACCTCCAGGTGTGGTCTAAACATAAAACCAAACCCAAAACAAAGATTGTTAAAGTGGACTGGACCAGATTCTAAAGGGCCTCCTAAACCAGGTCAAAGAATTTGGAATTTATCATGTGAAAATACTGGAATTTTTCATCTGTGGATACAATTTCAATTGCTTATAGATAGATTGCCCTACCCTATGGTCACATGGATCAGGAGGAAGTCAAGTTGGAGGTGAAATACCAGAAGGAAGGGGGAAGTCAAGTTGGAGGTGGGATATCAGCAGGAAGGCTGTTGTGTTCCTGCTCATCAGACCAGACCTGGACATGACCTGGAGTAGGGTTGAAGCACAGAGTGTCCATCTGTGGTTTAGATATTGGCAGGGAGGAGAGGAAGGAGGGGAGTGTGCATAGCCCCAACTGCTAGGAACAAAGAGATTCTAGAAGAATAAAGAGATGATAAATCATTACAATGCCACCCAGGCCCTTTAGCAGGCATGGGGGTGTCTGATGTTCAAGGGGACAAGGTTCAACTTTCCATGTTTGAAGCTTCTGCAGACTCTTCAAGGCCAGTCCCCAGTAGGCAGCTAGATAATTGGCTGAGGATCTCAGTAGAGAAATCTGGGTTGGAGAAAAAGATTGTAAATGTACAATAAAGGTATCATGACTGAAACCATGGAGGTAGATTAAGTTTGCTAAGAGGAGGGGTAAAATGAGAAAAGACTTAATCGACCATAATCTGGAGGAACCCATGTACTTAAAGATTGGGGAGCAATAAAAATCCGTGGAGAATGATGGAAAGCCATGGCAAGAATGGGGGACTCAAGAGGAGAGCAGAAGGGAACCAGGGGCTGAATCAATGCCCAGAAAGTTACCTGTAAGAGAGACTGAAATAGCCAAAATTCCTGCTTTCCTTGTTGGAGGCTTTTCAGGAAAGTTGCAGTCTGTATCAGAAACACTGGGAGAAAGCCCAGATGTTCCTGAGCACTGGTTCTTGGCTCCCTTGTCATCCTTTGAGGTTGTGTGAACTACTCAGAATTTCAATGTTCACTGCCTCTGGGATGACTTTGGTTAGCACAGTATTCAAGATAGATTTCTGCTTAGCTCCAAACACATAGTTAGGGAGAGATGAATAAGTCCTTGTCACAATTGATGCTTGCCTTTGACATTTTCTATGTAGTATAGTGCTAGTGTCACACAACTTCCATGTATTCTGGTGGAGAATTACCATTATATGACCAAGAGTTCCACTCTATCTCCTGGCTCTATTGTGACTGATTCCAGTTGGAAGCCCAGATGGACAGATGGACAGCCACACTGTGGAAGAAACTGTGCTTTCCATGATGGTGACTTAGCAACTCTGGGTTTGGGTCGTGTTCCCCATGGGCTGTTCTGGACTCAACAGTCTTGACTATTGGGTTGGTTTTGTGGCTTTATCTTGGCGACTCCCCTTGGTGTGTCTCACTGAAACATCAACAATATGCCATGAATTCAGGCTGCCCAAGGATGACACTGGATTCCCCAGGCCCCTCGTGGCCTTGTTTGGATCATTTGGCTTTCTTGATCTAGAAAGGCTAATCCCTTCAAAAATAAAAGGTCCTTCAGGTACCTTGCAGTTTCCTGGTGAGGCTTCAGCAGAAAACAAAACTTGGGTCTTCTGGATTCTGCCCCTTTTAAAATATCTATAAAATTATTTCCACAATATGATTGTTTTTGCACAGACATACATTTGTTACTGAAGATGGGATATATGTATAATTCCCCCACAAAGTCTTCCTACTCAAAGATAAACAGATTCAGCTGCCCATAGTAAAATGGTAAGACAAAAGGGAGGCACATTTTCAATGGTTTTCAGCTGGAATGTCTGTCTCTTCTCTATGCTGTGGGAAAACAAGACTCAGAGGGAAAAGGTGGCAGTCCAGGCTGTGTCGCTGATCCTCCTGACCAGAGAGGGATGACGTTTTTCCCCTCTGGGGCTTAGAGGAAGAACCTACTTCAAATATGCACCAGAAATGGCTCTCTGACATAGAAAGTCCATTTTCTTCAGCTTGTTTCTCTACCTCACTTGATTTTTTTGCCTTTTTGCTTTCTGGGCTTTTCTCCCACCAAAAACCTTTAAAATTCAACACACTGTCTTCCAGGTGCTGTGGTATGCAGTGGACCATGTGGTCTGAGTCAGCCACAATGAGGCTGTTGAGCTCTGTCACAGTTGTGGGACATACTCATATTGAAAGATGAGCAGGTCATGGCACTGTAGAGCCAACGTGGGTAGAGGACATGGTGTCTCCCCTTCTCTTTAGTGTCATCTGGAGCCTCAATTTAACTGTGAAAAGTCCCCCTTGGTGCTACTTTCCCCTCTGCTGAGGTAGTAACTGGTACTAAAAGGTTCTCCACCAGGTCACCTTCAGCTGTGTTCAGACACCATTCAGCTCACACTATAGAAAAATCACCCCAGACCTTAGCAAGAAGAGGAAATTGGTTGAAATGTTTTTTTTTCCCACCTGGGTGTTATATATTACTAAGACCTCCTCACAACTCTGTCCCAAATGACACAGTGCAGAGAATCGGGCCCCAGATTAAGTAAACCCAGATCTAGCCATGGTGCTGCCTTTGAACATGAGCTCTAAGGTCCATTACTCTCCACTCTGGGCCCAGTTGTGAAACAGTCTGCTGTACTGTGGGCTTTGAAGTTGGCTCTTCTGCAGTCCCAAGCTTATCAGATACTTTTTGTGTATGCTCTTGGATCTCCAACCTTACCATCTCCAGGATTGTGCCAAGCCCTGACTGCCATGGAGAAGATCCCCATTTATTTCACACAAGGCAGCACTACATATATGTGTGTGTGTGTGTGTGTGTATACATATATATATATACATTTAATTGAATCACCTATAGATTGACTTACAAAGTTGTTCATGAGTGAATTTCAATCATACAGTGTTCCAACACCCATCCCTTTACCACTGTACATTTCCCACTACCATTGTCCCCAGTTTTCCTTCCACCAATCCCACCCCCAACCTGCCTCTATGGAAGGCACTTTTTTTCTTGCTTTCTCTCTTTCTTTATCTCTTTCTCTCTTTCTTTCTCTCTTTTTTCTTTTTTCTTTCTTCCTCTCTCTTTCTCTCTCTTTCTTTCTCTCTCTTTCTTTCTTTCTTTCTTTCTCCCTCTCTCTTTCTCTCTCTGTCTCTCTCCCTCTCTTTCCTTCTGGGCACTATAATTTGTAACAGGTACTAAAAGGTTATCATGTATATCCCTTTACTTACTATCGGCACTATAGTTCTTAATAGTTCTTAATAGGCTACTTGATAGTCATTGTTGGTTGCTAGATCCCATCATTTCTAGAAGCTGAGCCAGCACTTCAAAGAAGCCCCCAAGTACATGGCACAACGCCCAGAGTCATTGCTCATCAAGATAAGTAAACTGTGGTTAGAAGCAAATGCAAACTGGCTTGGCCAAGATGAAAATCTGGCAACATCAAGTCTTTGCTAGGATGGAGACTATCTGGAACACTTGTATCCTGGTGGTAGTAAGGATGATGGTAAAAAATCATCCCGGAAACATTTTGTAATGTCCTCTGAAGTGGAATAAAGTAGAATATTGCTTAGTGAAGGAAAATGAAACCTTAGGTTGCTTTGTCACTGTGTGAGCATCATGGAGTACACCCACTCAAATCTAAGTGATGCACACAACTGCCCACTTAGACTATATGGCATGGCCTATACAGACCACCATCGTAAATGCTCCACATCATTGGCCAAAACCGTCTTAAGAGAATCATGACTACAGACACTTCATCTGTAGTCCAGCAGAATAATTCCACATTCCCACACACATGCCTCGGCATTAACTCTAGTTTTATGCATGATATCCCCAAACAAAACAACCCAAATGTCCACCCACAGCATTAAGTATGAGTGAGTGTTGATGTATTCACATGATGGAATGAGAAGAGAATGAACATGCACCAACTTGAAAGGGAAGAGAAATCAAGCACAAAGGAATCTACACTGTGTGGTCCCAAGGAATTCAATCCCTGTGGAATTCAAAGATGGGGAAGCCCAGTCTAAGGCAGGGAGACACAGCAAGTGTGATTGTGTTCAGGGTGAGAGGTGATTGAACGGGAAAGACACAGGCACTGGATGTCCTGTCTTGATCTACAAGGCAAATGCAAAAGTATGTTGTCCCTGAGCTCTCCATGAAGGCACACATGATGCATTGTGTGTCAGTTGTTCTCCCCAGTAAAAGGATCCGGAAAAAGGATTTCAATGGCTGTCTGTTAACCCGAGACATCTCTGCACTGCAATTCACTTAGTATTTTATATCTAGGAATATGGGAGCAAAGGAAGTGCAAAAGAGCCAGAAATATTGGCTTTCAAGTTTGCATTCATTGCACAGTCTCTCTCGGATCAGTCTAGAATCAGTGGTACCATGCTTTCATGATTTCATATGCATAAAAATAATTTGGAGGCCAATGCCATACACTTATGTGTTTCTCTCCTTTTGTAGAGATCTCTGGGCTAGAGACTTCCCTCCAAATGAAAGTCTGATTTTTAAATGGAATGTAATGGGAAATTTGGTGCACTTTTATCCCAGGGGTAGCTGCTAGAGAAACAGCCCAAGCACTGAAAACTCTGGCCCAGGCCGCCCGAGGCGTGGCTGCATCCACCAGTGACCCCACAGCCACTCACGCCATGCTCGACTCAGCTCGAGATGTGATGGAGGGCTCGGCCATGCTTATCAGGGAAGCCAAGCAGGCCCTGATTGCACCTGGTGATGCTGAGAGTCAACAGAGACTGGCTCAGGTGAGTTCCAGGGAGGTGTACAATGTCAGATCGTCACCCTTTCCTGGTGTGAGTCCTGGCGTTCCATGAAATTTCCAGAACCTTCCAAAGTGTCCTGCCAGAGTTCTCTCTTCCCACTTGTAAGTCTTCCCTCCAGAGCCCACATTGAGGTTAGTATGAGTACCTTGACTCACAGCTGCAATGTGTTGGGGCCTCAGTACATGGTTTAAAACAGCCAAGGGGGAGCAAATGGGATGTGCTTTCTCACTGGCCTCTGTCAACACAGAACTTTCACCCCAGGGTGGGGGGGGGGGGGGTTCAGCACTTGGCTCCCAGCCAAGAGCCCTACAGGGGCTGATTCAGAGCAGAAAGAATTTCAGGTACACTCTGAGCCCCATATCCCCTCCGTACCCCAAATGGCCCCCCACAGCCCTTCCTCAAGGCCCTTGTCTCCTGCTGTGGATCCAGGTGGCGAAAGCTGTCTCACACTCTCTCAACAACTGCGTGAACTGCCTCCCGGGACAGAAGGATGTGGATGTGGCCCTGAAGAGCATCGGAGAGTCTAGCAAGAAGCTATTGGTGGACTCGGTGAGCAGGGCTGGACGGTCATGGGGTTCTGGGGCTCCTACGTGGGTCCTTGATATAGCCACAGGCATCCAGCTCCTTGACCAGTATCCTCCTCCAATGTCCCTCCTCATCTGCCTGCTGATGGGTCATGGCTCCCAGTGGAGATTTTCCAGTTGACTTTTTCTTGATCCCCATGTGGTTTTGACCTCTGGGCTCTGGGGTCATCACAGTGGGGGTGGAAAAGGAATACACCCATAGCCTAATTACCAGGGTAACATAGAGGGTGAGAGGCCAGGAGGGATGCACATGTCCCAAACTCCTGGGAGCCTATCCCCTCCCTGCCCTGTGAACCCTCTCCTAGGGTCAGGGGCTTGTGTCTTCACCTGGGTTTGCTCCACTGTCCATTGTCTGCTCTCAGCTGCTAGTCAGTAGTACAGCTGCTGGACCCGGCAGACTTCAGCCCTGTCCTGGACCATGCATGACCTCATCATCCTCTGCTGCTGCCTCCTCAACAAGTTCTGCTGTGAACGAGACTATGAGCAGAACTTGGGGATGTTTGGCAGGACAGAGTTTAGGGTTCAAGAGCAAATATGCTTTATAGGAGAAACTTTGGGAATTTCCAGATGACTCCATATAGACTGGGGCCCCGTAGGTGGCCCTGGGATCCCCGAATGAAGACTGTCTCTGCCATCAAGGAGCCAAGCCCTTGAAAACAGTGTCATTACCCATTTATAGACAGTGTCTGACACTAGATTGATTCTAACCAGGTGTGAGTGACCATGTAATGGTGCGTGTTGAAAGTTCCCTGTGATGGCAAACCTCCCAGCCATCTGTGTGGCTCCCAAAGCACCCCTGGAGAGGCAATTCCCCACTCCGTGCCCACCTTTGCTCCCCTGCATGGAGCTTCCCCACTTCTGTTTACTGCAGCTACCACCCAGCACGAAGCCTTTCCAGGAAGCCCAGAGTGAGCTCAACCAAGCTGCGGCTGACCTGAACCAGTCCGCGGGGGAGGTGGTCCACGCCACCCGGGGCCAGAGTGGGGAGTTGGCTGCAGCTTCAGGGAAGTTCAGCGATGATTTCGATGAATTCCTGGATGCTGGCATTGAGATGGCGGGCCAAGCCCAGGTGGGTTTGACAGCTGGGACTCAGCTCTGTGTGAGGAAACAGCCTTGTCCTGGAGCTCAGTTGGGCCAAGTGGAGTTGGAAGCCCAACAACAGGTGGCAGAGCCACATTCTCCCAGGGTTGGGAAGCTCCATGACCTCATGGGAAAGACATTCCCAGGGATGCTCACAGTGCAGATGCAGCTCTAGGTGGAGAAAGCAGCTTTTCTCCTCCCCTCCATATCATCCAGTCTCTGAGTGGATGTTTGAAGAGAGCTCAAGGAGGGTAGGTGTTCGGCAGAGGTGGGAACAATTCCAGCCCCATCCAGGAAGACATCATGGGTGTTTGTGGCCCACTTGCAGGAACTTTGGTCATGGCGAGCATTGGGTGATTAAATATTCCCTCCTGCAGATGAGCAGATAATCCTGGGGTAGCCTAACCTGTCTGGCCTTGGCTTGTAGTTTTCCCCTCAACTCCTGTAACTCCTGAAAGAGACTCACAGCGTGCTTTCTGCTCTGTTGCCTGCAAAGTCTAGTGTCTTGGACAGCAGGCAGGGTGAGGAGGAGTCCTTCCCTGGGTCCAGAAACTTAGGGATGCAGGGACCATGGCTGGAAATTTCAGCCCAGAGCTGGTAGTTCTTCCTGGCTCAGATGGAGGAACCTCTGAGCTCCTGGATAACTCGGCTTTGTTGAATGATATGCTGGGCTTATGGCCTGCACTACTACATACTGACTCATGCTCTTTCTTGCTCTCTGGTCCCTGCATCCCTTTTATGGCCTACACTGGTCATGCAGCACTGTTTGGGGCTGGCCCCGTGGGCATGGGTTTGTCGTCTATGCATCTCAGTCTGGGCATCTCTTGGGAAAGAGCAGATCCTGGTCAGACTCCACACCCTAGGCATCTGCAGAGTTGTTGGGCTAAATGCAAGCTACACAGAGAACTTGTTTGTTTTCTGAGTGCTCCTGTAAAGTCTCTGGGGGCTTCCTAGAGGAAATGCCTGGTCCTGACTCCCTCTGGCTCCTTTGGATCTTCCAGACAAAAGAAGACCAGATCCAGGTAATCGGGAATCTCAAGAATATCTCTATGGCATCCAGTAAGCTATTGTTGGCTGCCAAGTCTCTCTCTGTAGACCCAGGAGCACCCAACGCGAAAAATCTCCTGGCTGCAGCTGCAAGGTAAGAGCAAAGGAGATATGTGCTTTCTTTCTTTTTCTTTTTTAAATAGTTTTGTTTTAAATTTTTTACTTAGAAAATATGAAGGGAGAGTAAAAGAGACAGAGAGATATGTGTTCAAGAGAGAACATGGGCTTCTCCAGAGTGGAAAATGCCAAAATGTGCTTCTTATGTGGTTGAATGAAACACAGATCTGCATAACACCCTCCTTCTGCTGAGGGAAGAATCGCAAAGGAATCCATTCTCATAGAAATTCTGGAGCTTAATTCAGCTGGCTCGAGTCTATATTTCTCCCTCCAATGATGCATTCTGTCATCACTGAGACCTATGGTACTACTGATTTAACATCATCAGGGTCTCCTTAGAGTAGTGTTGCCTATTTCAGAGTTTGAAAATAGCACAGGTTTGCATGACAGAAGTCCAAAAGTATGAATGAGCATACAAGTTGCTCCATTCTCTTCAGTATTTGTTGAGCCTTTACTCTATACTACCTGTCATTGGTGTCAAATCCATGGAAATCATTATATTAAAATAGTCACATGCCACGGGTCTTCAGTGTAGAATATGATGGGCTGTAGGTAGGGGTGAAATGTTTGTGAAAACATAATCCTGAGCTTCAAAGGATGTCTGTATCTTTCTCCCCTGATGCTTTCATTAGGGAGTTGAGAACCCTTTTCTGCTCCAGGGGCATTGTGGCTATTTGATTTGCTGACCTGTAATGGGGAAGGGATATGAGGAGCTGGGTGGCAGCCCTACTTCCTCCCTCCTGATCCCAGAGGGTGAGTGGTTTATGCGCCTGTGTGGTGGGGCTGTGCTCTTGGCATTTCCCAGTGTCAGCAGCAGGGAGGTTGACAGCAGAGGGAGGAAATGCAGGAATGCACCATGTTTCCAAGGCAGGGACAACACTCCACCGTGGTGGTGCCAGCAACCCAAGGTTGGACAGTATGTTGAATGCAGATGGGGGCGCTTCTATCTGCTTAAATAAGGTCAGTTTTCAGGGGGGACACAGAATGTTGTCCTTTTTGAAAAAACGCAATAGACCAAGTAAGCCTGGGAACCCCTAGGCTGGATTACATCTCTGTCAACCTTTCCAAGCTGTATAGGGCTGTGATGTGAAAAACACAGCTTTATTTCTTTGGGTTTTGCTAAATTTGAGTTTGGTCACTTTTTTGCATCTTTCTTATGTCTTTGTCTCCCTAGGAATTCAGAAGGCATTAAAGGGTGGGAGTCAGGAGCCCTGAATTACCACAAGCCTTGGTGCTTCAGACAGAAGTGCAGGGGACAGCTGGCTCTGCCTGTCCCCAGATTCCACATCTACAGAGGGAAAGGGGGGGTATCTATATCACCCTCAAATGCTTTTGATTGTCATTGCATGAGAATTTGTGTTCCTATTGCTCAGAGCCTGGCTGGTGCTTTAAGATCCCATGTTACTTTTGTGTAAGGGAGGTAGACAATAATCTTGAAAACACAAGAGTTTCTTTGTTTATTCCAACTTATATATTTATTTTCAAACAGTAGCACCTCCGAGATTGGGAAAATACCCAAATTCCCTCAGTGCCCCTCCTATAGGATTGTTCAGTGAACAGGTGCCCTCTTTTGGGGAAGGGGTCTGAGGGTGTTGAGGACTTGCTCTGCACCTCTGCTGCTGCTAGGAGATGCCTCCCCACCCCATGGCTTTCTTCTGTAGTCTTTGCCTCTGAGAATGTTACTGATTGAACATAAAAAGGCAGCAAAGTTTCCAGGCTCTTTGTCATGGTCTCCAATTTTTTGTATCATTACAAAGTTATAATTTCCCATTTAGTTTGTGTGTTTGTGTTCAGGGCTCAACATTCAGGAATCCCCTTTTGGCATTGCTTAGGGGATCATGTGGTGTGCCAGGGATCAAACCCAGGAATGACACGTGTAAGAAAAGAGCCCTACCCACTGTACTACCGCTCTGGCCCATTTTCCCACTTATAACATGTCATTCACTCATGAGTGATGGGGAGAAGGAGACAGTGTCAGTGTTTTTGAAAGCAGAAAAGGAAACCAGCCCCATAGGGAAGGTTCCTGGACCCCATTGCTCCCTGGTTTCCTTAAGCCCCCTGATAGGGACATAATGGAAGAATCTAGAAACATCAGAAAGGGAAGCAAACTAAGCAGCAGGGCAGGGAGTTCTCAGGTTGCTAGTTCATAACTGGGGCAGCATTCAGATTTCTCATGGGTTGCGGGTGTCTGGTTCGGAGCTATTGCAGGAGACACTGGCATGTTCCTCATAGCTCCTTGGCACAGACTGGCAAGGTCAGTGCCCTGGGGTAGTTCCCAGTGGAAGCTCCAGCCAGCTCACATGAGTCAGGCTGACTCTTCTAAGAGGTCCCCGAGACTGGGGCACCTCCATTCCTTTCCTTAATCATTCATTTGTTAGTCTTGTGTCACAGGCTTGGGGTCAGCCCCACGCTGACCTGGAGGATGATGACCCAGCACACACAGCGTGTGGTCTTTTGTACCACTGCTGCCCTCACTCATGAGCCAAAGGCCCCCCAAAGAGATCATGAGTTATAACCTTGCTTGTTATAGTCCCCAAAGTCCTTCCCAGCTTGAGGGATGGGTTTGAAGCAGAAGGGAGACCACAGGGCTGGAGCGATAGCACAACCAGCCTGGCCGAGCCGGGTTCGATTCCTCTGCCCCTCACAGAGAATCTGGTAAGCTACCGAGAGTATCTCGCCTGCACGGCAAAGCCTGACAAGCTACCCATGATGTATTCAATATGCCAAACACAGTAACAACAAGTCTCATAATGGAGACGTTACTAGGCCCGCTCGAGCAAAAATTGATAAACAACAGGAGGACAGTGATACAGTGGGAGACCGCATCTTTCTCCTCTGAAATTCATTCTGCCCCAGAAGCCTCAGTCTTGATGTCTGAGCAGAGTCATGTTCTCCTGGACATTGACCTTGATTGTCCTTGTCCAGGGGTCTGCTCAGGCCAGGCTCTTTCCTGACAGGTGGGTGCAGAAGACGCTGTGCCTGCTGCTCATCAGCCCTTTCCTGGCGGTGGGGGAGGGGGAGCCTGATTGGGGTTCCCTGGACCTATTCAGAGAAGTGAATACCTGCTGCATTTGCAACAAGAAGGTGTGGCCACCCTGTAGCTCCTCCCCTGACCTCCTGTGGGCCCCACAGACCTCTTGGCCCCAGGAAAAGGGGCCAAAGAGTCATGCCCACACCTTAGCCTTTGCCAGTGCCCACTGCAAGCAGCCCCTGGAAGCTGGTTGGTGTTTCTTCCCAGTTGTCTCCACTGTGAGGCCCTTATGGGCCATTTCTTTCAGAATCTAGAGACAAAGAGAGCTCCTCACTCAAAACCGACACCCCAGTGTGAACACTTGTGCACCAGGCCTTGCTTGTCTGATAGAATGTTCTCTTTTCTTTAGCCAAACCCAGCTCTCATTCAGAGTATATTTTCTCAGTTGCTGCAAGCATCCTCTCCCCTGAAGACCCTCAAGGCTCCACTGCATGATATGCGGGTTACAACACGTAGCAGCTATGGGGCTGATCTGGGGGTCAGGATTCTGCTGGACCTGAGAGTTGTGGCCCAGCTTAGCTGTGACACCTGATCTGTTCATTGACTTCCTCTCCAGTACCACCACAAGCACCCAGCTGTGCTCAAGAGGCTTTGGTTCCATTGGAATACCCAACACTGCACACCATAGTCCCCAGACTTCACCTGATGTGGAAAAGAGACCCCCTTGTACATTTCAAACAGGCTAACACCAGAGAGTAGGGGCTTCACTAGGGGCAATTGAGTTTCAGTGTCATGACATAACCACTAGGACTGTCCTTGAGATGATCATAGTCTTGCTTTGTAAACTTGGTAAGCTGACGATGTATTCCAAATGTGCTCCTATACTTGAGGTGATTCAGACCCTGCTTAGCAAAATAACATGCTTGGGAATTTCTGCTTCTGAACTCTCCCACCACCTGCCTATAAATGCCCGAGCATTCTATAAAACAAAACTGTCGCCTTTGCTCTGGGCCCAAATTGCGAGCATGAGCTCAATGGGGCCCACTAGAATTATTAAAGCAATGTCTTACCATTTCTTAAAGCATCCTGCTTGATTTGTTACTGGCCTTTGGTGGGAATCTCTGCTTCACACATGTGAAGTGGCCTTGGCTCCTTATTCCTCCCTGCATGCCTCCTAGAGGATGGGACACCTCCAAGTGCTGTCTCATAGAATCTGGGCTTTTTACACTGAAATCATGGCTGCTGTGCTTCTTTCTTCCCCATACAAGTGGCGTTCCTCTTTAGGACTTCTGAGTCCTCAAACTTCAGCACAAGCAGTCGGGTATGTCCTTGAGTACTACAAGACTTGAGGCTAAAGAACCCATTTTAACCCATGAGCTCTTTCACTCCTTCATTTCCCATCTGAAACAGTTTGTACATACCTGAAAAGAGAATAAAACACTAGCAATGCAGTCTCCAGATTGTAGGGTTGTAGCTATTTAACTTTTCTTTTTTCTTTTTTTTTATGTAGGAGTACTGCTATTCAGCCACTGATTAGCTGATTGAATTGGGCATGAACTTCACCTTACTTATTTTTTTTTCATTATTTATAACTCTATTTATTGAATCACTGTGAGAGCAGTCACAAAGCTTTCGGGTTTAAGTCTCGGTCATACAATGAAACACTTCACCAGTGCCCATTCTCGACCATCAAAAACTCCAGTATACTCCCTCCCACACCATCCCCCTACCTGTGGGGCAGATGATTTCCACATCACTCTCTCTCTACTTTGATTTCATTCAATATTTCGAGACCAGATAATAATCCCATTATTATTTGGGATTTTACCCCAACATTCAGATCTGCTGAAAAGGCAACACTAGACAATTTGTTTTCTGCTGCTGCTTATGAATAACATATGATATCACATGGCTGCAGTAGTGGCTGCACGATTTTGAAATTTCGAAAATTTTAACAATTAAATCTGGAGGGATTTCTGCCCAAACCTGCTGTGTTCCGAGATTTGTTCCTGAGTCTCTGGGATCAGGCCATTAAGCAGCTTGATCAGGAGCCAGAAAGGCCATTCGTGGGTGGCGACTCGGGGTCTTGTTGGGACGGGGAGGAAAGGGCCAGCTCCACCCCCAACCCATGAGGCCCCACGTGTCTCATAACTGTGGGCCCAAACCTGACTGCCCAGTGGCCTCTGGAAGGTGGTGGCCACCGAGCCGCCTAGGGGGAGCAGGAGGAGGGACAGCACCCTTTTCCCCTTGGGGTGACCCAGCAACAGTAACCTACTGCGGGTCCGGATGCATTTCTGCCAAAAGTCACTGGGTTCCGAGATTTGTTTCTGCGTCTCTGGGATCATGGCCGTTAAGCAGCTTGATCAATAGCCAGAGAGGCTGTTCATGGGTTATGACTTGGGGTCTCATTGGGGTGGGGAGGAAAGGGCCAGATCCACTCCCATCCCGTGAGGCCCCATGTGTCTCATCTTTGCAGGCCCAAAACCTGATTGTCCAGTGGCCTCTGGAGGATGGTGGCCACCTGGCCGCCAGGGGGAACAGGCCAAGGCACGGATCCTATTCCCACCTGGATTGGCCCAGCGCTGGTAACCTACTGCAGGGGCCAGACGCATTTCTGCCAAAAGTCACTAGGTTTCAAGATTTTTTTCTGAGTCTCTGGGATCATGGCCATTAAAGAGCTTGACCAGGAGCCAGAGTAGCCGTTTGTGGGCAGTGACTCGAGGTCTCATTGGAGCAGGGAGGAAAGGGCCAGCTCCACCCCCATCTCGTGAGGTTCTGTGGGTCTCATCACTGCGGGCCCAAACCTGACTGCCCAATGGCCTCTGGTAGATGGCGGCCTCTGAACCACCAAGGGGGAGCAGGCGGAGGGACAACACCCTTTCCCCCCTGGGTTGTCCCGGCAACAGTAACTTACTGCATGGTCCGGACGCATTTCTGCCAAAAGCCACTGGGTTTCAAGATTTGTTTCTGTGTCTCTGGGATCATGGCCATTAAATAGCTTGATCAGGAGCCAGAGAGGCCGTTTGTGGGCGATGACTTGGGGTCTCATTGGGGTGGGGAGGAAAGGGCCGACTCCACCCCCATCCCGTGAGGCCCCACATGTCTCGTCACTGTGGGCCCAAACCTGACTGACCTGTGGCCTCTGGAGGAGGACGGCCACCTAGCCGCCAGGGGGAACAGACCAAGGCACGAAACCTATTCCCAGGTGGCCCGGTGCCGGTATCCTACTTCAGGGTCTGGATGCACTTCTGCCAAAAGCCACTGGGTTCTGAGATTTTTTTATGAGTCTCTGGATCATGGCCATTAAGCAGTTTGATCAGGAACCAGAGAGGCCATGCCTCCAATTTTATAGCTGAGCTGGAGGTGGTTTGTGGGTGTGTCTCCCACATACCTTTCTTTGGCCATTTACTTTCTTGGTAAACTTTGCCCCACGTTTTTTGGGGTCTGGCCAAAGGCACAGCAGTAATGGGGGGGGGGGTATCTGGAAGTCTATAGGCACCATCAGGCTGCTGATGCACTCACCTCACAGGTACAGATTGACCTGCTGGCGACACCATACCCCCAACTTTTGTATTTTCAAAGGCTGCTTAGTCCTGCATCAGTGTATCCCAAGCAAGTCCGTCAAACTTGTGCTGATCCCTGTATGGTTTTATCCCACTGCCAACCTGACCCTCTTAAAACAGTGATTTATGGGTTTTTGTTTATTTCATTTTTTATGTTCTGTCTTGTTTTTAATCCCAAATGACTTCAAACTTGTTTATATCTACAACATACTTGAAAGGACAGGACAGTGAGTGTTCTACCAGCTTATCAATTCTAAGCATCTCGTTTTTAAATAATATTTTTATCTTTATGAGTAAATTTGGCTTCTTTGAAAATGAGATATGGGTCAGAAAGACAGGAAAGCATGTGAGGCACATTTCATTGCACATGACTAACCCAAGCTCACTTGCCAGAACCCCTGTAGTCTCCCAAGTCCCACCTGAAGTGATGCCTGAGTGCAGAGCCAGAAGTAAGCCCTGAGAATCACTGAGTGTGATCCAAAACTAACCAAACAAACAAAAGTACTGTCACTGTCACTGTCCTCTTGTTGTTCATCGATTTGCTTGAGCGGGCACCAGTAACGTCTCACAACAAATTGTGAGACTTGTTGTTACTGTTTTTGGCATGTTGAATATGTCATGGGTAGCTTTACAGGCTTTGCTGTGTGGGCAAGATACTTGAGAGCTTGCTGGGCTCTCCGAGTGAGGCGGAGGAATCAAACCTGGGTCAGCAGCATGCAAGGCACACGCCCTACACGCCATGCTATCGCTCCAGCCCGAAACAAAAGTACATAAAAAGGAAATGGAAAAAAATTCTGAAACTAAATGGAAAGCTTGAGTGATTTTTTAAATTCTCTCTGAGAATGTTATCACAGCCTAGGTGAGCAACTTCATGAACAGATGCCACCCATCCATTTGGAGGCTACATTGGTGGGTTCCATGGGGTGTGTGGGAAACTCCAGCTGCTCCTCCCAATTGAAGGGCCTGCAGACTCATCTCTATCTCAGCTCTGGGTCAAGCTGCAGCCAGACACCTCCAAACTTCCATAGCAACTTCTGAATTCAGCCCTTTTCCCATTAATGAACCACACATCAATCTTATACAAACAACTTGGATTCTCCCTAGAGCACAGAAATGTTTTTCTTCTTCCCCTCAGCCTCAATAATTATATTTAAAATTCAAGGTGGCTTCTTCCTCATCAAATAATTAAGCCGATTGCTTTTGTTCCTTGGTAATATCATATGCCATCTAATTGGATATTATGAGGGAAGCTGCAAAGTCAATTTAGCTAATAAAATGAGGCATCTTTGATATCAGATAGAGTGGATGGTTGACAGCAATATGTGCCTTCCTCTGATCTAGTTTGTTGCAAACAACCCATGAGCAGAATGGTTAGAATCTCAATGGAGATTTCCAGAAACAAGGCTTAGCCAGACATGACCCCACAGAACAACAGGAGTGTAACTGGCTCTTAAATTAATCACACAGGCCTGGCTCTAAGTCCTATTTCTTCCTTATAACATTCCCTAGAGATATTTCTCTTCTATTTTCTCACTTAGAAATTGCAAGAGTTTTTAGAATTGAGGCTTAGTTTAAAGCAAATTCCCCAGAGTGGGCGATGCTGCTCCTAGGTGAGGGCAGTGGAATAATGGGACATTGGTGGTGGTCTCACAATAAGGGGCACTCTCTGTTTGCTAAAGAAGAGAGATTACAGAGTGATTTTTTGTTGTTTTTTTTTAGGTTTGGATGTTTGTTTGTTTGTTTGTTTGTTTGTTTTTTCTGAAAAGAAGACAGGGGTTCCAAAGTTTGGGAATCTCTGGTTTACAGCGATGGCAATAAAAATCAGTGAGATATTGGCAAAGGCTTAGACACAGATCAGTGGGATTTGACTCCAGAAGGTAACCCACACACATATGGACAGTTGACTTTTTTTCCTTTTTTTTTTAAATGTTATTGAAGCACCATGAGATAGTTACAAGCTTTCATGTTTGGGTTACAATCACACAATGATCAAACACCCATCCCTCCGCCAGCGCACATTTCCCACCACCAATATCCCCGGTATACCCCCCCTTTGCTAACCCTCCCCCTGCCTGCATGGCAGACAATATTCCACAGACTCTCTCTACTTTTGGACATTATGGTTTGCCATACAGACACTGAGAGGTTATCATGTTTGGTCCTTTATCTACTTTCAGCACACATCTCCCATCCCGACCGGTTCCTCAAGCTATCATTTTCTTAGTGATCCCTTCTCTATTCCCTCTGCCTTCTCCCCTCCACTAATAAGGCAGGCTTTCAGCTATGGGGCAATCCTCCTGGCCCTTCTATCTACTGTTCTTGGGTGTCAGCCTCATGTTATGTTATTCTGTACTCCACAAATGAGTGCAGTCCTTCTATATTGGACAGTTGACTTTTAATAGAGTTGCAAAAGCAGGTTAGCAGGGAAAGAAACTCCTTATAACTAGGAGCTAGAATGACTGGACTTCCATGTCTCCCTACAAAAGAGCCTTGATCTAGTTTTCACACTTCATTTAAAAAATTAACTCAGAATTGACCATGCTTGGGGCCAGAAAGATAGTACAGCAGGTAAGGTACTTGCATTGTACACAGCTGACCTCGTCTTGAGCCCCAGCAATGCATATGGACCCCTGAGCCCACCAGGAATGATCCCTGAGCACAAAGCCAGGAGTAAACTCTGAAAGCCTACAGGCGTGGCCCCAAAAAGAAAAAATAGGGGGAATCATTTTGGGATATTTCTGGAAAATAATGAATTACAGGATTTGGTGGAAAGAAAAGAGCTTAAGATCATAGGCACAGCTTAATAATAATCAATGGCATGTTAAAATACATATAATAAGGGCCAGAGAGATAGTACAGTGCGTAGGGCACTTGCCTTGCAGATGGTGGGCCCCAGTTTGATCCCTGACACTTCATATGGTTCTTCAAACATCACCAGGAAAGATCCCTGAGTCATAGCCAGCCTGTGAATTGTCAGATGTGACCTCACAAACAAACACACAGCAAAAAAAAAACCAAAACTCCAGGGCAGTGTGTAGACTCCTTCTATCTTCTGTGGCTATGCTTTGGTTTGGCATTCTACAGTTGTTTCTTTTCAAAGAACTCTCACTGGGGCCCAGGTCTTTGTAACAATGCAGTTGCATTTCTACTTCAGCAGAATGTTGTTGGATAAATTACTGTTGATCTTTACGAAGGAAACCCAACCCCCCTTTCTGTTTCCTACACAGAGCTGTGACCGAGAGCATCAACCAACTTATTACTCTGTGCACCCAGCAAGCCCCTGGCCAGAAGGAGTGTGACAACGCCTTGCGGGAGCTTGAGGTAGGTCTAAGAAATGTGGCTGAGGACTGGAGTGTGTGTCCAGCTGCCTTGGACTTTGGGCTGGGTTCCTTTCTCTGTCCTCGCTTGCAACTGCAGCAAGGAGATGCTGAGAGCCAGAGTTCCCTCCCAAATGGGGACAACTGAAGAAATACCAGTTTGGGGATATAGTCAGCCCTACTTGCCTTTGTGCACTGGGATAAGGGATGTTTTGTTAAGATAATTCATTTCCTTCATTTCAGGCAGGAAGGAGCTAGATGTGGGGTATATGCTGAAAATATACAGTCCTCACCTCAGATGTTGTAGAGAACTTGTGGGCAGTTGTGTGAAGTTGAGCTGCTTTTTGAGTAAAATAATTCCCCCACTCATGTACCTGTAGGGGTGTCTAAAAGGCAACTCAGAAGAAAAATGTGCTATTGCTCAATGATTAGGGTAACCTTGAACTCCTTTGAGCCCAGAAGACAGCTCTAGGCATTTCTGACTGTAAGTCAGAACTGAAATGTTCCTCCATAGTGACCAATGTGTGGCACAGTGGGCAAATCCTTGTCCTATTCCCGTCTGCACTTACAAACAGTGTCATTTAGGATGGAGTGGAAACTGAAAATTTATCCATATGAATGCCCGTCAGCTGTATGTGGGTCATGATGAGCACATGTGCCTGCTCACATGTAAAGTAGAACTGACCAGTGGAGACTCTCCCAACACAGACAGCTGGGCATCTTGGAAGCTCTAGGATAGTTGTAACCAGTCCTTTGATTTTCTGAATAATTGGTCTGCTGGCAAAATCCACTGCAGCCTTGGTGGGGAGTGGGGGAGACCCAGTCTGAGTAGGCAGCCACTTCCATGTGAAGCTGTGGTGGTACGCTTGTTACTAGGAAACTGAAATGTTCCTCCATCGTGGCAAATATGTGACACAGTGGGAAAATCCTTGTCCTATTCCCCTCTGCATTTGCAAACAGAAGTGTCACATGGGCTGTTGGTTTAAATAAGCTTTGTTGACCCAAGTGCAAACACTCCTTCCCTTAATGAGACTCTTCCTGGCAGAGTTATATCGCTACTGTCACTAAAGCAATGGCAATTCTCCAGGGTGTGCGTGAGGGTCTTCAGGGAAAAAAGTCTTCCCCTATGCAACCTGTTTTCCTGCAGAAATTTCGTAATGTTGCCAGCATAATTATGTCTAACCCTGTGCCCTTCTCTCTTTTGCTGGCTGTGCCCCAAAGTCAAGGCCCCGATGTCTGTTTTGCTCAGTGCAGAGAGGCAGATGCTGCATCCTGGTCATTACAACCTGAGATAGAGACAACCCAGTTCTTGGTGGTGACCTAAATAAGAACAACATCTATAGGGTCAGGACTGGAACCCAGGGCCTCACCCATGCAAGGACTGTGCACCACAGCTGAGCCTTGGTCCCATCCCAACATTCTCCGTATTTTTTTGTTTGGCTTTTTGGGTCACACTCAGAAGTGCTCAGGGGTTACTCCTGGCTCTGCACTCAGGAATTACTCCTAGTGGTACTCGGGGGACCATATGGGATGCCAGTGATCAACTTGGGTCAGCCACATGCAAGGCCCATGCCTTAGCCGCTGTACTGTAGCTTCATCCTCTCAGTATTTTTATATGAAATACAAGTCAACTGTCCCAGCAGAGAGTTGTGTGGAGTGGGAGAGGAGGGGAGACCTCATCCTTAAAAGACCCCATAATTGAAAACTAAAGTTTCTTCTCATCATGAAGAAATGAAGAAATGGATCCTTGAAATTTTAATTCCCTTGAGTACTCCATCAGATAAATTTTATTCATTTGCCTGGGATGTGTTGTATTGCATTCATGTTCCATATTTCTTCAAGAAAAAAATCTCTGCCCTGTTGTGGAAACCTTTCTTCACCTTCAAAATTTAAAAATCAAAAGAAAAGAAAAAAAAGTTTGTCCTTTCTGGCAAAGCATACAGAAGACCCTCATAGCTCCCAATCGGGGTCAGGTTGCTCTCAGGAACCCCAAGATTCTGAGTGTGGTCTCAGTGCCCCCCTCTCAGAATTTATACTCAGAGGTTGAGAAGGTAGAGGGATTCCCTGGCTGCTTTTTGAATGGCACTCTCTTTCTGTAGACCGTCAAGGGGATGTTGGACAATCCAAATGAACCTGTGAGTGATCTCTCCTACTTCGACTGCATCGAGAGTGTGATGGAGAACTCTAAGGTACACTCCCTGGGCCCCAGAGAGAATCAGCATTGCTCCAGAATAGGGCCACAGAACAGACAGGTTGCATTCGCCACACCTGGGTCCACCACTGAGTTTCTGTTCCAGGACGTCACAGCTGCAGTTCAGGTCCTGCATTTCTGGCAAGTTCCCAGGCCCAACTCTGAAGTCCAGGAGCCATACATGGAGAATGACTTTTCTGCCACTGGGTCTCACTGTGAATTAAACCAGACTCCCCCTTCACCTGGGATGAACTGCTGTGCTAAGCCCCTCATCACTGTGGCTCCCAGAACACCATCGGTGGTCTTTCTGCCATCACCCATATTCACTCTCTAGTGGAGTGAATATGAATGGGGTTTTGGTGGTGGGAGAGTGTGAAAGTCTAAGATAATGCAATGATCTTTGTCTCCCCTAAAAAATATCTTAACCTTATGCTCTTCTTTCCTCGTGTTTAGTTTGATGGACAGGGCAGCTTGGGAGAGGAAGAGTCTAAAAAGTGGAGTGATACCTCCTCCCCCCCTCCCCCCCGCCACACACACATACTTATTTATTTGTTTAAAGGCTGTAATGCTGGAGTAATAGTACAGGGGGTATAGAACTTGCCTTGCATACTGTCTACCCAGGTTCAATCCTGGTACCCCATAAGGTCCCCAGAGCACTGCAGAGTAGCCCCAGAACACACAGTCAGGAGTAAGCCCTGAGCATCCCTAAAGGATGGAAGTTGGATGGCCACAATCTGGCTCCTCTCAGGAATGGAGGTGGCATAGGTGTGTGTGTTTGCTCTGGGGAAACACTGAAGCAGCATGGGAAAGAGCAATACTAGATTTTCCCATGCAGTCTTCTGTATGTCCTTGTGGGTGGGTGAAGACGAGATTGCATGTCTGTCGCTTTCAGTGAGCCTGAGGGACTATTCCTTCTGGAAGAGGGACAGCAGAGTTAAGTGAGAGGGGAAGTATTATACATTTAAAAAAAAAACTTTACTTCTTCACTTGGCGAGTCCTGTGAAAACTGGGTTATTTTCATCCCTCTCAGCAATTGCCTGGAAGGTACTTCGCTTCCCCATCTAAGCTGCATGATTGACAAATATGATCTGTGTTGGGTTCTCAACTCGGCAATGCCATAGTCTCTCCAGTGGGGCAACCTGGGCACTGGCAGCCTACTTCCTGTGACCTTCGAAGGGGATCTGCCCTTCTGACCCAAGGAGACCCATAGGCAGAGCCCTGATGCAAGCAGGAGCCATAACTCTGCCCAGGGGTATGGATCTTTGGGGCTTGGCTGAGCATTGAGTTTCCTTCCAGATGCTCCCCACATCCCCTAAATGAAGAAAAATAGCAGGGAAGGGAAATAGGAGAACACACCTTTGGAAGGTCGCATGCAGTCCAGGTTCTTGTCCAAACATTTCTCCACAAAGACATGTGAAATGTCTGTCCACAGCAGATGAATAGTGTGAGGAGTGGGTGTCCCCTGCTCTCTGCATGTGAGCTTACCACAGCTTGGTGGGGCTGCTTGATTGCTCTCTTTTGGACACAGATAGTCTGCAACTTAGGACACTGTTTCCAGAGTGGCCTGGGTATCCCTACCAGGGCCACCTAAGCACTTGTTGCACCTTAGTAACAACTGGAGGGAACTTTCTGCCACTCCTACACTTTTAATTGGGGTGAGATTTTGGGCTACATCCGGTGGTGCTCAGGGCTTACTCCTGGCTTTGAGCTCAGAGAGACTAGGGCTAGGGGGAGCATACGGGGTGCAGGAGTGAACCTTGGTCAGCTGTGTGCAAGACAAGTGCCCTATCCACTGTACTGATGGCTTCCACCCCTTGAAGCTTTTCTTAATGCAAAACAAGGTGATGTTATCAATCAAGTGACCCAAATAGAGGGATACTGATGGGTGGGGGAGGGGGACGAAGGGTGTGGGAAAGTGATACTCTCAGTCCCAGGGTACAGAATGTGGTCAGGGACATCGCATACCCTTTGTTTTGCAGGTCCTGGGCGAGTCCATGGCAGGAATCTCACAGAATGCCAAGACTGGGGACCTCCCTGCTTTCGGAGAATGTGTTGGGGCAGCGTCCAAAGCACTTTGCGGGCTGACGGAGGCCGCGGCTCAGGTAAGGCAGCCCAGGCCAGGAAAGGTGAAACTCCGCCTGAGTCCTTGGCCTGAGTCCTGGGTGTTCGAGGGCACACAGGGGGACACTGAAGTGCCCTGATAGGGAGCTCAGGTGCAATTCCTGCAGCTATGCAGAGATCAAGAGGGGAGGGTGATCCTGGCTGTGCAGCCTTCCTGGGAGCAGAGCCTTGAGCCCTGAGACACTGCGCTCAGCTCAAGGCAGCCCTTCTGGACTCAGCCTGTTTCCAGGGGAGCCGTGCGGGGGAGAAATGGGCATACAGGACTACATCCACGCTGAGCTTCACAGTCAGAGACCCCAAGCCATGAGAGAAGAGTCAGTTCACATGCAGAGTCATACTTGGCTATAGCTTCACTCACAGAGTGAAGTGATTGGCTGTAGCTTAGCTGTGCTTGGCATAGTACATTCATAGTACATTCCAGTGCACAGTACATTCAGGTTTTGAAAGAGAGATTCTTCACATCTACTTGTTCTCTTAAAGGAATCATTACACATTGCCCTGTGCCATGAAGCCCATTACTTTTCCTTATCGCTGGAGATATTGTCATGAACAATAAGGATGCATTATTGCCAGCTTGGGAAACAGCACCATAACGTTACCATAATGTTATCAGTCTGCACACACATTAATCCTTCTCTGACCCATGCCTGCTAAAGAGGCAGCTTCCTGTTGAGACTAGCGGTCTTTGTGGGTGCCAGAAAGTGGCCAGAGCAAACAGGGTGTGCCCACCCTGTTTATAACCTCCAAAAGAGCTTCCTAAGGTTTTCTTAGGAACAAGCGGGCTTTGTTCCTAGAATCCTGCAACAGACTCATGCCAGTAGGTGCCTGCCCAGTGTTGGCCTCAGCCCATTCATACCTATAGCTCTGCTAGCAAGAAACATGAGATTATCCTGAGCTGTATGTTAGGAAGCATTGCTGAGCATGACATAGCTCCTTACCCAAGCTGTTTCAGAGCCTGGACCATGGACTGTGGATTCTGTCTCTTTTTCAGGCTGCCTACCTGGTTGGCATCTCAGATCCAAACAGCCAGGCGGGCCACCAGGGCCTTGTGGACCCCATACAGTTTGCCAGGGCCAACCAGGCTATCCAGATGGCATGCCAGAGCCTGGTGGACCCAGGCAGCAGCCCCTCCCAGGTGAGTGTGGGTGAAGAAGTGACTGTCCTAGACTGTCAGTGGGAGAGCCAGAGAGACGATCCAAATACTGTTCTCAGAGCCTGCAAAGCCAGCTCAGAGAAACTCTACAGATGCTGACTGGGCTCAGGAGACAGCAAATATGGGAATTCGGAAAGGCTATGAAACTAGGTGCTGAAAGGAGGAAAGTCAACAATGGTTGGGAGAGAGTTTAGCTTATGCTTTTCCCTTTCAATTTGAACCACCATGATTGATAATTCTGTTCATGATTGGGTATTATACATATAGTATTCCAACTCCAGACTACTCAAGCCTCCCCACCCTCCCTCCACCATTATCCCAGGGTCCCACTACTCCATTGCCATCCCACCCTTGGCCAGCTTAGTTCTGTAGACCAGATCTCAGGTTCTGGTGTCTTTGACCATTTGTTGTTTCCTTTCTGTGCTGCTTTATATCCCATATATAAAGACCGAGATCTTTCTGTGACTGTCCCTTTCCTGACTAACTTCGCTTAACGGCGTACTCTCCAGATATTTCCAAATAGTAGCAAATGGTGTGATTCCATCTTTACTTATACCCAAGTCATATTCCACTGCGTGTGTGTGTGTGTGTACCAGTTTCTTGATCCATCACCTGTGTTGGGACACTCAGGTTCTTTCCAGATCTTGGTTATCACGGTGATGCTTATCAAGAGTTTTGCTCCATCTGTTCAGTTTTGGGAGATGTATGCAGCGCTCTGCTATGCCCAGCACTAAAGGTTAATAAAGAGTAAACATCAGGAGTAAGATGCTATCCTCAATGCCCTGACTCTTAGCAGGCTGGCGAGACAGCATCAGCACAGCTGAGCACAGTGCAGGAGAACAGAGTGAGGCATGAGGTATGCTTGGAGGGAGGGTCTGGCTGGCCCAGTTTGCAGAGGAGGCAGCTCAGAGCTGGAACCCAGCACTCAGGAGGGAGCCTCAGAGACACTTAGAACTGGACAGGAGGCCAAACCTGTGACACTCCAGACACACAGTCCATGAAATGTTGCTCCAAGCTGCACTGGGATGGGAATGTGGAGTCCATGCTGGGCTTCAGTGCCTGGAATAAGGAGATGTGATCACACCGTCTCAGAGATGGTTCCCACTGGGTCACGTGGTACAGAGAGGCAGTGGGTATAGAGACTTAAGTCAATTATTGAAGTAATTTCTAACCGTTCCCTGTATTTAAAGTGCTCTGGTACACTTCAGGTTCCACTGGGCACACTGAAATTCTGTCCAGCAATGTTGCTAGGGCCTGCACTGAGTCTCTCCCAATAGGATGCCAGGTTCATGGCTGCCTCTCCCTTACCATCCAGATGTTCCTTTCCTGTCTCTCTTCTTTAATTATCTCTGGCTTCTCATCTCCTGCTCCCTCCTCTCCTAGCATGGGTTTGGGGCAATGAGGGGAGCCTGCCCTAGACACACAAATTCTTGTCATTCTGACTCTGGGAGATTTGAGTGAAGAGGGGTCGAGAGAATAATGGACACCTGCATCCAGCTGCCTACTTTCCAGGTGCTGTCCGCTGCTACCATTGTGGCCAAGCACACCTCGGCCTTGTGCAATGCCTGCCGCATTGCCTCCTCCAAGACAGCCAACCCAGTGGCCAAGAGGCACTTCGTCCAGTCTGCCAAGGAAGTGGCCAACAGCACTGCCAATCTGGTAAAGACCATCAAGGTGAGTGCAAACATGGGCGTTTGCTCCAGACTGAGCTGCTGGAGCCTACCTTCCAGGTTGGCGTTGGGGTCTGCGGTCAGGCAGGGTCCCTTGGGAAAGAGACCTCATCACCCAGTCCTGGTCTTTCCTGCTTTTCCAGGTGGGGTTCCCAATTCTGCCCATGATAAGTTTTGGGACAGTGATCTAGTAGGAAGGGGATGTCTGTGTGGGACATCTCTTGGCTCTGCACTGGGGAGCATAAACCCTATGTTTCCTTCAAGTGTGCCCCAGTAAGTTCATCCTGGATAGCTTCACCATTGTGGATGTGGCAAAGCAAAAGAAGGTGGAGGGAGAAAAGAGGGAAACTGATTTTCACCTGAAAACCAAAAAGTTTTTTCATCTTTCTTATGGTCTTCCATTTGCAGCTGTTTGGAAGGTTAGAATGGAGCATCAGTAGTTTTGTTGTTTGGTTGTTTTTCTTTTTTTAACATTTTTTTGATTAAAGCACCATATAAAGTTATGCAGAGTTGAGTTTTAGACAGACAATATTGCAGCACTGATTCCACCACCTGTGTCAACTTCTTTCCACCAGTGTTCTCAGGTTCCCACCCCTTCCAGCGTATACCCTCTTGACAACCACTAAGGTTGGATGTTAAAGTTTGGATCTCTTGATTTCAGTGTTGCTGACTCTGTGTTTTGGATATTTGGTTTGTCATTCCTTAACCACCTTTGTACTTGACTTCCCCAATTTGGCCCCCAGTGCCTCACATCTGTTTACCTTCCTCCCCTTCACATTTTCTTTCCTTATCTTCCCTGTACTCTGGGGCCGAGGTTGATTTGGGCATCCTTCCTTTAAAACATTGTATTTCTTCATCCAGTTATTCTAAATATAAGATATGAGTGATATAAGCCTGTGTTTAACCTTATTCTTCTGGCTCACGTCACGTGGCTAACATAATTTAACGTGATGGCTTCTAGTTCCATCCATGTTGTGGTGAATTGCATTATTTCATCATTCCCTACAGTTATGTAGTATTACATTGTTTATACCACATCCTCATGATCCTCTTACCAGCCAGTGCTTTTGTTTTGAGGTGCTCAGAGCACACAGGAGAGCTTCTTTAACCCCTATCGTCTCTTTTTTAAAAAGATTTTTCATTTTATTTTATTTTCTATTTATCAGAGATCTTTTTGAAAAAAATTTGTTAGTCACCGTGGGGTACAGTTACAGAGTTATAAACTTTCATGCTTGCGTTCCAGTCACACAATGATTGAGTACCCATCCCTCCACCAGTGCCCATTCTCCACCACCACTAATCCCAGTATCCCTCCCACCAACCCCCATCCCCTCCCATCCTACCCCACCTCTGTGGCAGTGCATTCCCTTTCATTCTCTCTCCTTTTGGGTGTTGTGGTTTGCAAAGGAGATATTGAGTGGCCATCATGTTCATTCTATAGTCTACTTTCAGCACACATCTCCCATCCTGAGCGGGTTCTCCAAACACCCTTTACTTGGTGTTCCCTTCTCCATCTGAGCAGAGTTTTTTTTTATTTTTTAATATTTTTCCCCACTTTTTATTGATTCACCGTGAGATACAATTACAAAGCTTTCATGTTTGAGTTTTGGTCATACAATCATCAAACACCCACTCCTTCACCGCTGCATATTTTCCACCACCAAAACTCCCAGTATTCCCCCCCCCCCATTCCATCCCTATCCCTGCCTGTGTGGCAGACAATTTCCCCCATACTCTCTCTCTCTCTACTTTGGTTACATTCTATATTTTGACACCAGTCCCACCATCACTCAAACCTGCCAAAAAGGCAATGATAGAAAATTTGTTTTGTATTGCTTGTTATGAGTAGAATATAATGTCATGCAACTGCAAGAGTATCCGCACACTGTAGGGATTCTAAAACTTTAATAACTAGGGTCTGGAGAGATCTCTGCAGTGAGCTGCTTGGTTCTGAGATTCATGTATGTGTCTCTGGATCATGGCCAAGTAGGGGTTTAAGAAGCTGGTGACAGTTTGTGGGCGTCATCTCAGAGTCCCATCGGGGCGGTGGGAAGGAAAAGAGCTGGCTCCTCCCCTGTCCCATGAGGCCTGGCATTTGCCTCCACTGATGCCATGTATCTGGGCCTTTCATTGACTTCTAGAAGACGGCGGCCACCGGATTCCTAGGAGGCAGGCAGAGGGACAGCACCTGCTCCTGTCTGGAGTGGCCCAGCGAAAGTGGTTTATTGCAAAGTTCATAGCTTCTCTGCAGTGAGCTTCTAAGTTCTGAAATTCATGTAAAAGATTTTTATTGGGAACCTTCTCGCCCCACTGAGGCAGAGAGTTGCCCCCAACAAGCGGCTTTCTGGCACAGCCATGGCCCCAGAAGCACACAGACCTAATACAGAGCCCAGCAGCTTTTGGCAAAAATATGAATGGACTATGCATTGAACTACAGCACCGTGCCTCCCCGGGAGGCTAAAGGGTGTCTGTCTCTTCTGCCTTTGTCCCCCCGCCCCACCCTGACAGCATGGTGGCCACTGCCTCAGAGCTTATCGGGCAGCCAGGCATGAGCCAGCAGTGACAGGGCAACTGCAGCCTCATAGGATGGGGGGCAGAACCAGCACATACTTCCTGCCCTGCAGAGGCCAAGAGTTGTCGTCCATGAGCAGCTCTCCGGCATGGCCATGGCCCCACAGGCACACAAACTATGTGGCTTTTGGAAGAAATACCTCCTGACTTAATTAATAAAATATCAGAAATTGGGGCTGGAGCAATAGCACAGCGGGTAGGGCGTTCGCCTTACAAGCGGCCAACATGGCCGACCCGAGTTCGATTCCTCCGCCCCTCTCGGAGAACCCGGCAAGCTACCGAGAGTATTCGATATGCCAAACACAGTAACAACAAAGTCTCCAATGGAGACGTTACTGGGCCCACTCGAGCAAATCGACGATCAACAGGCGGGCCTTTACCTTTACCTTTACCAAAATTGTGCGGCCACGATAGTGGCATCATATGGTCTTCATAACCAGCAATAGAAAACAAATTATTTCACAATACCTTTTCAGCAGGTCTGATTGTTGGGGGGAAATTCCAAATAATTAATGGTGCATCTTTTATCAAAATAATGAGTGTAATCAAAGTAGAGAGAGAGAGAGTTAAGTGGAAATCTTCTGCCTCACAGGCATCGGGAGAGGTGGGATGGGGGGTATATTGGGGTTCTTGGTGGTGGAAAATATGCACTGGTGAAGGGATGGGTGCTTGGTCATTGTATGGCCGAGACTTAAACCTGAAAGCTTAAAAAAAAAAGAGAGAGATTTTTTTATTGCTTTAAGTTCTATGATGTTCAATATTGTTGATGATGGTTCCCTGTGTACATAATTCCAACACCATACCTCTCACCAGTATACCCACTTCCCTCCCCCAAAGACCTCAAAGTTCCTCTATTTCAACCCCCCCTCTCTCCCATGACTCAGTTTGTGGATCAGTTCTCTCATTGTGTTGCCTTTGGTCCTTTGTTCCTACCTTGCTGTGTATCTTTCTCTCAATACCATATTCTGTGTCTATCCCTTTATTTCTGGCTGACTTCACTCTGCATGATAACCTCTGATTTATGTCGTGGAAAATTGCATATTTTGTTCCTCTTAGAGTTGCATAGTATTCTATTATTATTGGGAATTTGGGTTATTTCCATATCTTTGCTATTATATTATGCAAGCAATGAGCATAGGTGTGCATATATCCTTTTGAATGAATTTTCTTGTGTTTTGGGATATGTTCTGGGATGGAACATCAGTTTTCAAGAGGAGAGTATTCCTCATTTATTGCACATGCTGGGGGCTAGGGCATGGTATCCATGTGGGGGGAATCACAGTAAAGGCTGCAGTGCTGCAGGGAAGGGAAGTGGCCATAGTCTGCCCTGAGCAAGACCCAGTGGGTGGTTGACTGTGCAGGACACAGCCAGGCCTGGAGAGGACAGCAGAGTTATCAGGCTCCAGGGAGCCCAATGACAAGCAGCACTGTGTCCCCCGGGAGACAATGGTAAGGCGCTGGAAGTAGATGCCACTGGAGGTTCTCAGTGATTCAAGATGGCCCACGTTGTTGCTGGACAAGTCCAGGACTCCCACAACTGCTGTCCATTCTCTCTAATGATTCACACCCATGTGTCTCTTTGCCCTTGCTCTCCACAAAGCCAGCCTACTTGCCTGGAGAAAACAGGAAAGTAACTGGGGCTGGGGGGTCTCAGGGGAAGGATCTGGTGGCAAACTGGCCTGTTTGAGGATCACAACAATGTTCCTTGAGACAGCTAAGTGGGGTCAGGATTCTTGAGTGACACAGGGGCCCCCAAGTGGAGGAAGCATTCAGAAATGACCCAGTGTATGTGCAAAGTATCCTTATTCCTACCAAACAGCTTTTATGGGAAACAATAGCTTTTCCTTTGCAAGATGCCAAAAAGAACTGACCTTTCTCATGCAGCTTCAGTTCTACTGCTAGAGGAAAGACCATGCTCCACTGTCTCAAAAAAGCACAAGTGCATTTGCACAACCCCTGCATACCCCACCTCGCCTGAGGGCTGGTGTAATTTGACATCTTATCCCACAGGCTCCAAGGTAAAAGACGTAAATGGACAAAGGGTGGGCAGCCTGATCTGATTTTAGAGCCTGTGTTCAAAAAAAAAATTTTTTTCCCTTTTTTTGTCCAAGGGGTGTTGTTTATGAATAGTCACAATCAAAAAGTGTTCCTTCGGCCTTAGCATGGCTTCTTATCTTTCTATAAAGTTTGGCTCCACCAAGGATTGTTGACTTGGTCAGATGCATGGCATTCTAATAGCTCAAGAGGGTTGTGAAAGGTAGAAAATGGGAAGGGAAAACTGTGGATTGATGGAAAGGGAAGGAAGGAGCAGAATGGGGCAGGTAGCAGCATCTCTCCATGAGTTCAGAATAGATCAGTCCATTGGAAGTGGTGCAGGCAGTCACAGAGGCGCCATGGCCCAAGTTCCTTGATGTGACACCCACTCCTGCTGCACGCTGCTTGATTTTGCTGTGAAGAACACCCTGGCACATGCCTTGCCTCTTATTGGTGCCCCACACTGCCTCCGGCAATAGATGATGTTCCCATTCAAGATTAAAGAGTAGAGTCCATCCACCACCATCATCACGACCAACCCAAGAACAGTTGACAGGTGCCACACCAGCATTAGCTGAGTACACACGCATCAGTCAGTGCTGAGGCATGGATGTGAGATGGGCAGTTAGCCCATGGTGTTCTCACCTGGAAGGGTGGCAGACACAGACAGGTTGGCGGAAGATTCCCAGTGATGTGGGCAAGGCTGGATCTGATGGAAGCAATGCACTGAGTGAGCAAAGACAAAATAGCTGCATTTGCACAAGTATTAAAAATATTAGTACTATGAATAGCATAGCGGTAGGGCGTTCGCCTTACAAGCAGCCAACATGGCGACCCGAGTTCGATTCCTCCGCCCCTCTCGGAGAGCCCGGCAAGCTACCGAGAGTATTCGATATGCCAGACACAGTAACAACAAAGTCTCCAATGGAGACGTTACTGGGCCCACTCGAGCAAATCGACGATCAACGGGAGGGCCTTTACCTTTACCTTTACCTTAGTACTATGAATGTGGAGTCACTTCCCCCGTCTGCCAGGCAGGATGGAATATGACTGTTTTCCAGAAACAGTCTTTAAACCCACCATGCCTGCCCTCTCTTCCCTCACTGAGAAGACAGGGCCATACCTGTATGCAGACCTACTGGGTTTGGTATGCTTCTGCCTCTTGCCACTTCTTCACTCATTGATTTAAGAAGTTCTTTTAGCGGGCTCACAGTGGTTGGCTGAGAAGACTTCTACTGTTGGAATGATGTATGCATAAGAATTGTGATAAACAATCCTGGGACCTCAAAAAAATAGTTTTTTAAAAAGAAGCTTTGCCATTGAACAGGGCGATCCACATTCTTCTGCAAATATACCTAGATACAGATACACCTGCAAATATACCTTCCCAGATACAGCTCTCTGCTGGCCACCAGCATTGTCATTCCTTCTAAAAGTCTTGCTCTCTCAGAGCCCTGGCTTGGAGACACTTGTTCTTTGTGAGGGAGCCTGACACAGAGCACAGAGCACCTTCCCAGACTCTCACCACCCAGGCCATTGAGGAGCCTCATCACTGATCAGCAAATGCTATTGTGTTCTTGCTCTGGTCTCAGTAAATCATGAAGCATAAGAAATACTGACAAAGGGGCTGGAGCAATAGCACAGCGCGTAGGGCGTTTGCCTTGCACGCAGCCGACCCAGGTTCAATTCCCAGCATCCCATATGGTCCCCTTGAGTACCGCCAGGAGTGATTCCTGAGTGCATGAACCAGGAGTAATTCCTGTGCATCGCTGGGTGTGACCCCCCCCCAAAAAATAAATATTGACCAAAATCAGTGAATGAATTGCTACCGATCATGCTCAATGCTCAGCATCTCCCCCTTCTCCTTTGGATGGATCATCCAGCAGGTTCTACAGTGGCAGCATCCACAACTCTGAAATGCTAGACATCACAGAGCATACTCACTCTCACTTCCTGGAAGGAGTCCAAAACGTTGCTAGTGTCTGTCTACAGATTGACAGACTGTTGCCTCGTTGCTTCATTCAGTCATCCCTGGGTACAGCAGGTCGAGGCTTTCTCTGTGGAAACTGAGTACACCTTCCCTACTTGCTGAAAAGGTCAAGGCCTTGTTGGTTGATCCATCTGCCCTTGTGACTACTGCCCCTTTGGCTGCAGCCACCACTGCTATTCCTGCTGCTCAGCCCCAGCCAAGGAAGAGTCAGAGCACTGGAATGAAGATATGGGATTTGGTCTCTGACTAATCACCAAAAAGCAACAAAAATAAGCCAGCTTCCTTAGCAAAACAAAAATAAAGTCTTCTTTTTTAAAAAGTTTGTTTGTTTGTTTGGCTAGAACAATAGTGCAGTAGGCAGAGAGCTTCCCTGCATGTAGCCAACCTGGGTTTGATCTCCCTACATTGCATATGGTTCCCCAAGCTTCTCCAGGAATAATTCCTGAGCACCGCCAGTTGTAGTCCAAAAGTAAATAAAAATGATAGAGATGCAAGTCCCACTTCCAGCAGTCATTGGGGCCACACAGGTAGGGAGGAGAGACCATGGCGTTGCTAGGTGATGTTTGCAGTGTGGAAGGCACGAGACTATGCAGAGTGAAGCTGGAAGTGATGGGTGTAGGGTGGAGTGAGCCGCTGGGAGCAGCCACAGGACTCATGGGGGTGAGATCCAGGATGGGAGTTGCTTTTCTGGGACCACTTATTTGTCTTTTCTGCTTCCTGTTATTCCCTGGGACCCTCTGCCTTCTGGCAGCTATCGCTTGAATCCAGGTCTTATTTGTTGCTTATATACTCACAAGGTGTTACTGTCTTCTCAGGCAGAGAAGTGAGTTTGGGAGGTGAGTTCTGGGGCCCAGACATCACTGGTGCCCCTCAGTGAACTGAGTGCTCTGTCCCGTCTCCCCTCAGGCCCTGGATGGAGATTTCTCTGAAGACAACCGCAACAAGTGTCGTCTGGCCACGGCTCCCTTGATTGATGCAGTGGACAACCTGACAGCATTTGCCTCCAATCCTGAATTCGTCAGCATTCCTGCCCAGATCAGCTCTGAGGTAGGATCTTTGCAGTGAAGGCAGCCCTGGGACCCATGACTGTTTTGTGTGACCCTGAACAAGCACAAATGATGAGAAGCTCGAAAAGCTCTTTCTGTCACTCTGTGAGGTACTGCAATTTGTGGGTGATTGTAACTGGGCAGAGGTGATGAAGTTCAGTATCTGCACATCTCTTTGGACCTGACACTTTAGTTTTATTTGTTAACAACAAACAGCCATGTAAAGGTTTGGGTACTCTTGTAGATATCGCACTCAAAAATTACATTTGAAGAATGAACTTGAGCCAAGGCCCCATCTTCAACATGAAGCGGGAACCTTCCTGGTTCTCTGTGTTTCCTTCCAAAGGGCAGAGACAGGAACTTGGCATAAATTAGGCCCTTCCAGTTCCTTCTCTCTGTCTCTGTGTCATGTTCTGATGCCCCTGCTCTTCATTTCAGGGCTCCCAGGCACAAGAACCAATCCTGATCTCAGCCAAGACCATGCTGGAGAGTTCCTCATACCTCATCCGCACAGCTCGCTCCCTAGCCATCAACCCCAAAGACCCACCCACCTGGTCAGTGCTGGCAGGACATTCCCACACTGTGTCTGACTCTATCAAGAGTCTCATCACATCCATCAGGTAAACTTCTTCTCCATAGAGTGCTGAAGGCTAGAATTGGCACAAGGCAAGAGGTAGTATGTGCCTGGCATAACTTTTATGCAACACTGATATGGCAGATTACTATCACCAGCCCTTCCTTTGTCTCATTGGGACCACTGATGGTCCTTACAACCACACAAATTGCTAATGTAAGCACTGAGCATGTGTCTTACCTGAATATGACAATCACGCTGTGAGGTAGGTATTGTGATGGTCTCCATGTTACAAGTGAGAAAACTCAGGCAGAGCAGTTGTGAGTTACTTCCCCAGGGTCACCTCTTGATTGCTAACCCAGTTCTTCTAACTACTGCACTCTCCTGTCTGTACTCAGAAGCTTTAGAGTATGCAACACAACTGCTTTTTTAAAATTAACCAATTATTTTTATTTTTTTAAGTTGTTCACAACAATTTATTACATTCAATATTCCAATACCAATCCTGACACCATTATACCATCTCACCACCATTATTTGAATTTTCCTGCCACCACCCAAACTTGCCCCCAAAGCTTGTACAGAATAAATTATGTTGTATTGCTTGTTATGAATAATCTACTAACGATGATCCAGAAAAGTTTCCTTAAAGAAAAGTGTGTGAAGAGTGTGTATCTCACCCTGGAGATACAAGCCCTTGTTTGTATCTGGAGCCATTAAGCCCTTGTATGAGAGATTACTAACATGTTGTTACTGGTTATCCCTTGTGTGCTAATATGTGTGTGTGTGTGTGTGTGTGTGTGTGTGTGTAAATAGGTTGCCTTCTATGTTACAACCCATCAAATGTGGTGGGCTAGTCTTGGTACATCAGTGGGGTAGAGTATAAGATGTCACATGGCCACAAATGCAGACACACACTCCACGAATTCTAAAATTTTTAATAGGGTGATAAAGCTAGAGTTAAATATTAAATTGGGTGATGACTTTGGGCTGCAGAGACATCTCTGTGGTGTGTTGCTCTCTTTCTCTTTGAGATTTATTTGTGAGTCTCTGGATCATGGCCATTAATGAGCTTATTATACGGTCATGTGGGCATGACCTCCAGGCTCCAGGAGGCAGAGGGAGATGGGGGAGGTCACCCATTCCAGACTCTGTGAGAACCTGGAGATTTCAGTCACAAAACCCGTGTACTTGAGTTTTTCAGCAGATTCATTCTTATGGATGAAGTTCATCCCAAACCTGTGGTGATCGGCCGTGAGCATGATGGGATGTTATGGAGATTTTTGGCTGCAAGGGCTTTGTTGGGGCAGGCAGAGGGACTCACCTGCCCTCCTTCAGAGTACCCCTGATGAGGCTCCTGGTGCGGGGTCCTGAGGCTTCTCTACAGTGTGTTGCTCTCTTTCTCCTCTGAGATTCATTTGTGAGTCACAACTGCTTTTAATAAAGCAAGATTTGATGTTACCTTATCTTGATATTAAGGTGTAAAGAAATACCTAAGGCCTCATAGCCACTCTGGGCATCTCTGATCTCCCTGGCAATAGAAGGAACCTGGGGAAAAAAAAAAACATCCCAAGCAGAGAGGCCTTTTCTAAAGTTGACAAAAGTTAACACAACACAAAATGTATCCTTTTCCTTAATTATGCTTCATTTTTCAGTTTTCTTTGAAAATCAGGATCATTGTTAACTTTCTTAATGCCTTACAAAGGAAAATCCACTAACTTTTAGCAAAAAGATCAGGCCCTTTTGAATAATATTGCTGGAGATAATGCCTTTAAAACATAGGTCCTGTGCTCCCAGCAGTTGGCATCAATCTCTTTAGTGGCTGATTCATTTACAGCTGCCTGGAATCAGACAAAGATGGGACAGCACTTATTCTCTCCACTAGAAATCAGTAGGTTAGCACATACATTAATTTAAAAATCACAAATACTCTGCCACCGAGAGGCATTGCCAATCAAAGGGCCAGAGATTCACTTCTTAAATAAGGCAGGGCTGACTAAGAGGTAGGTAAAGTCAGTGGTGGGATTCACATGGAGCCCGCCTCTGACTTGCCCTGTGCCTTCCAGGGACAAGGCCCCTGGACAGAGGGAATGCGACTACTCCATTGACGGCATCAACCGATGCATCAGGGACATTGAGCAGGCCTCGCTGGCTGCTGTCAGCCAGAGCTTGGCCACGAGGGATGATATCTCAGTGGAGGTAAGTGGAGCTTTGTGGCTGGCTCAGAAACCTCTTGAGGAGTCTCAGGTTTTAGAGGTTTGGGGCAAAAACATTTTTATGTTAGGATTTCATAACACCAGGACCCAACCTTGGAGGTTTCTGGAAGGGTTAGGGGCTTGTGATCAAATGCTACACATAAAATGGTGGTTTAGTGCAAGAACACATGCACTCCTGGTGTGGAGAGTTGAAACTGGGGGAAGATTAGGATCGTGGAAGGGGGTACAGCTGCACGGACTGCTGTGAGGGTGCATGGACAGCTGTGGGGGGGTGGGTGCATCTCATAGACTGATATAAGGTGCAACTGCATAAACAGCCATGGGGATGCAGCTGCATGGACAGTTAGGGAGAAGCAGCTTTACAGATAACTGTGGGGTACATCTCATGGGCAGCTGTGGGGTGCAGCTCATGGGAAGTTGTAGGGTGCAGCCTCGTGGGCAGTTGAGAGGGAAAAGCAGCTGTGTGGACAGCTGTGGGGGAGCTTGACAGTGCTGTCTTCCTCAGGCCCTACAGGAGCAGCTGACCTCAGTGGTGCAGGAAATCGGGCATCTCATTGACCCCATCGCCACGGCAGCTCGGGGAGAAGCAGCTCAGCTGGGGCATAAGGTACTGTGCACACATGTGTCCTGCTGAGAGTGTGTGCAGTAAGGGTCTGCGATGGGATATTGATTTTATTGTGGTTCCCAAAGACCTGGTGTGCCAGGAATCCTGCCTTGTGTGATGCTAGGCTTCAGCTGCAGACACTAGATTCCAATGCTCCTTCTGGCATCTTCCCCAAAAACCATGGCTTCAAGATCAAGTTTGAAACACAAGCATCAGGGACATGCTTTGCCCTATGGTCAGATTCTTTGGCCCACAAGTCATTTGTCCATTACCCATGACCTTTGCTGAGGGAGCAATCTCCACTTGACACTTTTGCTGTCCTGGCTCTCAGCTGGCTGTCTTGTTCAGGCATGTGTAAAGAGACACCATTCTATGGATTGTCATGGAGTTGGGCTTCACATCAAATTCACCTGATTTATTCTAGGCAACCAGAGCCCCCAGTGGAGGAGCCTAATCATAGAAAGTTCAGCCCCCAGTGTCAAGAGGACTAAAGGACATTTTACCCCTTGGAGCTTCATTTTGCAAAGCCTTCAAGGACAGCTTGTTAGGGAACCTGTGCCTCAGCAGAAAGAGACCAGAAATTGGATTTTTAACAACCTTTGGAGTTACTTCCCGTTTATCAGTGGCACCATCAGCATCCATGTGCATAGCAAAGAGTTCAGGGACCAAAATGGTCTCTGTGGGCATCGAAGCTCGAAAATCAATATACTTTCAAAATTACAGAACAGCTCCAGGGCCTACTAAGTACCCTGCTGGTTCTAAAGAGAGTCTTTGAGTTAGAAAATGGCTCTGTTTTCTCTCTCTGACTTCTCAAGAGCAGCAAATTTCATTTCACAGTTCAGTTTCCTTATTATAAGAATAGGACATGTGGGGAGATGGAACAGCAGGGAAGCACTTGCCATGCATGTGACCGACTAACCCCAGTTCCATGCCAGGCACCCTTATGGTCCCCTGCACCCCACCAGAAGTGACCCCTGAGCATAGAGCCAGGAGTGAGCCCTGAGCACTTCTAAATATAACCAGTCCCCCACCAAAATAACAGGAGAAAAATTTTATTTTATGCAAACAGTGGACCCCAAAACATGAAGTTCAGAGGAGTGAAAGAAGTGGGGATCATATGGACTGTGGTCAGCTACAGGTGGAAGGAGCTACTGGAATAGAGTGGAAGTGAAGCAGGCTTCTCTGCTTCTTCCTGAGAGTCCTAATCCCTGCCAGCCCACTCTCCCCCAACGGGGCTCCGGAGGAGATGCACACGCATGCCTGATACTCGTGTGGCTTTTGTCTCTTCCAAGGTGACCCAGCTGGTGAGCTACTTCGAGCCCTTGATTTTAGCCTCTGTGGGTGTGGCCTCCAAGATCTTAGACCACCAGCAGCAGATGACAGTGTTGGACCAGACCAAGACGCTGGCAGAGTCGGCCCTGCAGATGTTGTACGCAGCCAAGGAAGGGGGAGGAAACCCCAAGGTACAGTGCGGGTACTGAGAGCTCCTGGAGGGCCTCTGGTTGTCAGTATGGGGCGCTGGCCCCACACAGAGCTGGAAAATGAGTCTCTATAGGCTGTCTTGGAATCTTTAAGAGGAAAGTGAGAAGCAGAGCTTAGGAAGGCTGAGTCATAAATCATCCGGTCCCTGGCCCGGGCCTTGGGCATGCAGCCATCCTTCAAGAAGTTACACTAAGTGTGGTTATACCAAGGATAAACCTCACTCCCTGATGGCTTCCTCCCTGCAAAATCTCCCTGTTGGTCTGCAGGGAGAGTTGTTTCCAGTCTTGGCTCCCAGACCCAGAGCAAGATGTGGTTCAGGGCTACACGTGGTCTCTGTGTTATTGCCCTGAATACAGGAGCTTAATCACAGGAAAGTTTCCACCATTTGCAAATGGGGTACTTCACATTTCTTGATTCTAATGTGTCACCCAGCCTCTTCAAATGGCCACGATGAGGCAGTCTGGCATTTTCTCTCTGGTGATGTTTGTGGGGTTGATGTTGTCGGTGAGATCCCAGGGTTCTGAGCTGCAGGGGAGGCCAGAACTCACATGTCATCTGAAACGGTCCCTTCCTAGCAGGCTCGCCTGAGGACAGACTGTCAAGTTTAGTGTCCAACTATATGAAATTTATATTTCACACGTATTTTTAAAACTTTTTTTTGTGTGTTTTATTTATTTTCTCACACATTTTACCTTACACATTTTGTACTGTTGTTTACAAAACTGTTAATGAAACTTTCATGCATGTATCATTCTAGCACCACACCCACTACCAGAGTGCCCTCTTCCCTCACCTGCAGTTCCTCCCATCCACAATCCCCAACCCGGTAAACTCAGGTCTGTAGGCAAACCCTCCAGCTCTGTTGCCTTTGGCCATTTGTTGCTACTATGCTGTGTGTGTTTATATCACACATGGGAGAGAGACTAGTCTGTAACTGCCTCTTTCCTTCTGACTGATTTCACACAGCATGCTGCACTCTAGTTCCATCCACATATGGGCAAATTGCAGGACTTCATATTTTCATGCAACTGCATAATATTCTATTGTGTAAATATACCACAACTTCTTGAGTCATTTGTCTGTAGTTGGACATTTGAGTTGTTTCAATATATTACCTAAAAAGGCTATAATGAACATAGGTATGTGTATATCCTATCAAGTTATTGTTTTTCTCTTTGGGGGCCAGATGCCAAGACATTTTCAAGAAATTTTTATATTGCATTCCACAGACAACATTCCCACCTTCTACCCTCAATAAATGAGGGTAGTTTTCTCACCACATCCTTATCTACCAAAACTGGTTATTTCCAGACATTTTGACATATGCATTCTCAGTTATGAGATGTCATTGTTATTAGATGATATCTCATGCTTATTCCCTTTTCTTCTAATTTGCAAACATAGAAATACTGAAATATCACAGATTTTTCTGTGTTAATTTTGTAGCCTGCTACTTTACTATAATTGTCTCTGAGTGATTGATGGAACTTTTAGGATTGTAAGTATATTATCATTTCATCTGAAAATACTGATAATTGCACTTCTTTTCCAATTTGGATTTCTTTGATTTTCTTTTTCTTGTCTGATTGCTGTGGGAGGACTTCCAAAACTATGTTGATTAAGAGTGGTGACTGTGGATATACTTGCCTTGTGTCTGATCTCAGGAGAAAGGCTTTTAGCTGTTCACCATTGAGCTGTGAGTTTGTATAAGAGGGGATTGCTATCTTAAGGTATGTTCCTTTTATCTTCCCCTTTTGTTTTCTGAGGGTTTTTTTTTTTATCATGAATGGATGTTGTATCTTGCCAAAGACCTTCTTGCATCATATGATAGAATTATGTGATCTTTATCTACCTTTTTTTGGAGTGGTTATTATTATCATTTTAATATAAATTACAATATTAATTACATTTAGTATTCATTAATTCGTGTACATTGAAACATTCTTGAATCCATGAATAAAACCCACTTGATCTTGGTTTAAAATCCTTTTGGTATATTGTTGGGTTCAGTTCTCTAAGATTTTGTTGAAGATCTTTGCATTAAATGTTTTATCAAGGATATTGGTCTGTAATTTTCATTTTTATTAATATCTCTGTCAGTTTTTGTTATTAGGATAATATTGTCTTCATAATAACTGCTTGGAAGAATTCCTGTTTTTTTTAACATTTAGGAAGAGTTTCAAAAGTAAGGGCTTTGTCTTCCATGAAGGTTTAGTAGAACTCACTAGTGAATCCAGGGTATTTGTTCTTGGGGAGGCTTTCAATTACTGTTTAGATTCCCTTACTTGTGATAGATTTGTCTGGGTTTTCTACTTCCTTTTGGTTCATCATTTGTTCAAACTTAGGAGTTTGCACAATCCTAAGAATTCATCCATTTCTTTTAGATTCTCAAGCTTAATAAAATAGAGTTGTTTGTAGCAACCTCCTTTGTATTTCTCTTCTGTAATTTTGCCTATTTTTTCTCTGTCCTATTTATTTGGGTTTTCTTTCTTTGTTCTGCATGGTAAAGGTAAAAGGTAAAGGCCCTCCCGTTGATCGTCGATTTGCTCGAGCGGGCCCAGTAACGTCTCCATTGGAGACTTTGTTGTTACTGTGTCTGGCATATCGAATACTCTCGGTAGCTTGCCGGGCTCTCTGAGAGGGGCGGAGGAATCGAACTCGGGTCGGCCATGTTGGCCGCTTGTAAGGCGAACGCCCTACCCGCTGTGCTATCACTCATTGTTCTGCATGAGTGTAGTTAATAGTTGATCTGTTTTATTCTTTTAGAGAATCGGATCCTGGTTTCATTGACCCTTTGAATTATTTTGTTGTATAATTGATTTATGCTCTAATTTTAATTATCTCCTGTATTAATACTTTAGGATTAATTTGTTGTTCTTTTTCTAGTTTCTCAAGCTGTGAAGTTAGGTCATTGATTTGAGCTTCTCTTTTTCCTGGTGTGAGCCCATATAACAATGAACTTTTGCTGTATACTACAGGTTCTTCTAGTTTGTGTTTTCATTTTCAGTTGTTTCAAGTAAGCTTTTTATTTGTTCTTTGATTTCCTCTTTGGTCCAGCTGTTATTTAATAGAATGTTGTTCAATTTCCAAATGTCGGATGTTTTCCCAAAACACTGTTCATGATTTATTTCTGCTTTGTGGCTCTGTGGTCTAAAAAGATGCCTGTTGATTTATATCTTTATGATTTTGTAGATGTTCAGTTAGTATTCCAGCCCATGATCTACCCTGGAGATTGTTCCATGTGCCTTGGAGAAGAATGTACATTTTGGTTTTTTGCTAGTGGAAAATCCTGAGTATGATGATCAGACCCATTTCTTCCAATTTCTGACGTAGAAATCATGTTTTCTTATTGATGTTTTGTCTGATATTTCCAATGATGAGAGTGGTGTATTGAAGTCTTCCACAAATATTGTGCTGCCACAGTTGTAGCTCTTCTGGACCATTTGCATTTGCTTTGTAAAATTTGTTGTCCCTTCATTCGGTACATATATGTTGATGAGAGTTAAATCTTTTTGGTCTATTGATCCCTTAACTTAGTATGTAATATCCACTCCCATATTTAAGTATTTTGTTAAATATTAAATATATTTTATTAAATATCTGACACCAGTGTGACCATCTCTGTTGTTGTTTAGTCTTCTGTTAGCATGTATGATTGTTCCCTAGCCTCTTACACTGCACCTATGTTTATCCTGAGCATCTAAATACATCTCTTACAGGCAGTAAAAGGTTGGATTTTGTTTCCTAATTCATCCCATTACTCTGTTTTTGTTTGACTGAATGATTGATTCATTGATTGATTTTAGTTTGAGGGCCACACCCAGTGGTTCTGAGGGCTTACTCCCGTCTCTGTGCTCAGGAATCACTCCTGGCAAGACTTAGGGGACCACATGTAGTGCTGGATTGAACCTAGCTGTTGTGTACAAGGCAAGAGCCCTGCCCACTGTGCTATCATAACAGTACTATTCAGTGTTCTTTATGGAGGGTTTAGTCCATTGACCTACAGAGAAATTATTGACATGAAGGTATTTGTCTCATGTTTAATTGAAGAGTTTGACTGCTTGTGCTGTTTGATCTTTCCTTTACTCTGTGGTCTTCCAGTGTCCTTGCCAGAGCTAGATTAGATTCTAAATATATCTATAGTAATATGTATTTTGAGGGACCAAGTGATATGGTCCAAGTTGTCCAGAATATTATTATTTGCATGTGTGAGACCCTGTGTTTGATCCTTGACACGCCATAGTTCTCTGAGAAACACCCGCTATGGATCTAGTGGCCACCAAATCAAACCCAAGCACTACCAGGAGTGCCTCTGGTTTCCCAAACTTTGGCACCACATCCTTAGACCTTGACATTGAACTGTCTTACCTACTTACCTAAGTATTCTGGGGAGTGGCCCCCAAACTCACTGAATTGGAAGGCCCTAAAAATAAAATAACAAAATTATTTTTAAAAAATAACCAAAAGCATGGGGCCACTGTGTAAAGTAAATTAGAAAATCATGTAAAACATTTATTAATAAAGCAGACACATGTCAGCCTTTATCACTACCTTATTAGAACCTCTACTAACACCTTTCCCTGTTCCGTACTAAACTCCCTAGTGCTTTCTGATGAATTCTTTATTTGAAATGAATATTCAAACTGAGTGGGGCTGGAGCGATAGCACAGCGGTAAGGCATTTGCCTTGCACGCAGCCAGCCCAGCCGAGCCGGGTTCGATTCCTCCGCCCCTCTCGGAGAGCCCAGCAAACTACGAGAGTATCTCGCCCGCATGGCAAAGCCTGGCAAACAACCCATGAAGTATTCGATATGCCAAACACAGTAACAACAAGTGTTAAAATGGAGACGTTACTGGGCCCGCTCGAGTAAATCGATGAACAACGGGAGAACAGTGTTTGATTCAAACTGAGTATTATGCACTGAACTAAAAAACAAAACTTGAAACACTTACAAACTTTCACGCAAACCAAATGAGTGACC